GACTGCCACTACTCACAGTTCATAGTAGTGTTCACAATGGCACTGTGGATTCCCTTAGTCACGTGATAATGATCCAAGGGGGGGATAACTTTTTTTTTTTCAAAGAAACTTTCCTCCCCTCCCAGCCATTCAAGGAGAAATTTTATAGCTTTGTAAACTTTCAGCAAGGACGAACAAGTTTTACCTTCAAAGGACATGGATCGATGGGACCTTCCTCTTACAAATTGTTACCTCTTTTTATAGAGGTACTCTTTATGGAAGTATTTTGGTTCTTTTTGGAAAGTAAACTTGGTGGAGAAGAGCTTTGTTTATAATTTGTTGGCTTTTTATTAAAAATTTAATATTGGATTCAGGGATAACCATGTGTAAGACCTTTTTCTTGAAAAGTATAACCTTTATAAAGAAGTACACTTTGGAAAAGTATATCAGGAATCAGTGTCATGGTTCTATAGGACTTTTTTCTTATGGAGTATAATCTTTATAAAGAAATACTCTTTCAAATGGCATATCAGGGAGCAGGGACTTGGATGAATGGTATCTTTTTTTTATAAAAGTATAACCTTTATAGAGAGTTACTCCTTTGAATAGGATATTTTTTCTTTTCTAGATCTAATATATCTCACTTATATCTAATAACTCTTATCTCTAATCAATATATCTCTAATAATCTTATAGATCTATACTGTATTTTTTAACTCAAATCGAACTTTTCTTATAGATTATAGATCTAGGATCTATAGAAATCTTTCTATAACCTATAACTTATCTTATGAATCATAGATTTAGATCATAGAATCTATATAAATCTTTCTATAACCTACTATAGACTTTAGTCTCGACTTTTTCTTGTAAAAGGGTATACGAATTCTGTCTTCAAAACCCCTTATAATACCCTCCTTTTACATGTGGTTTCTATAAAGAGAGTAATAAAGATATTATCTTTGGAATAGTATATCTTTTGTTATAGATTTCACTTCATAGATCTAGAATCTGTACAGATCTTTCTATGACCCAAGATTTCTAGATAAAATATCCATTATTTTCCTATCTTAAATATCTTTTTAGGAGTAAGCCGTAGCCCTGTCATAGATACTTTTTATTGTAAGGCTGTTTTATTTCTTACCATATTATACTAGATCCTAAATCCCTAGATCCAGGTCTATATAGATAACCCAAGCTACTAGAAAGAATATTTATTTTTTTCTATCTAGATTTCTATCTCTCTAGACATCCCTAGCCTCAAGTCTATACCTTTCCACTGAAAAGGGTATAAAACCTCTGCCATGAAACCCCTATAATACATCCTTTCATGTGGTTTGTCGCATCGCTTGTCCTTCACCTTTCTACCCCCTCGGCCTCCCTGTGGGCCCTGTGTCCCTCATCCTCTTGTGGGCTGGATGCTGGCTGCTGGAGGCTGGAAACTGGCTGCTGGATGCTGGCATTCAATTAATTCCCCGGCGATGATGCGATTTCATGGATGACACTCATCGCCTCGACAGCGGCGGCAAGGTTTCCATTATTGATTTTCGTTCCACACCTCGCTGGGTGTATCTTTAAAGTGCATTTATTATGGCACTCACTTGATTTTCATAAACTTATGAAATTCTTCTAAAATCTGATTAAATTCTAATTAGTGTAGGGGGTCTTTAAGTGCAGCAGAGTCTGAGTTGTCCTGCCAGAAGGCATCTCTTACCAGCCTTGAGTGCGGAATCCTTAGAAAAGTGGAAAAATTGCCAACGGCTAGAAGGAGAAGGCAGGAAGGGGGCACGAGTTGCCTTTGTTAATGTCAGCCAAGGGTGGATTTCATCTTTCTGCCAGTTTCTACCAGAAGTGCAGGGGCCAGGCCAGACCAGGTCCTGGGCCACCGCCACCCTTCAGGGGCCTCTGGCTTGCCTTTACAGGACTTTTCTTTTGTTTCCCAACTCCCTGTACTAAGTATGTATGTGTGTTTGTAGTTTTTTTCGCACTTGGCTGCAAAAGGGAGGAACTTGATCCCAACCCTGGGTAGATATATATATATATATATATATCACCTTTCCTTGCAAATTAAATTCTTTCACATTTCCTACTATTTTTTGTACTACTTGTTGGTTGAAGTCAGTAACTGAAATAAGGGGGAATATCATTCTCAAGATAACCATATGCTGGTTTAATTTTTACATAGTTCTCCCCCTCCAAACTAGGTGGTATTTGTAGCTCTAATCGGGTCTTTCAGCTTAATGATCTCAAGTTCCGTTCCACAAAGAGTTCCGCTTCAAAAGTCATCATTAAGGCCATAAAATATGGAAAGAATGCATTCCAGAAGACCTAAATTTTTAAACAATTAGGACAAGTTCTTAAATGGATCATCATTTTGTAATAAATGGCTTTTTTTTAACCAACTTTCAAGCCCTGCCCTTTAAAAAATTAATTAAATTGAAAAGTTTTCTGGATTCAAAGTTGAAATCAAACCCCCCAAGAATTGGCCCTCTGTAGTCTGTAGCCACCGGAAGCCAGAGAAATGACTAATTAAATTTACACCGTAAAAGTTGTTAACTGTTGACTGGCCACGCCCCCTTTAGGGGATGTCTGGGGTGTCTAGATGTCTGGTTGAGAGGCCAAAGGCAAAAAATGTGAATGAAATCCGACAAGTCGAGGAAAAGGCCACAAAAGCCCAAGAGAAGAGTCAGTCTGACTGGAAATCCCTGCCACAAAAGCCCTTGAGCTGAAAAACAAAAACAAAGTCAAGACTTGGCTAAAAAAAAAAAACACAAAACTTGGCTAACAGAAAATAAAAAACCGAAAAAACTAAAGCAAAACGTGCTCAAATGCAATAAAACATCTAAAAAACGAGCTGAAAATTGCACAAAAATATAACCAGTGACTGAATGGATGTGTGAATGAATAAATGAATGAATGAAAGACTGAATGACAATAAATCACACATTGAAGCTCGATTTGGCCAAAAAGACTACCAAGAAGACCAAGAAGGGGCTGAAAAGGGGGAGGGGGAGATCTTAAGATAATTCGCAATATAAAAACCGTTAGAACCAAGGCCAATGGATGTATGGTCGTACTACGTAGAGTGCACAAATTAATCTTATTCTTTAGAGTAGCGACCATGTCCATGAAAAGCTTTCAAGTGTCTCATAATAGTCTTCTCTTTGTCCACCACCCCAGGTGGTATTCTTCCCAGGAGGGGGTTGTGATAGGAAAAAGATATAGACACTACTGTGGGTGGGCTTTATATCTTTGATAAAATTTGTAAAAACTGAGTTTCAAAGTGTTTAAGATGATTTAAGCGTTATATGTATGTAGGATATAGAAAGAGGATAAGAGGTATTTAGAATCGTTTACATCGATCTATAAGAGGGTTAAACTTATACGATTGAAGATATAGACCTAACTGTGGACGGTATCGGTGAAGAAGATTTAAGGTATCTAGAATAAGATACCTTAATCTATCTAGGTATATATCTTAATCTATTAAGGTATCTAGTTAATATATTAACGAAATATGAATCGTTTCCGTTAATTCTGAACAGGGATTATATGTAAAATAATAAATATGTTATAAACATAAAAACATCATTGTGGGCCTTATAGAACCTTACTAACCTAGTAACCTAGGAAAATTCATACCTAAATTCCTATCTAAAGTAAGATGCAAGCGTTAGATGTAGGCTAGATAGACTATATATATTATTTAGAAATAGCAACCTTTAGAGTTAGAGATAGAGGGTAGGGTAGATAGGTAGGTTATATATATAGAAAAAAGGACCTTTGGACGTTATAGCTGGAGTTATACTAGAAATAAATATTAGATATTTCAGATGATATAAATTATTATATAGATTACTACTATATATATTTAGATAATATAAATTAAAGTTAAAAAATAGCTTTAAAAGTATTCCCCAAGGTTTAGTTTTTATTTATTTATAAAGTAAGACCCATAAATACTGGTCAATTTCTTTAAAAAATAGCTCTTCTTGATTTTCAAAATTCTACTACCATAGCTCACACTGTATCTTGTATCTTTTAGTTACTATTTTTAGTCGAGGAGAAGGGGGGATCTGAGCTGCTGAGGCAGCTGATTTCAATCTGTGCTTACTCAACACACTTACCGTTAAGACTTTGAGTGTCTGTGGGGGGAAGCAGTGGAAAGTGGGAGAATGGGAGGCAAAGCGGTACCGCGCATCATTTCACTCGTAATCAGCCTCTCCAGGCCACCTCCTCCTCGAGATGCTCCAAATTCTCGCTAATAACCTGCATAAGCAGCCGCTAGATGGCGGATGTGCATGACTTGAGACAGAGTCAATATACGAGCTAAGCTCCCCTCATATGTATGTCTATCTCTCTCTCTCTCTGTGTCTCTAGCAATGAGTAGAATTTTTGTGACTTTAAGGTTCAATGGACCCATTTCCAGGAGATGGAGTAGCCAGAAGCTAAGCTCTTATGAATGGAGCATACATGTAGTACTGTATCTGAGAGGGGGGAGGTAGGTAGGTAGGTAGGGGGCGTGTCACTTATACATCTTCTGGATTTTCCTGAATTTCTGAGACACTTTTCACTCGTCTGAGAAATTACAGCACTTACTCTTCTTCTTGTTGTGGCTTCTAGCCGGGTCGCTAATTGGCCTTTCTGCGCTCTTCTACCAAGACCCTCTAATTCTTCTCCGCTTTGATGTCATCCATCACCTAACTGTAAATAAATCGTTGTATATAAAAGAATGTACATAACATACCTACATACATACATACATGCTAGCATAGTTATATGTAATTTTATTTAATTTTGTTTGTTTTTTTTTTATTTTTTATTTTTGTTGTTTTTTTTTTGTTGGAGACTTCCATCGTAGTCGTTAGATAAATCATCGCAATTGCCGCCCATCGTTATGATTAGATGATAGAATTTCTGCCTGTTGTAACCTCCATACATAATCTCTCTATCTCTCTCTCTCTCCAAGTTTGGCGCTCTCTCTCTCACACACAATATCTCTGTTTCTTTCGTTTATCCAGGTACCAAGCACAGCTCTTTTCGCAGCCACCAAGGCAAATATCATTTAGGTAACAAAAAAAATAAATTAAAATAATAGCAATAATTAAAAAATAATTTAAAAAATTGACAAAATATAGAAAAAACAAATCTAAACAATAATTAATGCAATTAAGTTCTAAAAACTAGCTAACTATGAGTCATATTACTTAAAATTTCTTAGATATATCTCAGAGATACATTCATAACTGAGTCGATTCTCTATAGATCGCCTTGAATTTTGGTATAGGACTTCTATGAGTCACTAGCTACCCAATAGACTCGAAATTCTTAGATATATCTCAGAGATACATTCATAACTGAGTCGATTTTCTATAGATTCCCTCTAATTTCGGTAGAGGGCTTCTATGAGTCACTACCCACCCTACAGACTCAAAATTGGAACCATCAAGTGGTTAAATATTGTTATAGGCTAATTCTCTGGTCACCGCGAGACCACCATTGGAGAACTCGACACATCCGCTCTAATCTCTCCCAGCATTTGCCTATCGGATCCCCACCTATTATTTTGCCATTAATATTTCCTGTCTCGCGCGCATAAATTAACAGACTGCTGTCGGGTCTGATTTGGGATTTGGGGTTATGATTCGGTCTGGTTTATGACTGCTTAGCACACCCACACCCATACCCAAACCCCGAAAACCAAAGATTCCCAACCACGTCCATGAAAATGAAGGAAATTTATGCAACGGAAGTGTTGGCTTTGGTCAACAAAAAAAAGGGGAAAAAGGGGGGAAATATGTTAATTTGTAGAATTATTTGAATGGGACATTAAAGGGGAAAGTTTCAAGGGTTTTTATTCAAAGAGAATACCCCCCTCTAAACAAACAATCTCTTACTGGAATCTAAAACTTTGATGAAATGCATCCCACAGATGCAGAAAAAGTGTGGGAGGAAGATCTCAAGAATGCTGCAGTGGCTGTAGGGGACAACTATGTACTAGAACTTCCCACAATAAAGAGGAGCTCAGGTTGAGGGATTCCTGGTCCACCGCTGTTGGCAGTCAACGATTTGTGTAATTTCATTCCACTTAATGGATAATTTATTCCATTCTGGAAGGGAATGGGGGGGATTCCACAACATGCCAGCCATTCTTTGAAAGAAAAACGAGTTTACCCGCATTCTATACACGCAGAGAAATAACCAGGAACTATATTGAACTCTCTCTATCTTACAGAAGCCCTGCTGCAATCGCGTCCATTACCTCACATTCCGGCCGGAAGCACGGCAGCCTCTCTGTTGGCCGACGCCGCTGAGCTTCAGCAGCAGCAACAGCAGCAGCAGCAGGATTCCGGTGGTGTGGGTCTGCCACTTGGTGGTGGCTCCTCCCTGGGAGGAGCGAACACATCGGTGTTTGAGTCGACGCATCGATGGACCTCCAAGGAGAACCTGCTAGCCCCCGGACCCGAGGAGGATGACCCCCAGCTGTTTGTGGCGCTGTACGACTTCCAGGCCGGTGGCGAGAACCAGCTGAGCCTCAAGAAGGGCGAGCAGGTGCGCATCCTCAGCTACAACAAGTCGGGGGAGTGGTGTGAGGCCCATTCCGACTCTGGGAACGTGGGCTGGGTGCCCTCCAACTATGTGACACCGTTGAACTCCCTGGAGAAGCACTCGTGGTACCACGGCCCGATCTCCCGTAATGCTGCCGAGTATTTGCTGAGCTCGGGGATCAATGGGAGTTTCCTGGTGCGGGAGAGCGAGAGCTCGCCGGGTCAGAGGAGCATCAGTCTAAGGTGAGTGGAGGTCTAGTCCTCATAGGTACTTCATCTTGACTTCAATTTTCGATCCTCAACAGATACGAAGGTCGAGTCTACCACTACCGCATCTCGGAGGATCCGGACGGCAAGGTCTTTGTCACCCAGGAGGCCAAGTTCAACACCCTGGCCGAGCTGGTGCATCACCACAGCGTCCCGCATGAAGGCCATGGCCTGATTACACCGCTCCTGTATCCGGCACCGAAGCAAAACAAACCCACCGTCTTCCCGCTGAGTCCGGAGCCGGACGAATGGGAGATCTGCCGCACGGACATCATGATGAAGCACAAACTGGGCGGCGGGCAGTACGGCGAGGTATACGAGGCAGTGTGGAAGCGCTACGGCAACACAGTGGCTGTCAAGACTCTGAAGGAAGACACCATGGCCCTGAAGGACTTCCTCGAAGAGGCGGCCATCATGAAGGAGATGAAGCATCCGAATCTGGTCCAGCTCATAGGTCAGTGTCCTAGAAAAGTGATTCCTTCTTATGAAAATAATTGAAATGTTATCCTTGTAGGTGTCTGCACCCGAGAGCCACCGTTCTACATCATCACCGAGTTCATGTCGCACGGCAATCTGCTCGACTTCCTGCGCTCCGCCGGCCGCGAGACCCTCGACGCCGTGGCCCTGCTCTACATGGCCACGCAGATCGCCTCCGGTATGAGCTACCTGGAGACGCGCAACTACATCCACCGCGACTTGGCCGCCCGCAACTGCCTTGTTGGAGACAACAAGCTGGTCAAGGTGGCGGACTTCGGGCTGGCGCGTCTGATGCGGGACGATACGTACACGGCCCATGCCGGAGCCAAGTTCCCCATCAAGTGGACCGCCCCCGAGGGACTGGCGTACAACAAGTTCAGCACCAAGTCGGATGTATGGGCCTTCGGGGTACTGCTATGGGAGATCGCCACGTACGGGATGTCTCCGTATCCGGGCATCGATCTCACCGATGTCTATCACAAGCTGGAGAAGGGCTATCGCATGGAACGGCCGCCGGGATGCCCGCCAGAGGTGTACGATCTGATGCGACAGTGCTGGCAGTGGGACGCCGCCGATAGGCCCACGTTCAAGAGCATACACCATGCGCTGGAGCACATGTTTCAGGTGGGTGACGTCGAGGTGTGGGACGATGAATACTATGATGATGATGATGATGATGATGATCATGGTCCCGATCCCGATCACGACGATGAGGCGAGTGACTACGATGGCGACGACGACGACGACCCTCATCAGCACTCGGCAGCCATAGATAGCAATAGCCATAGGAATAGGAATACAAATAGTCATAGTCATAGCCACAGGCACCGCCACCACCTCGTGGACGTGCTCTGATCAAGATCGGTCGAGATCGAGGCGACAATTAGTGATAGCAATAATGAGCCACATGGTGCCCATCTCTCCTTCTCCGCTCCTCCGCAGGAATCGTCCATCACCGAAGCGGTCGAGAAGCAGCTGAACGCCACCAGTAGCTCCTCCTCAGTTCAACAGCCGAGCTCATCGGGTATAGGGACTGGCTCTGGTGGAGTAACAACCTCCACGACGGTCCCCAGCGGTGCTTCCTCCTCCTCCCTCAGCCTCACCCCGCAGATGGTAAAGAAGGGTCTGCCCGGCAATCAGAACCTCACGCCTCACAGCGATCTGCAGCAGCAGGCCAGCACACCCATGTCAGGTGAGGAATGGCTTCTAGACCAATATAGGAAAGTAGCCTTTAACACTTTGAGCTTCTCCGCAGAAACCGGCTCCAGTTCCACCAAGCTGAGCACCTTCTCCAGCCAGGGCAAGGGCAATGTCCAGATGCGACGCACCACCAACAAGCAGGGCAAGCAGGCACCAGCTCCACCCAAGCGTACCAGGTACTAGGTCATTCTTCAAAGTCCTTAGCTTCTATTAATCCTCCTGCCTTCTGGTTACAGTCTTCTCTCCAGCAGTCGGGATTCGACTTATCGCGAGGAGGATCCTTCAGCGCAAAGATGCAACTTCATCGATGATCTCACCACCAACGGTATTACAAAAATGAAAAATGTCAACTATTTCAGTCAGACCCTTTCTAGAAATTTCAAGACCCAAATACCAACCCATCATACCCAACAAATACGAACACAACAACAACTACAACAACAGTCTGTACAACATCCAGTACAGCAACAACAACAACAACAACAGAAACAACAACAGTATTCCATTAAGAAATCGTCCTCCTGCAGTAGTTTCCTTTACGACATTTTATTTCGAGGTATTTTTTTGTTTCGTTAAAGGAGTCCCATCTTAAAAAAAAAAACTCCAAAAAAATTCAAAAATTGTTTATTTGTTTGTTTATTGTTTTGTTATTTTGGTTGTGTTTTTTGTATATTTTTTAATGGTTTGTTTCAATTGGCTTTTATTTATTTTTAATTCTTGTTGGTGTTCTCTTCTCTGGCTGATGATTTCATAGTGTTACTTTTGGTTCTGTTTTTCATTTAACACTTTCATGTTTACATTAATCTATTAATTGTAGTCTTTATAATAAATACTACTTATGTTTATTCTATTATGTTTCTATTAATTAATTGAGTTTGTTAGTTTTGGTATTTTTATAACTTTTAACAAGCTTATGTCTTTTCTAAATGTTCTATTATTTCAATGCCTGGTTTATTTTTAAGTTTGAAGATTATTTATTAATGATTCTAATTTCTTTTAGTTTCCATAACACCTTAGAGGTGTTTAGATGACTTTAAGGGGTTACATGGTTTTCCAAAAAGAGCCTATTTTCAAAAATAGGAGGAGGAAGGAGGAACATCGGAATGGAAAATAAAAAACAAGAAAGGAAAGCTAACTTCGGGCGGAGCCGAAGTTGATATACCCTTGCAGTTAAAACCGGATATATATCGCAAACATCGGATATAGTTGGCCGATCCTTATGAGAATATGATAATATTTCCCAATTTATTATAATACAAAAACGAAACCTAAAATTGTCCCAAACTTCTATCTTCAAAAACACAAAAGTTGGGTCATTTCCGATCGTTCAGTTATATAGCAGCTATAGGATATAGTCGGCCGATCCTAATGAAATTTGGTAGGTTGGATCATCTGGCCAAAAATATAATCTGTATTAAGTTTCAGCTTTCTATCTTCAAAAACACGAAAGTTGGGTCATTTCCGATCGTTCAGTTATATGGCAGCTATAAGATATAGTCGGCCGATCCTTATGAAATTTGGCATGTCGTAATGGTTTGCCAAAAATAGCTCTCTTGTCAAATTTGAATTCTCTAACTCTAAAAACACCAAAGTTATACCATTTCCGATCAATCAGTTATATGGCAGCTATAGGATATAGTCGGCCGATCCGGGCCGTTCCGACTTATATACTGCGTGCAAAGGAAAGAAGGGTGTGTGCAAAGTTTCAAGACGATAGCTTCAAAACTGAGAGACTAGTTCGCGTAGAAACGGACAGACAGACAGACGGACAGACAGACGGACAGACGGACAGACGGACAGACGGACATGCTCATATCAACTCAGGAGGTGATCCTGATCAAGAATATATATACTTTATAGGGTCGGAGATGTCTCCTTCACTGCGTTGCACACTTTTGACCAAAATTATAATACCCTCTGCAAGGGTATAAAAATACCTTATTTATAAATGCCTTATACCCATTAAGCCCGTAAATGAACGCTAAAAGGAGATAAATAATATTAATTGGATTTTCGGAAGTGCTTTTCGAATACAAAATCGGAAAGTTTACTACACTTTGAGTTATTTTTTTCAAAGTAGTTAAAATATGAAAAACATTTTCCATAGTTGAATAGTTTTAAGTGTCTAAAGGGCTTTTTAAAATTTCCCTAAGAGTGGTTTAGTAGTTATCGTTTCTATCAATTTTTTAAATATGATTAAAAATCATAAAAAAATAATTATACTGACTTTAATGAGTTTTATAAATGACTTTTTTTAAAATGGCGTTTAAAGTTTCAAGTGACAAGGAAGCTACACTGAAGGGCCCTCTTTCTTATGAGTTTATCTTATCAAAAGTACTTCTGGGATCAATTATACATTTTTTAATAACATTTAAGAGATGTTGAATTTTTAAAAAATCATTAAAAATTATTATAATCATTAAAGAAATACCCATGTAACCCCTAAAGAGCTAATTTCCTAATTACAATGCATGACTGTTGTTAGTTTATTTTAATCTCTAAGTTCTTACCTTATTTAAAAATCTAGATTTTATATTATAGAACAAACTTTATTGTTTATAACTCAAAATATACCCTAGACATCAGCCCACAAACGCACAAACACACCACAAACACATACACACATACATCCGGACTCTGGTCAGGCCTAATCCATATCCCACTACTAGCTACTTTCACCCAGCATCTTGCACTCGGCACGAGAGTTACTTTGTTACCCAACTCCCCAACTCTGATTTGGAAAATATATTAATACTCTACCTTCTTCCCCGCCAGGCTTGGCCCGAGACATCAATAGCTTGACGCAGCGCTATGACTCCGAAACGGATCCGGCGGCTGATCCTGACACCGACGCCACGGGCGATAGTCTGGAACAGGGCCTGACTGCTGCACCGATCCAAGCTCCCAACAAGATGCAGCACTCCCTGCACGGAGGTGGAAGCGGCATTGGACCCCGATCCTCGCAGCAGCACAGCTCCTTCAAGCGGCCAACGCCCACGCCCGTGATGGGCAATCGGGGACTGGAGACACGCCAGAGCAAGCGCTCCCAGCAGCACCCTCAGCTACCACCGACCCAATCGCATCCCGGCAATGGGATAACCACCAATGCTCATCCTATCACCGTCGGAGCACTGGAGGTGGTGAATGTCAAGCAGCAGGCGAACCGCTACGGCACCCTGCCAAAGGTGGCCAGGATTGGAGCATACCTGGACAGCCTGGAGGACAGCAGTGGTGCCTGTGAAGCGGCACCAGGCTCACCCGGTCCAGTTCCTCCGCCGCCAGCCAACGGGCACAGCACTCCGCCGGGAGCACGCCTGAACCCAAAGATGAACACTCCCATTCCGCCGCAGCAGATGATTCGCAGCAATTCCTCGGGCGGCGTCACCATGCAGAACAATGCCGCCGCCAGTCTCAATAAGCTCCAGCGCCACCGCACCACCACGGAGGGCACCATGATGACCTTCTCCTCCTTCCGACAGGCCGCGTCCCCGAAGCGCAGTGGCTCTGGGGTGGGATCCGGCGCCCAGCAACCGGCTCTGGCCAATCTGGAGTTCCCGCCACCACCACTGGACTTGCCGCCGCCTCCGGAGGAATTCGAGGCCGCTCCACCGCCCCCGCCGCCGGCGCCAGAGAGTGCTGTCCAAGCCATCCAGCAGCATCTCCATGCCCAGAATCCGGCCAACAACGGCAATATAGGCAACGGGATGGCCAACAACAACAACGACAGCAGCCATAACGATGTCAGCAACACGGCACCCAGTGTGGAGGAGGCCAGCTCCCGATTTGGGGTATCGCTGAGGAAGAGGGAGCCCTCGACAGACTCCTGCAGCTCGCTGGGCAGCCCCCCGGAGGATCTGAAGGAGAAGCTCATCACTGAGATCAAGGCTGCCGGCAAGGAGGCTGCTCCTCCCGCCCACCTAGCCAATGGATCTGGCAGTGCTCCCGTGGATCCCGGTTTCCTGCTGGTCACCGAGCTGGCCGAGAGTATGAATCTTCCCAAGAAGAACCTGACCAACGGAAATGGAACTGCCAGTGGCGCTGCCACCGGAACTCCAGGCGGTTTCAAGGCACAGCTGAAGAAAGTGGAGCCCAAGAAGATGAGTCCTCCAATGGCCAAGGCGGAGCCCAGCCACAACATCATCGACTTCAAGGCCCATCTGCGCCGCGTCGACAAGGACAAGGAGCCACCACTGTCAAACCCAGCGACGGCTGGAGGAAACAATGCCAATGCCAACTCGACGGGCACCCTGAACCGCAAGGATGACACCAACAAGAAGTTCGTCCAGGCCATGCAAAAGACTGAAATCAAAATCGATGTTACCAACTCGAATGTGGAGCCGGACACGGCCACCGATAAGCCGGCAGCTGGAACAGGAGCCGGAACCGGTGCCGCAGCCGGTGCTGTGGGAGATGGCAGTGATCTCGGCAAGCGTCGGAGCACAGGTAGTATTAATAGCCTAAAGAAACTGTGGGAGCAGCAGCCGCCGGCGCCCGACTACGCCAGCAGCTCGATCATTCAGCAGCAGTCGTCGGCGGTGAATGGTGGTTGCGGCGCCTCCTCTCTTTCCACCAACCAACTATCGCCCAAGTACGGGATGAAATGTGGCACTCTGCCGGCCAAACCGGGCAACAAACCGCCACCGGCTGCCCCACCACCTCCGCCCCCGCAATGCACCTCAACTTCCAACCCCTCAACCACCATTAGTAGCACCACTACCACCAATACCACTACCACATCTAGTAGAGATTGCACTAGCGGCAGGCAGCAGGCCGGCACCACCATTAAAACTTCTCATTCAACGCAACTCTTCACAGATAACGAGGAGCACCAGCACCAGGAGGGATTCGGCGGAGGAGTAGGAGGCGGCGACATGACCCAGTCACTGTACGAGCAGAAGCCAAACCTCCCACAGATTCAGCAGAAGCCAGCAGTGCCCCACAAGCCCACCAAGCTCACCATCTACGCCACTCCGATTGCCAAACTCTCCGAGCCGGCCAGCTCCACGCAGATATCGCGGGAGAGCATCCTAGAACTGGTGGGTCTCCTCGAGGGCTCGCTAAAGCATCCTGTGAACGCCATTACCGGCTCCCAGTGGCTCCAGCTCAGCGACAAGCTGAACATTCTCCAGAATTCGTGTGTGATTTTCGCGGAAAATGGAGCTATGCCACCGCACTCCAAGTTCCAGTTCCGGGAGCTGGTGACGCGGGTGGAGGCGCAATCCCAGCACCTGCGCTCCGCCGGCAGCAAGAACGTTCAGGACAACGAGCGCCTGGTGGCCGAGGTGGGTCAGTCGCTGCGCCAAATCTCGAATGCCCTGAACAGGTAAATGATAAGACGGGGGATGGAGGCGCCCGACCAACATCATCCGGGAATCTGGCTGGATGCCGAGGGCAATTTTATCAAGCGCAAGTGATGAGCCACATCCAACCACCCATCCCCCGGGATCCCAAAAAAAAAGATGATAAGGAGAAGGAGGAGGAGGAGGCGGAAACGGTATCAAGAAACAGGAAACGAAACTTCAAGCCCAGCGAAGAAGAATTTGAAGGCGATCGAAAGCAAGGACGAAAAAAAGGACATCTACGGACATACAGCAGCAACTAAAAATCAACTAAATTCAAATTCAAATTCAAAAAAAAAAACAAGAGGACACCTATGCATTGTCCTTGGTAGCGTGTAGTAGTAGCTTCTATTATATATATACCCATATATATCTAGTCAGATCAGAGCAGAGCCCGACGAACGCTTCCAGAATCCAGAAAGTAAAAAAATGAGTTGCTAAGCAAAATTTCGCGGGAAGATCCTTGTTTTTAATTGTAAAGTAAGGGGATTACCCCCTTAACTTACCCATATCCCAAAAGAAAAAAAACGCCACCACCACCCCCCCTCTACATAGACTTCTTGATCCCTCAAACGTATTCGCGCTTCGTTTGTTTTTAAAATAGAAAGACACAAGACATGGCTTAAGATTGAAATGAATATATTCATAGAATATCTCAATAATGTTAGTAATTACAAAAAAAAAAAACAAAACGCAATGCATATATACATATACATACATATATTTACATATACTAGTCGTAAAATGTTTTATTATACCTATACATATACATGATTATACAAGAAATTATTATTATTAATTAATATACGAATGACCACACTCCCCCTTACCCCCAATCTTCAAAATCGGAGCCCAGGCATGAGAGACCAGTCCTTTGAAAAGAGAGTGTGTTTTAAGGCCCGCAGCATTACATATATGTCTATGATCATGATCTATGTGTACTCAGTAGCAAAGCCCAAAGATATTATTATAATAATTGATAACTACTGCAACTCAAATTAATATGTTTAGTGGCAAAGACTAAAAAATTATGATTTATGTTTAATGGAATGCTATTTCTTTTAAGACCTATTACACAACCCAACTGTAATTATTATCTGATATACATATATATTTTCAAGGATTTTAAACAACTTTTATACGTAAACGAGAATCGCATAAAATCGCATCCCAAAAAAACCAAATACAATAAATTTATTTCAAAATTAACAAACAGAGGGGCATTACAACAATAAACAGGGCGGTCAAACCTAAATAATTATAAACTAATATTTTGCCTTTTCACTTCAATGCCCCAAGATATCTTCAATAAACGATAAACGGGCTAGCGAAATATTGCTCCAAATATACACAAAATTTATTTCTGTAACTTATATAATACACCAAGCGCCTGATATGCGCTACAGAATAATATCTAAAACGAAAAAGGATCAAAAACAAAGTACTTCAATGAGAAATAAAAACGATATTTAAAGAATTTCAATAGTTTTCGTTGGCGGTAGATCGGTGAATCCCCTTGAAAAAACTCTCATCTCATGAATCAACCAATGATTCATCTTTAAAATATGAGTTTCTACGATGCATCATAAAAGGGAGTTTGAAAAACCAATGGTTTGTTTATTGGCTAAAAAAATACCGATAAATACCAAAACATAGAAGACTATACAATTGGCAGCACTATACCGACTATCGACTGTTGGCCATCTCTAGAAGCGACTGAGGAAAAAGACGAAATAATATATAATAATAGAATATTGCACCGTGATACTATTGCCAAGCATCGTTTTTCGTTCGGTAATTGAACAACGACAACCTCGACCTCCACGGCAACACTCGAAAGGCAAAAAAGCAGACAGGAGATTCGCAGAATAACAGCAGGAAGTCAGCAGGGCACAAAAGATACGAACGAACGAACGAGACAAACGAAGCAAAGCAACCAAAAGCAAACCACACCACAAAACTCAAAACCTGCGGAATGCCACTGTTCGGGAAGTCGGTGAAGTCGCCAGTGGAGCTGGTCAAGGCTCTGAAGGAGGCAATCGGTGTGCTGGAAGCGGGTGACCGCAAACCGGAGAAGGCACAAGAGGACGTCAGCAAGAATCTGGTGGCCATTAAGAACATGCTGTACGGTAGCAGTGACGCAGAACCGCCGGCTGACTACGTGGTTGCCCAGCTGTCGCAGGAGCTGTATAACAGCAACCTGCTGCTTCTGCTCATCCAAAACCTGCATAGGATCGATTTTGAGGGTAAGAAGCACGTGGCGCTGATATTCAACAATGTTCTACGCCGACAGATTGGGACACGATCGCCAACAGTGGAGTACATCTGCACGAAACCGGAAATTCTGTTTACACTGATGGCGGGATACGAGGATGCCCATCCGGAAATCGCCTTAAATTCGGGCACTATGCTGCGCGAATGTGCCCGCTATGAGGCGCTGGCCAAGATAATGCTTCACTCGGACGAGTTCTTCAAATTCTTCCGATACGTTGAGGTGTCCACGTTCGATATTGCCAGCGATGCCTTTTCCACCTTCAAGGAGCTACTGACGCGCCACAAGCTGCTCTGCGCCGAGTTCCTTGACGCCAACTACGACAAGTTCTTTTCGCAGCACTACCAGCGGCTGCTCAACTCCGAAAACTATGTGACACGGCGCCAGAGCCTCAAGCTGTTGGGTGAACTGCTACTGGACCGGCACAACTTTACGGTGATGACGCGCTACATCAGCGAACCGGAGAACCTCAAGCTGATGATGAACATGCTCAAGGAGAAGTCGCGCAACATTCAGTTTGAGGCGTTTCACGTCTTCAAGGTGTTCGTGGCGAATCCCAACAAGCCGAAGCCCATCCTGGATATCCTGCTGCGCAACCAATCGAAACTGGTCGATTTCCTCACCAACTTTCACACGGATCGTTCCGAGGACGAGCAGTTCAACGACGAGAAGGCCTACCTGATCAAGCAGATAAAGGAGCTTAAGCCGCTACCCGAGGCTTAGTTGCATCCAGTGTCCCGGTTGCCAACAACTCCTCCCCGGTCAGCTACAGCAGTCTGGCAGTTGTAGCTATATATTGTCCGTTATCGTAAGATCGGAATGGAGAGGAGAGATCGAGATCGAAAGAAGGGAGCAAGAGCAAGAGCAGGAGCCAGGACATCTGGGCGTTCGATGGCGGGTTAGCAGGATGATGAACATGTTTTGTGTGTGGGGTTAAAGCAAATATATATTATATATACTATATTTTGTGACGATGATGACTACACTTGTGAGTAACTAAACAATAATTTAGACAACAACAACAAAAGCAGAAGCAACAGCAACAACACTGAAGAAGATAATTGATAAATATAACGATAAAGCAAAATAGAAACAGCAAAGTACGAGTATATAGCGTAAAAAAACAAACCGAAAGAGTTGCGAATTTAACATAGCTACATTAGACATTCTCGGCCTAGATCTAAAACCAAACTATATCTATAATCTTATGCATATATCCTTCACCTAGCCACCAGTTCCCAGCCCCACCACCCACTTTCTATGATTCGAGAGTTCGGTTGTTGTTGTTCCTCCGTCTCGTTGCCTTTTCCCCTAGACCTATTTTTCGATTCCTAATTACCCTATTTAACTAGTTGTTGTATTGAAATTTTGTAACGTTTTTGAAACGATCCAACCCCGCCCTGCCACGCCCCTTTTTTGCCCTTTTGCCCTATACCACCCGCCCCCTGACCCGAAATAAGAAGAAACTGAAGATTCACAATGAGTTTTGACTAAAAAATGTAATTCCACGCAAAATTCATAAAAAAAAAAAAAACAAAAAACTAAATACTGCATAATAATAATAATAATAATAATTTATAGTGATAATTGTCAGTGCATCCTTTAGCACGGACACCATTCAACACACACACACAAACAAAGAGACACAGACAGACACACACACACACACATATATGCATACGTACATAGTTAAAAAAAAAGGGAAGTAAAACAACAACATTGCGAGCAACATAATAACTATACGATTATTATAATTTATATTATTCCCAAATTAAAGATAACAGCCAAACTAAAAAAAAAAAGAAAATCTGTTCTTTGTGTGTCATTTGGATTGCATGCCGAGGTGGTGGAGAGGTTCGGGTGGTATTTTTTGGGTGGAAGGGGATTTTGGGTGTCACGGGGGCCACAGAGCTTTCCCCCTCCCTGAGTCATGTGCAAGACAGTGTTGCCAGTCGCGGAGATTGTGAAAAGTAGCTAAAATCAATTGTTTAAATATTTATTTCACTAAAGTAGTCTTTATTTTTTGTCTTTAAAAAATATTAAAATATTTCAAAAATTATACAAAAACAGCCATTAAAATTAAAACAAAAAAATAGGGTTATTTCTTAGGAGATTCTTGGTAACCCTTTGTCTAGAAAAACTAATTAAAAATATTTTATTTTTAATAAATGCATTTTAGAGTATACTTAAAAGCTAATTACGACTATGGGTGTATGGAGTGGAGAGGTTGGTGGTTGACCTAGCGGCGTTTCTTCTTTTCCAGCTTACGAATCTTGTGTAGACGAGCTCTCACAGGTTCATTCTCGCGCTCCACCTCCCCACTTTCGGAACTATCCTCGCCGGCCATTAAAACAGCAGCCGAAATGCAGACGAATTGGAAGACAGCACCCACATACAATCCATACCGGATCAGGATGCTAAAGAGATCCTCCTCTCCATATTTGTCCAGTGCTGCTGCTGCTGCCGCTAGGGTCTCCGCCGACGCCGACATCTTATACGGCTTATTGAGTTTTGTTTATAAACAAATTTCGCGAGGATGATGGCAAAACAACAAACACAACAAAGTTGTATGGATTGATTTATATTTTGTATTGGCTAGAGATGGCCAAAAAAAGTCGCCATCCCTGGTTGGAGCTATCGATAAAAGTGGTTGGGCTTCCATCCCTATCAGTTCTAGTCGCGACTGTAATTTTTATCAATTTTTGCATAATATTTAGCATTAGTCAAAACAAGTTTTAATTATGTCATGTTTTCGCCTAGCGACTGCCACATGGTTGGCTGGTAGCGCGAATGCAAGCCGGAGTGGAGCGGGGCGGCTGCTGTCCAAAAAATCGCATCAAGAAGTTGCATTTGTACGCCGACACCTTGCCCAGGCGGTGAAAAGCGGTGGGAGTGGAAGGAAACCCAATGGAACCTTCAAATTGGCCATGCTGGGTGCAGTTGTTGGAGCTGCAACAGGATCGGTTTATACTTTGTACACTCGCTGGACGGACGGTAGCTCACACAAGGAGCACGAGGAGACGAAACCGACGCGGGTTGATGGGATACCCCAGGGGGTGCGAATAACTAAGCGCTACGTCAACCCTAAGGACACCTCCGGCTTGGACATTGTGATGTTCCAGTTCCAGACCTGCCCGTTCTGCTGTAAGGTTCGTGCCTTCTTGGACTACATGGGCATTTCATACTCCGTTGTGGAGGTGGACGCTGTCTTGCGACAAGACATCCGATGGTCGTCGGTGAAGAAGGTGCCAATGGTGCTCATCCGTCAGCAGGATGGGAGCTACGTACAGATGGTGGACTCCAGTGCCATCATCTCTCTGATAGCTACCTACCTGCAGGACAAACATACGGACATCGGGGATCTAGCCCAGTTCTACCCGCATATCTCCTTCTTCGATGATGATGGAAAGAAGAAACAGGACATATTGAACAAATACTTCCTCATGTATGGCGAACATACACCCAAAGGCGTCACCAGAGATATAGAAGAGTGAGTTTTCCAGTCCAAGTGTGTATGTAATATACAAAATGATTCCTTGCTTGCAGAGTTGACCGCAAATGGAGGACTTGGGCAGACGATACCCTGGTGCACCTGATATCGCCCAACTGCTACCAGACCATGGGTGAATCTCTGGAGACTTTCGAGTGGTTCTCGAAAGCGGGTGAATGGGATGTGCACTTCCCCAAGTGGGAACGCGATTTGATGGTCTACTGTGGCGCGACAGCGATGTGGGCCATTGCCAAGATTCTGAAACGACGTCATGCTCTAACCGACGACGTCCGCTCGCATATGTACGATGCCCTGGATCAGTGGACCGCAGAGCTGAAGAAACGCAACACGAAATTCATGGGAGGCAAGCAGCCCAGCCTGGCGGATCTATCTGTTTTCGGAGTGCTTAGCAGCATGGAAGGATGCCAGACATTTAAGGACTGCCTAAAAAACACCAATATTGGTGGGTTTCTACTTTCTATTCAATTACAGTTTAATTTTATGACTTTACGTTACCTTAGGTAAATGGTTTTACGATGTTAAGGCCCTGGTGGAGAAGAACCGTGGCGCATTGCAAAGGGAACGTATCGAGGGTCTGGCTCCGCTTTAGATCGCCTGCCGAAATCGCAAATAGAACCAGTTTTATCCAAAGATTGTTGAAAATAAAAGTTTTTTTATTTAAAAATATCCCTGCCTACTCATTATTCTTTATGGAATTTTAAATAAACCAAAGCGCGAAACTAATAATTACTAATCTAGTATTATATCGATAACAATATCCTACCTATCGATATATAAATCGATAACCAGAGGTGACAGCTAAAAGCAAATGTCATTTTGTGGAGAACGCCGCTAGAAACTTGCAAATCATTTAGCTCAATTGTTTTCTGGCAAGTTAATTTTACTATTTAGGCATGAGCAGTCTTGGTTTCCAGCAATTTCCCGAGTACCAGGTGCCCGGCGTGCAGCATGCAGACTTTTCGCCCTACGAATCCAATGGCGGGTAAGCTTCGACTTTAATACACGGATGTGAGGAGTTGCTAAATCTGTTGCCTTATTCTGCAGGTCTATTGTGGCTATTGCTGGGGAGGACTTCGTGGTAATCGCTGCAGATACCCGTCTGAGCAGTGGATACAATATCCATTCCCGGGACCAGAGCAAGCTTTTCAAGTTGTCTGACAAGACGGTACTCGGTTCAACCGGGTGCTGGGCAGACACCCTCTCCCTGACTGGGCTGTTGAAAGTGCGCATGCAGGGCTACGAGCACACCCACCTGCGAACCATGTCCACCGACGCCGTTGCTCAGATGCTGTCCATCACCATGTACAACCGTCGCTTCTTCCCCTACTACGTCAGCAACATCTTGGCTGGAATTGATAAGGACGGCAAGGGTGTAGTTTACTCCTATGATCCCATTGGTCACTGTGAACGTGCCTACTACCGTGCAGGAGGTACTGCTGGAACTCTTCTTCAGCCAGTACTGGATAACCAGATTGGACACAAAAACATCAACCTTTCCTCCAACGAGCTACCCAATCTCACTGTAGAGCGTGCCGTGTCCATTGCATCCGATACCTTCATTTCCGCAGCTGAGCGCGACATCTACACCGGTGACTCGGTGCTTATTAACATAATTACCAAGGACGGCATCAGGGAGCAGAAGGTTCCACTCCGCCTGGATTAAATTAAGTCAAAGCATTTGTGGTCAGGGGTAATAAAAAGGACTGTGGATCTGCCCAGGCATTATAAGTTAGATGGCGTGAAATCAATGTATTTACCCGAAGAAACTGAATTCAAATAAACAAGGGATCTATAAGATTTCAAAACATATGCATTTCAGTGTGACCAGCCTCTAATCAGTCGGGAATCAATATGCTTGCAGTTTGGAAATTATAACCGAGAGAAAACTACAAAATTTAAGTTTAATTTTAAGATAATTAGAACACGCTTTCTAGTTTCTATATAATGCGGTTCTCCACTCCAAATTATCGTATAATCCTCTAATCCTTTCAAAATTAAATAAATCGATATTTTCTTAAAGAGAACTAGTTTTATGGCCTGTGCTGTTTTCATGACAAAAAATATTTGAATGTTTTTGTGTGTTTGTGAGGAGAGTGATTTTCAATGAAGAGTTCTCCGTTTGGGTTGCTGCTTTTAAGCTTTTTCTACTTTAGTGACTACTCTCTAGCCTCCGCTTCACGTTCCATCGAGATGATGTCCTCGCTGGTGAAGCCGGGTGTCTTCCGGCATCTCATGTGCCGCAACAACATGTATCCTCGCAGCGGTGTCCTCCGATTTCCGGTTTCCGATGAGCATGTATTTTGGTCAGAACCCTATCCAGACTACTGTCCAATTGACTATACCTCGCCGCATATCGGCGGACAAGTCTGGGCCGATCCGCCACTGCCCAGTGAGACCTTTCATCCGCAGTGGAATAAGTTGGATGGACAGGTGAACCGAGTGTCCTTCCACGGCAATTATGAGATTAAAAACGGCCTGCCTCTTAACCCCATCGGACGCACTGGCCTGACAGGACGTGGCTCGTTGGGCAGATGGGGTCCCAACCATGCTGCGGATCCCATTGTAACCCGCTGGAAAAGGGATGCCAACGGGGACATCGTTAGAAACTCAACCACCGGAAAGTAAGATACTTTTATTTTTCACCACTATGGTATACTACCACTTATTCCCTGTAGAAACATCATCCAAATGGTTGCCATTCAGCGATCCGATAACAAGTTATGGGCCATTCCCGGAGGAATGGTCGATCCTGGCGAGAATGTAAGCGTGACTCTCAAGCGTGAGTTTACCGAGGAGGCCCTGAACTTCACGGACAAGTCCAACATGGTGGAGCAGTTCTTCCGCGAAGGTGTCCACGTCTACAGCGGATATGTGGATGACTTTCGTAATACGGATAATTCCTGGATGGAGACCACAGCTCTAAATTTCCACGACGACGATGGATCCCAGGTGGGGCAGCTGGAACTGGTGGCTGGAGATGATGCTACCAATGTGCGCTGGACGGATGTGGATTCCAATCTGAAACTGCATGCCAATCATGCGGATATTGTCCAGGAAGTGGTCATCAAACGGGATGCGCACTGGTAGACTTTAAGAAGAACTTCATATAGATTTCTAAGATTTCATGATCTTTCATTATCCTTCACAAAACCCACTACTAAATAAAAGAAGAAAACTATTTTTTTTCCAATACAATATTGTGTGTTTATTGGATTCAGACTATGTTTGGGCCAACAAGGTTATATAAATTAGTAAAATCTCTCGCTGCACGCCGGCGTTGCATAAATAAACTTCAACTTGCAATTTCTTAAAGCTAAAAGACGTCTTCAGACTTTCGAAAAGTTTTCAAAACGCATAACTGGAATTTTGAGAAAGCTTGAATTCAAAAACGATTCGCCTCACGAAGTAAAGCAGACTCTGCGGGTGAAGGGCTGTTGGATTAACTAGTTAACGTGTTTTGGTGTATTCTGGTGGGTGGACTACCAGCGACGAGTATAAAAGTATTGTGTTTCTCAAATGTGTGGCCGCTTACAAGGACTGCACGAATTGGAACACTTCCGATGTTGAATTGGAGACACGGCTGAACTGTTCCGGATAACTCTGGCCGATCTCCTTGATAAAGCCTATCACATTTTCGGTAGCCTCGCTGTCGGGCAGTTGCTTCTTGTAGAGCATTTGAATGGTGATGGCTAGCATCTGTTCCAAATATGGTTCAATGGCTGGCCTTGCCTTAATGTAAAGTACGCGGAACGCCTTCTGCAACGTGTCGTTCTCCTCCACATCCTCGCGCAACGGCAAGTTTGACATGAACACGGGAAGGACATGGGCCAAAGGCACTGCATCGGTATTGGTTATGATGAGACGGGCCACCGCTCCGCAAATGTTGTCCAGAGCTGGGGGGTCCTTCTCTTTGGCAATGGCATCAGAAAGGGCTTGCAAGATAGTCGGATATGAACTGCCAAATGGATTCAATATTTAAAAGCCAGATAGGTAAAGGTAGTTTAGAGATAACTCACTCGAAAGATTTTTGCTGGGCATGCAGGACAAGCTCGCCCAGGCCATAGAACGAATTCTGTCGGGTTCGGGGATCGGAGTCAGAAGCACCTTTCAGAAATATTGGGCACATTGTGTCGAAATAACTGACGGACCAGATGCCCAGGGACTGGAAGCAATCGGCCAAGGTGCCGAACAGGAATGATCGCATAGACGTGTCGCTATTCTTCTTGGACTAAAAGTGTAAGGATTTAAATTAGTTACAATACTAGAACTAATTCTAGTTAATCAACCACTTACCATTCGTTGAACGAAGAATGAGTAAAGCCTGCCGAAGTAAGCTGAGAAATCCTTGGATTCGAGAGCATGACCAAAGAGCGGTAGCAAGTTGGCCGAGTTCTCGATGATAGCGTCATCGATCTCGCTTTCGTCGTCATCCTCTTCGTCGCCACCTCCAGCACAGCCTGACTCGCTGAACTGGCATGCCATTTTGTTGGTCAGAAGATCTTTGATGCACAAGCAGATGATCTCGGCTATTTCGGCGGTTGGAACTGCCGGCTTCTTGACCTCCTTGAACAGATCACCAAGAGCCTCGAGCACAACAATGACCACGCTCGATTCCTCGTCGTTGCGAAGTATTTGCGCAAACTTGGGCACAACGATCAGACAGGCGCGAGAAACTCCATCGGTATCCCCGATCTTATGGAGAGCCTTTACGAACTGGGTAAGCGCCTCCACTGCAGCGTGGCGAATACCGTCGCTGGGATGGTCAACAATCTTGTACACGTTTTCGAATGCCGACTGTAGATATGGAGCGAAAGCTGCGCCAGTATTGGCAGCGAACTCCTTAAGCGCCAGTATGGCCTCCTCCTTCTCCATGAGGTAATCGTTCTCAACCTGAAAACCTTCCAATTCCGAATCATCATCCTCTCCGTCCGATTCATCCTCCAGATTGATCTCAATGTTCGGGTCAACATCGTCAGCACTTCCAATTCTGGGCAGCACATCTTCGCTGGAAATCACAGATTCCACAATGCGATCCATAATCTTCGGAAAGACAGCGGCCATGTCCTCTTTTGCCACAATAGAGAGGGCTGCCATTAGATTGTAGGCGGCCCTGCGCAGTTCTGGATCTTCGGTTCCATTTTCCAAAATCGATAGACAGAATCCCATCGAATCGTTGGCCAGCGGAAGGAAGTTCTCTTTTCCCACAACACGTGCAAGCGCTGCCAGCGCATCCATGGCTTCGATGCGAACCTGTTCCAAGCCCTCTGGTATTTGCAACAGCATGTAATTCTGCAGGACGGCTATCGTCCTTGGGAAATAGGGCATAAAATCTACCTTGGCGGCAGTAGCAGTGGCCCCTACGGCGGACAGGGCCAGTTCACGGATCCTGGGAGGGTTCTGGGCGTCCATTGCAGGAAAGAGGCTATGGATTAGTGGGATTAGATAATTAGACATTCAAATCTGATTTCTGGTAATATTACCGCTCCATCAGTATAGGTAAATCTGGTTTGATTTTGTCCTCCAAGTTTTCGACAAAGGCCTCCAGGGCATAGAACATGCGATCGGTGTACTTCGACTGGGGCAAGCCATTCTGAAAGGAATAGTGTTAGAATCGGAGTTTTCCAGTATTAGATTAGATCTCAGTGCAATGTGAATGAATTATGGAAGATATAATTCTCATAAGAAGGCTCATATCTTCTTAAATTCGATTGGTAATGGTTATAGTTTCAGATATCGGACCACAATATGCTTTCCTAGGCGATGTATGAGTGCAAGAAGAACGTAAAAATAAAGAAAAAGGACTATGAACAAGCACCCTATACTTGTCGAGGATCGATTTGCGCTTTATCTGTATGTGATCTAAGTACATTAGAGTGTCTTGGGCGGGTACCAAGGCGAAATCACTCCCGTTGCTGTCATGGGCATGGGCCTTAGGAAGCAGCACAAATAAAAGAATGTAGACCACAAATAGAGATTCCTGAATACCAATAGAAAAAAGGATAAGCAAGTACCACTTACCTTCAGATCATTGACCAACTGGCCGAGATATTCGAACAGAACGGGAAGGATCTGAGGAGAATATTTGGATATTTCCGGTTGCATGTGCTCCGCAAACTGACCCAAACAAAAGAACGCCGAGTTGCGCACGAATGGTGACTGATCGGCGATACCGCCCTTAATGATGTTCAGCATTGCCTCGAGATACTTGCTCGTGATGGAATCCGAGCATCCCTCGGCAATGACCGCCATTGCCAGAAAAGCTGCACGGCGACGAATCGGGTCGGGGCTCTGCAGGGCCGTCTCCAGAATATGCAAGAGCGGCGGAATCAGCTTCTCTGGTGATAGACTTAGAGCCATAATATCTAAAGCCTGTGAAGCGGCAGTAATGGGGTTGTCTCCACCGTCGTTTGAAAAGTAATCCTCATCTGTTTGCGAAATATTATTGCATTTTCAATGAATTACAGGAATTCTGATTACCCACCGTCATCGCCTGTGGGAGAGCAGCACATCACATTGAAAACTACGGACAGGACTGGCTCCAGTAGCTTCTGTTTGGTAACAACCTTCTTCTTTTGTTTCACCAAACGCCCTAAAAAGGAGATGACCTGAACGCGAATGGAGTCATCAAGCTGTGTGTTGGCCGATATCTCCATACTGAAATCAAGTATGGGCTTGATATTGGTGAGTAGTTTGGGTGAGTACTCGATCATGCAGTCCAGAATGTCGAATGCTGCTTGGAACTCCTGAGCAACGCCCTTATAGGCAAAGGCATGCAGCGACTTAAGAATCTGGGGCAGGACCTTGGCCACAGTATGCTCTGCAGCCGAGTGCCCGGCTATGAACGGCATGAGGTAGGTTATACCAGCCAGCATGTTGCAAACAGTTGGAGTGGTCAGGTCACCGTTGTTTTCCGCAGACACCAAGACATTGGCGAATATCATGCAAATTGTGTCCATGTGGGGAACAAACTGATCGGGAGCAGAGTCCGTGAGAGTAGCGAATGTCGATGAGCCCATCTCGCTCTCCTTTGGATCCGCGGAGACGCAGCGATCGAAGATGAACTTAAGAAGCTCTGACAACCAAGAGTCCTTCTTTTCAGCCTCATGACGAACTATGCTGCCTATCAACTGGGCGATGGCATTTTTCACACCCTTTTCCTTCTCGGCAATGAGTGCCTGCAGTGCGATCTGCTTCATTCTAAATGCGAACGAGATTATAAAGGTAAAAAATATAGAACTATATAGGATTACTTACGTGTTTTGCTGATCAGCATTGAGGGCCTGCCAGTGGCGCAGCTTGCCAAGTCTTTTGTTGAGGAGCACGGCAGCGAATTGACGGATTTGGGTCTCCATGGGCGAGACAACAATGTTGCAGAAGCCTAAAATCGCCTCGGGATTCTCGTAGGCCTTTGACAAGGCGGCAGTAGACTAGAAAATAAATAAATAGCTATTCAAAAATGTATATGATAAAGAATAGCAATAGGGCTGATAGTTCTTTAAGAAAACTAACCATCGAAGCCCACTGTGCCTTGGAAACACCCAAGAATATTAATTTCCACATGGCACTTTTTCTATGTATATGTATATGTATTTATGTATTGTAGAATAGAAACAATTACCGCTAGCACGCGGTAGGTAGCTTTTATATTATATAGCAGATTCAAAGAAAACAAGAGACATGTACATATGTACCTCGTGGCAGTGTACCAAAGGCTGAAGGATAACCTCCTATAAGCCTTTGCCTTCCCGCCTTCGGCGCTTTTACATACCTGTCGTATTTTATCATTGTCGGAGCATAAAAGTCCGCAAATGATTTCCACAAGAGCTGTTTCCATTTTTAATTAGTATTTTCCTAATATCCAGCAAGAATAAACAATCCGCGGCGAGTCCAATCGAACGCACAATTGGCACGATTCAAATTGAATAAAAATGACAAGCCGGAGAATTCGCAAAAGTGACTAGGGATGGGAAAGACGCAAACGGCACGGCACGTTTCACAGCGAGACAGTATTTTTATCGGTCCGCAAAGGGTCCGTTTTATCGGTCCGTGTATTTATCGGTACACAGTATTTCGTTTTCAGTTTTTTGTTTTCCTTTTGGAATTTTTTTTAAATTAAAATGGAGTCAATTTTTTACTAGACCATTTTGTTTTGAATTTGATTTAGCACTGAAATATTTATCCCAACGACAATACAATACGGTTTGACAGATATATTCAGTGGGCTCTGAGTTTGGTATTTTTATCGACATTCAAATTTTTCTACTATCGATATCGATCGTCCATTTTTGAACCAAACGACGCGCGTTTTTCTTGTTTTCGTTTGATCCTCCGTCCGCTCTACAGCTAAGCGGTTAGTAACAGTAAAAAGGACCGAAGCGGAATGGACAAGAGCCGGAAAAGCAATGGAAATGGCAGCTATATGGACCAGAACTCGTTAGGTATCCTGAACATGGATAATCTTAAGGGTAAGGACAGGTAGATTAGCTTCTTCAAGCGTGAACTCATTCTTCAAGGTCCCCGCAGTCTTTGGCGATCTCTCCAGCTTCAGTAAGAGCGGCAGGCGCACCACATCCAGCAGGGATGCATCCGGCATTCAGGAGCGACTCAAGGCCGAGAGGCAGCGAGCCATGGAGGCCTTGGAGAAGCCGCGACCCACTCGTATCAGCCACACAAAGCCTGCTGCTGCCAGTATCTGCTCCAGTACAAACATTTCAGAGTTGGTCACCGACGAAACCATTGACCTTAATAGCAGTGGGTCCTTTGCTTTGGTCACACCCGCCCCAAAAGGTAGCAACGTTTCGTTCGAGCCGGCCGAAATCACCGGCAGATCCACTCTATGTGGTCGTCGGGAAAAGACAAAGCCCTCGGTTTCCGTCGCCGACATCTTGAAGAGTTCCTTCGTGGAAAAGGCTCGCCTGCTGGAGAAGAAGCTACAGAACGCCAGCCAGTTGGACGCCAGCTATCATATGTCCAGGATAAACTCAACCAACCTAACGGATTCCTTCAATTGTTCTCGAAGTCTGCCCCGTACGGCAGATCTAAGTGACCTTAGTCTGAATGGTGGAGGAGGATTCTCCTTTGGCTCTGCTTCGGTGTCTGGCCAGGCGCTGGACGAGAGCTTTGCGCCTGCCGAGTTGATGCAGTCAAAGCTGGTTCAGGGTGAGATCTCATGGGCCCAGGAGTTCACAGCCATGCCCACGGCCACCATGAGCAACCAAGCTATCCAAAAGATGGCAGCGCCACCACCCGCCTCTGATATAGAGACTTCTGTGTCAAAGTAAGTTATTTTTTACATATTTTTCAATGGAATTTTGGGATTAAAATGTTTATTTTATTGCAGCTCTGTTTTGGCCGGCGATCCCGACTTTTCACTGGGAAACTACTTCCAGACGCGGTCCGAGAACCTCTTTAATATCGTGAACAACAATACCAGTCCGGACCGCGTTCGCTCTGTTCAGCCCCTAATGGAGGCTGATGGCAATCAGACCCTAGGCTCCTTGGCTGCAAAGACTCCGCTGCCAGAAAATAGAACTTACACGAAGCCCCAGGAGGCAGTTGGGAGCTCATCTCATCTGGGCCAGAATCTCATGAGGAAAATGCAGCAGGATCGGATTCAGGCAGCTTTCAAGTCCAATAATAATGTCCAACCAGAGCCTAAGCGTCCTCCTTCGAGTTCCGAGATCCTTAGTCTGTCGGCCATTGATAAGGCTCTGAGGGATCTTGATCTTAATTCGGATACCTCAACAGTGGAGGTGGTAAACCACTTATGGGAGCACGGCCGTGGTAATCACTACCAGGAGGATGAAGACAATAAAGAGAACCTGGAGAACAAGGAGAACCAAGATCGTAGCCGAGGAGATAGAACGCTATGCGGTTCCAAAAAGCTGTCAGACACTATGAGTTTCACGGATTCTTTGCTGAACTCATCGGATTTTCGGCATCTGCAGCAAAGTATATCACGGAAGCCGCTTAGCCCCTTGGCGGACCATCCCCAGATAACTATCAGCCGGGCGGACACCGAACCTGTGGATGCCGAAGCTGAAGCGGACATTGATGAATGGCCTTCAACGCCAGTGAAAGATGCCAACAGGCGCGTCCGACGAACGAAGGTTTCTCCAAGAAGGGCCTCGCCTGCCAGCAGTGATGGGGTGCGTCCATTAACCGGAACGGAGGATGAAAATGAAAATGAGGACGATGACAAAACGCCGGTTAACAAAAAGCGAGTCTCCATCTCGACATCGGTGGGACTATTGCCGCGCAACCCAACCTCATTAAGTAGCACCCGTCTGGACGGATGTGATGCTGCAGTTGCCTCGTCCACTGAGCGTGAGTTTGGCATCTCGCCGAGTTTGAGCAAGAACCTGTCGCCCATGTCCTCGCCACGAAGCTGCCTCTCCTCACCGCTGCTGGACAGCACAACCAATTCTGAGCGCCGGCTGTTGATGAACGGAGTTGCACGTAAGGCCAACTCCTCGCCGGCGGGCAGTGAGTCAAGCTGTATCAGTGGATCTGTAAGACGTGGACCTGGAGTGGCGTCTATTTCCTCGGTTACAGCGCCGCGTAGCATCTCCCGCTGCTCGAACTCCAGCGAGTTTAGTCACCGCGACGGAAAACTGCTTCCCTTGAAGGTGACAAACACAAGCCTGTGCTGGGGCAGCACCAAACTCCGCACGGATGTGCGAAAATGCATGAAAGTGAAGAACACGGCAGACAAGCGGCTCGTTATTCGGCTGGGGATCCAGGGACCCGGATTCCAGCTAGTCGGAAGCGACAGTAGCACCATAACTCTACAGGCAATGGAGTGCCGTTCGGTGGTGGTTAACTTCTGTCCCACTGTTTGCGGAGCAGCTATCGGAGCATTGTCCTTTTATGCTCCTGCCGGAGCACACAACTGCAGCCAGCCTGGACTGGAGATCCCACTGTACGGCTATGGAGGAAGCGCCTCCATTGCTATACAGGGCCTGCTCAAGGGACCGGTCGGTGCTAGCTTTTTAACGATTGGTGATGTTTGTGACCTATCAGCCGGACCACTGTCGGCCTCTCTACGGTTTCAAAATAAGGGTCCTCTCACCGCTTTCGTGTGCATATCAGTCGACTCCACCGTGCTGATGAAATTGCGACTGAGCGAAGCTTTCGAGGTGAAACCCAGCCGGATGATCCTACCACCAAATACGGAGGCCAACGTACAGATCCTCTTCCGTCCAAATCGTGAGGACATGAAAAACATTCTAAAGAAGACGGCCCAGGTGCTGACGCTAGCCAATATGCGAATCTTCTGCGGCGACGAGCCCAACAGGCAGCGAATGCGAAGTCTGGTCCAGCGGATGAGCAGCAGGGAAAGGGAGAAATATACCTCTCCAATGCTAGAAAACATGTGGGGATCCTTTCCGGATGAGCAACAGGTCCGAAACATTGGCTCACTCAATGAGCCACCCGATTTCATATTAGACTTGGTGACCATGGTGCGAATCATTGATGTGGCGCTAACCCTCAACCGGGACTTTGATGAATCCGACGAGAGCTCGCTGATGTTTCTGCCGGAGGCGGAGGAAACTGTCCTCTTCCGTACAATTTGTGCCGCAAACTCACCCACCCCCACCCAGAGTAACCTGTTGGAGCCGGTAGATGAACTTCTGGAGGCGGATACCACCACAATTACCGGTCTACCCGTGGATCGCAATTGGTCCGTGCAGCCTGCATCGCTGGAACTAAATGCCAGCAACTTCTCCGTGGGCACGTTGTCGGTGATAAACAGCTTCAGCTCCCGCCAACTGATTGAGGTCAATAGCAGCGTACCGGATTTGGTGCGTGTCAATCCCAGCGAGTGCTACGTAGCTCCTGATGGGGGGCAGGTGGAGATCGAGGTACGTCTGCTGCGGCCGCCTAGACGGGAATTGCTCTCAAAGGAGCCGCTTATCACTGTCTCCATGGAAAATGAACGTATTACTGTACCCCTTAGCTTTAAGTTTTAAAAAATGTTTGTGCCTGCATGTAGCGGTTATCTACTTATTCTTTACTTGTTCTTTAATAAAACGCAATTGTGTCTATAATTTTTTATTGCAAGAAATCAGAATTTTAATAACAGAACATTTAAATTAATTCGATTTGAATAGTAACGAACTGTTCACCAACCCTGAATTGCATGCATCCATTTGGACGTTGACCAACACTGTACACCAATTATCGATACTGGACGTAGGTGTTTGCAGCCTAGACACTGTCTGTACCGATTTCGAACTTTTAATAAACAAAAAAAAAGGAAATAAGAAAAGCCTCTTCGCCGCTACATATAGCCCCTCTGAGAATGGATGCCGACAGCAGTCGTGGCCCCAAAGGTCCGTATATATAGCAGTGAAATGGATCCAATATCGGTCCTGCAATTGCATACAAGTGCATACTCAAGTGCATACAATGTTTTTTTTCTTTTTGTTGTTTTTTTTCTAGTGCCAAGAAGTGAAAAGTGTGAAAATGGAAGTTGAAGTAATCCTAACGCATAAAGCAGCAGGAAACCAAAGCAGCAAGGACGTGCTCTAAAATGTGACTCCCCCGATTCAGGGATATTCCATTTAATAATCAAAATATTTAATCATAATTTTCTATATAGATTCCCATGGGTCCAGGTCACGTCACAAAAGAGATTCCTGTGAAAGGGACCGTAGTAGAGAACGGAGAAGAGACCGGCGGCGGGAGGATAAGGAAAAGGTTCCCTACTTCGCAGACGCAGGACGCGAGCGAGATCGGGTAAGGCGCTTACGCCAGATATCACCTCACTCCAACCGCCGCAGCCGCAGTCGCAGTCGATCTAGATCACGCTCATCCGAGAGAAGGCGATGGCGTCGTCGGAGAAGTAGCAGCGATAGCAGGAATCATCACCGAAGTCCCAATCGTCGTAGTATGCGCAAGGACACTCCACCGCCAAAGATTATAAATTACTATGTGCAAGTGCCAGCACATGAATTTAATGGATACGGTTACGTTAGTATATTTTTATCCTTCTTGAACAGTATCAGTAGCATATTTTAAATATTTTCCCTAAAAATTTTATTTTGTTTGATTTACAGGGCATGTATGGACCGTATGGCATGGTACCACCACCAAGGTACGGATATCAGCGACACCCTCGTCCTTCCCATTTCCCGGCAGCACACCTAATGTACCGACAACGTCCGTCATTTATGAGGACCCCACGATTTAGTTATAGAAATGCCTGGCGGACACCACATTAGACATTTTAAACTCGACGTAATTACAAATTTATTTACATTCGTGTGATTTATACATTAAAATAATAAATACACATATATTTGAAACAAAAAGGGGTGAACATAATATATTGCAAACGGAGAAATTTGATTTAATCATGAGCAAAATAATGTCACACGAGGCGGAGAGGAAGTTTACTTAGTCTAAGAGGAATAACCATATAATTAAGACTTTATACATGCACATTTACACATACACACATGGATTGGTTTGGGTTTGGGTATGGATTTGGGGACCTAACACTAGCGACTCTCTCCTAATTACGATATTACGCTTTTTCAATAAATTATAAAAATAGATCATTTGTGTGGCATTATACTAGAAAACAGCGTCCCATCCGTTAAAGCTCAACCCGGGGACGAAACTGTAGCCGAAGCGGTGGATCTCTAAAGCGCCAGCGCGTCACATAGACGAACTTCAGCGTGTGATCTTTTCCCAGCAGCTCCTCGTTGCACAAAATGTCGATCTGGGGACAAAGAAATTGAAAAATTACAAATTTGCGATAATATTGGGAATAAAGATTAAAATAATTAAAAGATATTGGACATCCTACAACCGTGGCTTTCTACAAATTAAAGAATGGCAAGAGAAAGTATATGTACCTCTCGATACTTTTCGATCCCATTTAAGATCTTCTTGGCCACCAGCTTTTTGAGATGCGTTATCGTCGCCTGCGAACTGCAGCGGATAAAGCGGCGCTGCAAGCTCTTGAAGTTGTTGCTGATGCATTCGAGGCACACGTTCACCTGCTCGTCGAGGCGATGGAAGTCGGACTCTGCATGCGCCTCCATCACCTTCTCGTTGTCGTCCTCGTGGTTTTGCGTTATATCCTTCGGACATGGCATGTTTCTGCTCTTGTAGAAGTCTCGCTCTCTTCGCGACTCGTCTAATAAAAGGATTGTCCCAAAGAAAAGAATATTTTAATAAAGGAGAAAAAAAACATAGAGGTATAGCCCATACCTTCTTGCAGTTTCGGCACCAGTTTGTACACAATGTCCTGCATGGTGCGATCGAAGCTGATGTATTGCAGCGGGTGGGACTGGTGAATGATGTTGTCGCAGGTGGGGCATGTTTTCTTCTCCTCTAGATGCTTCACTAGGCAACTTTTGCAGACTGAAATGCACGATAAATGGCACTGTTATTAGTCGGACTGCAGGTGCTCCAGCCAGAAAACACTCACATGTATGCAGACACTCCGTAACCGTGGTGGCATCGATGAAGTAGCCCCCGCATATCTTGCACGTGATGTGCGGGTTGATCGTCTTCAGCTTCACGCGCCGCTCCATGCTGTTTACCCAAACCGGCCGATCTCTTCAGTTTTATATATACTCCTACACCGCTGCAGAGCTTGATTTTTCGATCCCCCACTCCGCGGCGGAAAAAGGTTAAAACGGCGGCGCCGCTTGCTACCGTTTAATTCGAACGCTCGCGCACGTTATAACAGGCACTCGGCATGGTGGCCAGCAGGTTTAGGTTGCAATTTGTTTGGTTTTTAGCAGTAATTCGAAACAAATAAAAGAAATCACGACTAAATTATGTGTACGTGTGAGTTAGGGATGGACGATAGTTAATCACGCTTAAGTCGCAGTTATCGAAAATTGTTCCTCGTGTTTTCTAGCACTGTGACATATTGCCAGACTGTAGGTAGTATTCTGGGCGGGAAAGTTGCCGTATCCGGAAACCGGAGTTAAGTGTGGCCTAGTCCCCCTGCTTAGGGTAATCTCGTTTTTTTCGGAAATCAGCTGTTGCTTATCTGCTTTTGTTTTTGCTAGTTATTTTTTTCGAGGCGTAGTTTTGCGTTAATTACAAAGCAAAATCCTACCAAATGGCGCTGGTGGACCATGATTCCTGGGATATCGAGTACGAGGGCTGCGAGCGACTGCGTCACCAGCTGCTGGTGCACCTGAACCAGCGCCAGCAGCTTAATCCCAATGATGCAAAGTATCTTCAGTTGACGGCCAGTGTAAAATCCGGACTTGAGCAGCTGGGAAAGGACGTGAAACACTTGAAGGTGGTGCTGGACAACGCTGTTACATGGGAAACCAGCCCGGCGGAGGAAATCGAACAGCGACGCATCGATTTTGATCGTCTCACATTCCAGCTGCGCGAAATTAACGAAAAGTTCGTGAAAAGCTCACGATCCAATGTTTTGGCTGCTTCTCCTGGGGTTTCATCCCCCTCCGTCTGGCAGAATCAGGACCAGGGTAATCGTCCCACGGACGTAGATACCTTGAAGCTAAGGCAGGCCGAGATGCTGGAAAACCAGAACCGTGGACTCGATGCCCTTTCAGCTACCCTCTCTAGACAGCGAATCCTGGCCACTCAGCTAGGCAACGAGGTGGAGGACCAAAACAGTAGGTCGAATGCATATCAATCAATTATTTTCCTAATTTGTTTTTAACCACTTGTAGATATTTTGGACAACCTGGCCGATGCCATGGATCGCGTTGAAAATGGAGTGCAGCGTGAAACTCAGAGCATTGGTCAAGTTTACCGACGGGACAGCACCTGGCGATATTGGTTGGTCATAATAGCTTTATTCGTGGCCATTATAGTGGTCATCTTTGTGTAGTCTTTCCAATTGTTATTATGTTCGTCTATTGTTGATTCAGAGCTCCCAACGTTCGAGTATTTATATATATATTAAAATAGGATTTTATACTATCTCGTTTCTTTCCTCTCAACAGGTTTATTTTTGTCGTTACATTACGGTTAACAGCTTTACGGGTGATTAACTACTTAAGCCAAATCGGAGGCATAGGGCACATTAGCCAGATTGCCGATGGCACCTACAGCCAGCTTGGAGCTGCCGACCTTCTTAGCGGCCGCCTGAACTTCTGACTGCGAGATGCCGTCGATGGCTGCCAACAGAGCGTCGGCTTCCAGCACGTTGCGGGTGAGCGCTGCTTGGCGGCCGACCTCCTTGATCAGCCCGCTGTCGGAAGAGTACTGCGAGATAACGCGGGCCTTCAACAGGGCCTTGCCGCGGGCAACATCCTTGTCGGACACTGCACCAGATTTCAGGGCACGAACCAGGAAGTCCACAGCCTTTCCGGCGTTTTTGGAATCAGCAGAAACCACAAAGCCAAACAGGCCAGCATCAGTGTAGCTGGCGTTAATAGCCTTAACAGCAGCAGATCCTCCGGCGTTGGCGATGGCATCACCGAAAAGTCCAGCCGAGTTACCACGCTTGGTGGCCGCTCCAGCACCCACAGCTTGCTCTAAAATAGCAAATGCCAAAGCTTCCTTGTGGTTGGAAGCGGCACCACCCTGTCCAGCCACAGCAACGACAGTTTGGTGACCAGCAGTATCTTTGCGAGCATCTCCACCGTACCAGTTGGGCGACTCGGGCTTAGCACCGCCGTTGGGGAACTGCAGAGTCTGAGCGAATCCGGAGAGGGTGTTGATGTCAATGCCAACGCCTACAACAGCGGCACGTCCAGCGGCGAAGGTCTCGCACACGTAATGCAGCAGGCTCTCCGATGAAAGCTTACCAAGCTGGAAGCGAGGGGAGTAGATCGAATTACCCAGGCCCTTGCGGAAGGCGGCTTTGTGCACCAACTCAACTACGCGTTGCTACAAAAGGGAAAAAATGTTAAGCTAGACATTAACTTGTAAGATTTTTGGAAATACCTCTTTGGAGACGGCGTCCAACTGGTTCAGAAGGGTCTTGGCATTGTCAGTCAGTTCCCAGGGCTTGAAAGCAGGCTGCAGCAAATCCTGAAGATACCGCAGTCCAACTTCGGCGTTGTCGGTAGTGGTGGTCACGGTGTAGCCAACAACTTCGCGATCGCCCCAAGTGGACAGGGTGCCGCCTACCTGCTGGATGTTGCGGGCGATGGCGAACGCGGACGAGTTCTGGGTGCTCAGACCTCCGGCCAAACGGAGCAGATGCGAAGCACCCTGGGTGTCGTAGGCCTCGTTACGGGAGCCAGCTCTAGGGAAACGATAATAGTCTCAATGAATTTCAATAATATTTTATAAACTTACCCCAACACCAGGGAGACACGCGTAACCGGAACAGTGGCTTCTGCGGAGGCAACCACAAGCTTGTTCTCCAGCACCTTGACATTGATGCTGGACACGTCGCCAGCAGGACGCGGGCAGGTGGAGTAGCCTCGTTTCTGACGGAAAACAAGGTTGGATTAACATTATTTGGTTGGTTATTTAGATAGGAACTCAGTACGATTTACGTAACACGAGTCTCCACTACGGATGATTCGCTGCCGTAACTATTTTTTGGTTAGGAAGCAACTTACGGCAATGGAGCGCAGGAGCGACGTCTTGCTAGCGTTGCAGGCCATGGCGTGTATTCTTTCTAATTTCAGCTATTTGCTTTCAAAGCAATTTTTTATAAATATTCGCAGAGCGAAAATTTTTACTCCGCTGTCGTTTGCGCTGGTGTGGCCGTCGCTTGGTGATGCAAATATCTGTTTTTGACTTGGCGAATGGTCACACCGATTGAGTAGTGATATTAAGTCACTGAATTTTAAAAAGTACAAAATAAATCGAAAACATTTGAAGTTTTGTTAGAATTTAAACAATTAGAACTACTTTGATTAATGTGTACTTTATTACTTTACTCTTTAAGATATACATGAAACATTACAAACTGTCGATTAGACTATCATTTCTAGATCGCGGGCATAGCTGAGGACTTGCTCGGCCAGCTCCTCGGAGGGGAGAAGCTCCTTGGGTTTGATACTGCGGTCGGTGAAGCTGTAGTCACCGGTGGCCTCCAGCTTCCACTGCCGCTTTTCGCCAAAAGCCTTGATCTCGTCGGGGACGCGCAGGCTGAGCCTCTTGGCGGCATCCTTGGCGGATATCTTTTCATAGGACTTCTCGATGCAGGCGCCAATCTCGTCGCGAACAGTCTCTACAAGCAGGTCCATGAAGTAGCTGTAGACCTCGGCGGGCACCGTGGACTTGGCTTGGAAGATCTTGTTATAGCGGCCCTCCATGATGTACTGCTCCAGGGCCAGGATAGGCCGGATGAACTGATTATGCTGGATCACATCCACCGAGAGGAGCTCCAACTCTGTATGGAAGTCTGAGACGCGGTTGCCAGAGAGGAGATACAGGAGATTCAGACCCAGAAGTTTGTACTTGCTCTCAGATTCGCCAATGATCTTTGCGTAGTCGTAGTAGTAGCACTTTAGCTGCGCCATATACCTTTCAAAGGCAAGCAGGTCCTTGCTTAGCACGCTGTGCTCCACGGCGATCTCAAGAACGCTCCTAGCCAGGATGAGCTGCTTCTTGTGGCTTGCCGCATCCGCTCCATCCGTGGGCAAAAAGGCGATTTTCACCAGGGCGACTTTAAGCTGATCCAGCAGCTGCCCACATCTGACGGTGTTTGGTGGCCGCTTAGACCATTCGGAGATTAGCTCCTTGTACAACGTCTCTACATTGGCCATCTTTGTTTATTTATTTAAAATAAAGTCTTGTAATTCAGAGAATGAGTTTCGCTTTTTGCAACGCGTTAGAGATGACCGTTTATATGTTTCTGGTAATCGATTCTTGCGATAGCAACAAGTGTTGGAAAACACCACATAAGCGCTCTTTACAATTTCAGCACAAACTTACCATCTTTACTTACAACCAGCAGCAAGCTCAACGCTTCTTCTGCTTTTCTTTCCATTGGCTTCGTTTGACGAAATAAAAAGATGACCGACCAGACAAACCCAAACAGTGCCGTTTGGGATGATTCCTTGCTGGTAAAGACCTACGACGAGTCTGTGGGACTCCTCCGTGAGACATTAGCCCGCCGTTTGGCCGATTCAACCAATAAGCGTGACGAGGAGCAGGTTTCCGTCCCTGATGATGCTGCCGACGACGGAAAAGAACCTGTTCAAATTGATCCTGAGCCATTGGTCTTCAAGGTTGGTGACTACGCTCGTGCCACCTACACCGTGGACGGATTGGACTACGAAGGAGCTGTGGTCTCTATAAACGACAAGAACGAAACCTGTATAATCCGTTTCCTGGGCTACGAGAACGAACAGGAGGTTCTTCTAAATGACTTGCTTCCCTCCTGGGGCAAAAACGTGCGTCGCGAGCAATTCCTCGCCGCCAAAGAGGAGGCAGAGGAGGAACCGCAGCCGGTGCCAAGCCGTTCCAAGGCAGCTTCCTCGTCCACCAATCCACCGAAGAAGTCGTCTGGAAAGAAAACTGGAGAAGTCAGGGCCTCCGGATCTGGCGGAAGCGGCATGGCAGGTCCTGTCATGCCTCCCATGCCACTAGTGCCACCAATGTTCGCTTCTCCGGGGGACGCTGCCGAACAGGACTTTGTAGCTATGCTGACTGCCTGGTATATGTCTGGTTACTACACGGGTCTCTACCAGGGCAAAAAGGAGGCTAATGCTGCTGCCAAGAAAAAAACTCCAAAGAAGTAATCTGAAGCTCTCACTCAAAACATCATTTGTTTAGACTAATAGCATATAAGTCCAGGAAATCCCCATACATATATAAAAATTGTTCGTTATAAGATACATATGCGTAGTTTTGGTTTATGGGGAGGTATTTATGTACATAAGTATTCAAAGTTTGTGTCCAACAGAAAATGGTCACTCGAGAAATTTACGATCTGAAGGCATAAACAGTGGGGGATCAGGTTTCCCGGCTACTTGAAAGATTCCGGGTACTTGAGAAGGGTACGAGTCGTATTCCCTTTTTAGTTGCTGTTCGTCGTCCTACAACAGAGGTCTTTTAGTTGAATCTCTTAAATTTTGAGACCTAAAACCTTAAAAAATCTGGCAGCATCGTAATTATCGCCGAAAACTCAGGAGCGTGCGAAGCAAAAAAATAAACAAGAATATTTTTGCAAGTTCAGCGTTTTACGATTTTTTGGTATATCTACAAACTTTAAAACGAATAGAATTGGTTTTGTTATAGAAAATTTAATTTTACCTTCATAAAAAAAACATTTTCATTTTCAGTTCAAAAAACAGTTTAGATTTTTTTCAGTGTTCCAAAATTTTTTAGGTTACTTTTCAGTCATTCTGAAGAAAACTTTATTGAAGTGCGATGCGCGTCCTCGACTTTTTCGACGGCTCCGTGCCCATTTGCTTGGACTATCCAGATAAACGCGTTTTCCGGAAATGTTCCAGTTACAGTGATCGAGTACCAGGCCTGAACTGGGTAGAGTTTAGCGTGTATCATGAAGGGAGTTTGGAGTACATGGAGGATCGACGCCAGGTTTTGCTGGAGGCTATCTATGAGGTCGTTGATGGCGCCAATTTCTTTCCGGTCAACTATCAGGTGGTATCAAGCGATATAAACTTTTAAAAAAAATATGTAATTGTTGTATGTTACTTCTTCATTTAGCTCGGTGGTCGTGTGGACACTTTTCTGGCAAGGGACTGCAAGAAAGCCATGGACAGGCTCTTTCTCCAGAAGTTGACCATTAACCTGGGCAAAGGCATTTCCATCGGAATCGGTGTTCAGATTGGAGTGGCCCGATACGTAACAAATCAAATAACACCCACGTACATCATTGCCGAGAAGCTGTCGGATCTGATCAAGCGGCTGGTAAAACGTGACGGCGTGGGTGGACTTCTCAATCTGGACTCATTCGGCAACCATCCCGAATTCAGAAATATCGTTGTGAGCCTGGCCAATCCATCCATTTTTACGACAGTGTGCCAGATTATCCGCAACGACCCGGATAGCTATCGAGTGCGCGGATTTATTCTGTCCAGAAACCGGATCAAGTGCCTCAAGCCACTAAGTCTGTTTTCGAATAATCCTTCGATTGAATTGCTGGACTTGAGTGAAAACAGAGTGAGTGTTTCCACAGGTATTCAAATAATTACCTGTTATTCCTATTAGACACTTTTCTAATGGGTTTTGTTGGATCTGATTCTAATTTTCCAATGACTTTCCCCAGATTGCATCCGCGGAACGTTTTTGCACTGAAATGGCCAACTTCCAGGCCAAGGAACTTTTGCTGGCCAATAACCCCATCGAAAGGAATTCAAAATTCCCAGAAAATATCAAGGCGCTCGAGAATAACTTTACTCTGGTGGTGAGTATTATTCTTATTTGAAAAGTATTTGAATAATTATCGCCTTAAAAACTCACTTAGAACGGGGTTCCCTTCGACAAATTGCACAAAGCCTATTGTCCGCTGGATAACGACATTGATCTGGAGGCTGACGGTACGCGCATTGATGGAAACAACATATGGAAGTTAATGGAGTATAAGGACAGTAACGATTGGCACGCCTTTTGCGTCTCAGACCCTCTACAGGAGTTCCAAAAGGATGCACTTTTCGACTTCTTTTTCATTAGTGTGGACGTTAATCTAAGCGAAATTTATCCTTGCTACTACAAGTACATCCGAGGTGAGCACGTCTTCCTCGTCCGTAATTGCTTCGACCAGATTGTCCATCTGACCAGCTTCCGGGGTATGAATATAGTGGTGCCACCGATGATGAACCTTGGGGAGCGTCTACTTAGTTTCTACTTGCGCATGAATGTGAGCGTCTTCAAGGACCACCACTTGGAGCCACACAAATGCATCATGAAAGCGGTGAAAGAGAGCTATGCTGCTCAACACCGTCTGCTTGATCTCTCCCAGTTCCAGTCCAATAAAAATCTGGAGAATGTAATAGTGCATATGAGCTCTCCGAAGGTGCTGACGAGTGTACTTTTGGTTGCCTCAAAGCAGTTCATGGAGAACTGCTCGGAGATCCGCCTGTGTAACAACAAGATTGTCCAGGTAAACCAAGCCAATTTCTTGACCCGAATGGGCAACTTACGGGCTCTGGATCTGAGGCACAACTGGCTGCACAACCTCTCTGTGATTCAGCCTCTTGAGGTCCTGCCCCTGAAGTCCCTTTTACTTCACGGAAATCCCCTCTGCCGCAACTATACAATGGCTAGCGAGTATGTCAGGGCAGTGAAGGAAATTTTCCCTCAACTAACGACTCTGGATGGAGTTGAGCTTCAGGCCAATCCCGGCCAGACACCGCAGAAAAACTTTCTCTGCGATATCGGCGCTTATGAGTTAGTGGGCGATGTTTTCCTAAGCAATTACCTGCGGGAGTTTGAGAATTCGCGGGAATCCCTTCTTAAGTATTATTCGGATGACTCGATATTCACCATGACCTGCAGTTACCGAATAGTCCAAAGTCAGCGTATTGGAGCAACTGGACAGCTCCTTCGTCGTATGTCTCAGTACAATTCGAACGCTCGGAATCTTCACCAGTTGGATAACTCGAAGGCGGCGAACTTTGTGTTTGTGGGTGGCATGGAGATTGTGGAGCTTATGTTGAAGCTGCCCAAAGTCACACACGACTTCCATTCCCTCCAGACGGATGTAATGCATTACGATGGCAAATCAGCGATTATCTATGTGACTGGGTTGTTGCGAGACGAGTCTGCAAATAATTTCAGAGGCGATGATTTGTTCCTGGCCTTCAGCAGACAGTTTGTGGTCAAACTTGAAGAGGATGGACTGGTAAGCTTCAAAATTCTTTTATAAATTCTAAAATAAACTATTTTTTTGTTCAACAGGGACTTGGTAAAAGTGGCCGGCGCCTAAAGATAACCAATGAGCGCTTCAATGTCATGAATCCTTCCAAGATGATGGTTAGAAACGCCTTTAAAGTTTCGCATTCAACGCAGGATGAGAATTCGAGCCACAAGAGTGACCTGGATGTTAAGGACCATAAATTACTGCTCTTTCAGGAGGTAACTGGCCTGATTTCCACCTGGTGTACATCGATTGTGGAGGCAGCCGAGTGGGACTTTGAGGAAGCCCTTAAGCTGTTCCTGAAAAAGAATGAGGCTAACGAGATTCCGGATATAGCCTTTGCTTAGAAATAACCCATAATTACTTGCCATATACTAAGTTAGTCTATTAATTAACAAACAATCCTATATTTTTAAATTAAAAATACATATACGTTTTAAGTGCCTAACAAAATAAAAGTTTTGGACAAATTTGAAGATTCTATGATAGAATCAGAAGTTGCAAGGATCTCCAACAATGTTCCATCTCAATAAAATATTTTTTAGATGGCCGAAAACATTTATTTGATAATTATGATTAAACAGTGCGCAGAGAATTCATCCTTGGCACTCATCGAAAGTACACATATTTACCATTTAAAAGTTAATTCATATATCTTTGTGGTGTTTTAAGTCTTTTAGCTGCGAAGAGGAACACTAAAATTAGGAAGAGGGGAATCGGGCAGTGGAAAATAAACATTGATAAAATGCCATCGCTTAGATATTTAAATATTTCTGGTAGACTAGAAAATGTTCCTAAATACATTTAGCATATGTATGTTGTATTATATGTATAATGTATTATTAAACGCACACGTTCAAGACCCTTACACGATAAATTACAAAAAGAGGAAAAGTCCGACTAAGCTCTAAAAATTCGCATATATGTGTGATTAATGCATTTAGCTGAATGTTAATGGATCATGCATATTTACGTATGACTTTCTGATGATTGGGATATTGAAAAATTCGAGCGTTTTCATGCAATTCATGTCTTTGTTTTTAATTCATAACACAATAAGTATCAAAACAAACTAAAATGCCAAAAATGAAAGAATTCAATTTGTTTTTTCCAAGTTATGAGCGCATTAATATCAGATAAGTCTGTCCGTTGTTGTATCCGCGGCATGTTGGTGCATTTTGTTGTGTGTGTGTGTGTTTGTGTATTTACGGGTAATTACAATGGTTAATTTAATATTTATATTTAGATTGACAAGTGGCAGGCGCCTCGAATTTCGCTGACTCCTTTGACTTGGAACAAACAATTACGAAATTGGCGCTCATGAATCATGGTGATTGGATCTTCGGTTAATTTTTTGTTTTTTTGTTTTTATTTTGTATCTTGCGACAGTTGCTGCTGCTGTTTGTGTCGCCAGTTCATTGGGTTAGGTCGATCCGATTTAGTTTGGTTCGCCAGCCTCCCGATAATGCTTTATTTACGTCTGCCGCTCACGGTGCTCCAGCCTCCAGACTCTTGGTGTTGGTGGTGTTCCTTGTGTCCCTGCTGTCTGGTGCTGCGTGCTGTGGCTGAGGTGTTCATGAGTGGAGCACTGCTGCTGGCAGACGCAGCAGCGTCATCTCACTTCTTACCGGGAGGCGCTATTGGTTGGCCGCGCTCCTTTCCTCGTAGCTTGATGCCCAAAACGCGCTCCATCTTTCCAAGAATAAGGTTGTTTGGGATTCCGCGTCCGGCTTCATAATCGGTAACCACCTGCTGCTTCTCGCAGATTTTCTATAACGGACATTTGAATAATTATATTGGAATCCGCAAGGGTGCGATGGGTGTAAACCTACTGTGGCCAAATCCTTCTGGCTGAGTCCCTTTGTTTGACGTCCCTGCTGGATGAGCTTTCCCACATCCAAGGGAATTTTGTCGTGGCGTAGCTCCTCAGTCTCGCGGTCCAGCTTGGCCGTATTCTTGGTGGTCACATGCTGCTTATTGGTGCCAGCACCATCTGCAAAGGATATGTATTAGTATAAAAATTCAACAGATACTTAATCATCATATTGCTGTATTTGGCGAAATCACAAATCGCACTATCTGCTTCACAAATAGCAAACAAATGCCACGCAATGCAGCAGGAGGTGCTTCTAGGTTAGAGACAGTGCGGTCTGTGGCGTGGGAAAGAGAGGCAGCCGCGGGTTGGTGGTGGGCTCACATTTCTGTTGGGTGTCTACGGCGACTCCTTGGCGACGAGCCTGGTTTACCGCCGATTCTGTCTTCAACGTGGACGATTTGGGCGCCTTTTTACGCAGAACAAGTGGAGCCTGATCCCAGTCCGACATTCTTAAAATTTCGCAATAGGGGTGGGCAGTAGAAGGTGCAGAAATTGGAGCGGAAAATCAAACAGATTCAATGAAACTCTTGAATATATGACTCGAGTCGATTGATTGTGTTGATAGAACCTACTTTGATTGCTTCTCTAAGTTAACTTGCTTTTATTATTAATTAAAACTATGAAATTCCAGAACTATCTCCAAATCAGTTGTCAGCGCTGCCAGATTTGACCCTCGGCCCGGTGGCAAAACACGTTGCCACCCTTTTCAAGTAGCGGAAAAAATTACGCAAATTACTAAGTCCGGCAGCGCTATGTGCGATACTGCCATCTCGATTGAGAGGCGCACGGGGCGTGACCCAGCCCGGGCTGGTTTAAAACGGAAATGAGGTTTAATGATAATTTTTGAAGTACTTTTTATTATTATATTCCTTCTGAGATGACGTAAACACCCTTATTGAAAAGCGTCATAGTAGTTACAAAAGCGCAGGTTCTGATAAGCTACACTTGAAAATGTCATCATAACCGAGATTCTTGAAAGTGGTCAGATATTTCTTGATTTTAAGTCAGTTATCTCCATTGCAAAAATAAATGAATGTTTCCAGCCAAATCTATACTAAGGATCTCTAATTCCTTATAGGCTTTATTCTTATCTGGCAAATGAGATTAGTGGTTCTCAGGGACTGTGGGTAGTAAACTTGAACGTCTGTCGTCGGAGAGTTGGACTTTGATGACATCTATTATATCCCTTATCAAAACTCATAGTCGTTTTTCTATAAATCGAATGTTACTGCCCACTTGACCAATTAATTGATTGATGGATTTTATTATTTTTTGAGGATCACAAAGTTTTACATCATAAGGCTGTCCGGAAAAACAGTTGACACTTTTTGTAAGTTTGTAAAACTATCATTGTTACAGAAAAGTTGGATTAACCTAGTTGTATCTAGAAAATTGGTAGGTCTATTTGTTTTATAAACAAGCTTTACTCACTTGTGGTTGACACAGAATCTCAAGTCGATCCTTCTCACCTTCCCGCTACTCCCACGCAATGTGTTTACCACTTATAGTATCTCTTATCACGATAACAAAAGACTCGCGCTACAAAGAGGGGCGCACCACCCGTCGAATACGAGGCAACTTGGGCGGCAAACAGCGAGCGATTTTCAGTTCGAATCCGAACGCGACTGTGAGCGGTTCTGCGGTCTTCGTGCTAGCGTTTTAAATCGCTGGGAAACAGCCTGCAATTCTATTGTTAAGACAGTGCCTAAAAATTACCTGAAAAGGTGTGTGTTTGTGTTTCTCTAATAATTGTAAATTTGAGATATATTTTGTGATGCTCTAACTGTGGTGGTTTTGCCCAACAATTGAGCTCGTAAATGGGGCCAAAGAATTTACAGATCATTTGGTCCATTTGGTAGTTTAAATTATTGTGCCAAGTTAATTGATTCACGCGATCGTACTCTTAACATACTGCACCTGCAGAGATCTTGTGTTCCCGCTTGTGTTTATTTTTGAGATACGTATTCAGATGGAAATCACCTGGGAAACCTGTTCGTCTATTATCTATAATTATTATATAACAAATCGGCATCCCACTTGACCAATCGCAAAACAAACAGCGTCGTTTTTTTTTTGTTTTTATAATTTTGTGATGAGCTCAGCGAAAAAATCTTACCTTGTTACCATTCGACATTTTGCATATGAATTAAAAAGTCTGGAAACCTGAGGTGGAAACATTAATCAGCTATGGAAAGAGTTTTGTTTTGCTTGTTTTCTTTTGAATATTTTGTAGTTTCTCGGTGTCCATTTCCACGCAGCGTGGGACCTTATTTTTTTGTTAGAGGGGGCCTCCGGCGGGGCATCTGAGCCCTATGAGAGGTTCAACGTTCTGGGCCCGAACAAAATCTTTTTTTTGCTAGAATTTGTGGCTGAATCGCGTTTCGTTGGTTGGCTGAGCAATCAAATTAGTTGAACAGTTGGCAGATGTTTTGTTAGGGCCCACACCAATCAAGATTCAAATGGGCTCAGTGCGTTTTGCACGCGTTTAAAAGTGCGCTTAAAATAATTAACTCCCGGACACGGAGATTAATCTAAGCACGTGCAATTAAACTGGATAGTGGTGCGGAGATAAGCAAATTACGCAAACAAATAGTTGACACAGGTGTCTTGGAGGTCCCTTGGTCCCAATTCCCAACTCCTTTGGCGGATTCTCAGATTTATGGGCAGTCCCCGAGGCACGCGACTCCCACTTGGACACGCCATGATGTGTCCCCTTCCCTTGGAAGTCATTAAATATTTAATTTATTTCCAAACCCCCCTAACCACATAGCATACAAAAATTTCGGGCTGAGCCTCTAGTAAGAAAATTATTACAAATTCCCGCGCGTTTTTGCTGCCTAATGTGTTGACGGTTTTTTGGACTTCAATATTCTTGACACTTGGCTATTTGCTTCATGAGGGTGAGGGCGTGGGAGGGCGAGAGAGTATTAGCCCAGTCCTATGTGGGCCAAATGGCTCTGAAAACAAACATTTTGTCGAAAGAGACGCAGAGAAAACCGGTTATTGAGTCTCGAGAGCATTGACATTAACTTGTTTTTCCTCTCCGGTTGACTTCTGCGATCACTTGCTCAGGAAAATTTGTTAAGAGGTTTCCACAGTTTTTTCACCTGCCCTCCCTTAAGCCACAGTTTCAACTGAAAAGTAGACAAATTTGTTGATACAATGATCTAACATTTTTATAATGATCTTTATATGTATTTGAAAAGATATGGATAATTTTTATGGTTTAACCTTCATTTCTAATCTAGAATTGAAAATTGCACAAAAAATAAATTGAAAATAGTTTGACCTTGGGTTTTGTAAATTAAAACAGATAAAAGTTTATTTCAAGGCATCTCACACACTTCCTATTCATTCAATAAATAAGATACTTTTTTCAAAGTTTAAAAAAATCTATTCGTTCCACCCTCTCTTCTAATTATTTCTGTAGTGCTTTAGCTTAATTGCAACATTTTGTAAATATTTAGTCAAGACTTTATAGATTCTTATAGTCTATACTATGTCTACACTATAGTATATAGTGTAAATAGGTTCAAGTGGCTTGCAAAATGATTTGACTTCAATGGCCTCTTGTTTTCCGTTTTCATTAGCGATTTCTCTATTTTCCTCTCAGACGATCACCGATTTTGAGAATTTCGAGAATTTTGGTTAGTTTTGATATTACTCACAAGTCGTCTCAAATAAATTGCAGAATTTGTCAAAAGTTTTCACTCTTGATATTGTGCCAAAAGCATTTTGGCATTCGCCTTTTTCTCACTTAACCTTAACCGAAAACACTTTCCATTCTCTACCGCGCTTTTCCTGTTTTGACGCCAAGAATAGTCTCCGTCAGCAGTCCGTAGTCAGCACTTTTTCCCATTTTAATGGGAATTAGTTAATATATCATTAGAAATGAACAAATTCTATTTTAGAATATAGATGGCCCTGCCAAAAGAACTATCTCAGAAATACTTTTGGAAACTCTTTCAAAATTCCAACAAGATGGGGAAATGTGTGTGTCTGGTGTGTCGGTTTTTTTTCTCACTTGTCTCGCTGAGGTCAAGCAGACGGCATATTTTAAAATATTTTCCAACAAACGACACACAACAAACAGAAAAAACACTGAGCAGACGTTATGCGATCAGACTTGTAATAGAGAAGGTCGCCTTGGGGGCCCCCTGGTGATAAATTATGTACTTAATGCTCCCACAGACCACAATTTCGGGTATCGCCTCATTATTAATTAAAGATTCCCCAAAGCAAGTCCAGAGCCAAGTCATTCGGGGTCCCAAAGGGATTCTACTGTCTGCATATTAACTAAGGTTTTATGTCTCAGAACATGGATACTACGTTCCGGTCTCCTTAGACGACTTCCCATGTACATCGTATAAAGATATAGCCTGTGTAATAGATCGTATAAATGGTGGGTATGAGATATGTGCCATTATCGGCGGACGTGTTGGGGATTTTAAGTGAATTGCGCTTGAGCGTTATTGCGATAATTGCCTGGTCCTCCCGAAAGGCGTTTATTTTGCACTTGTATGCTAATTAATATGCTCGCTGCACCGTAGTTGGAAATCTTTGATTCTAATGTACCCATATTATATGGTGGGAGACCTTAGGAACAGCCCGTCTATATTCGCGGGCAGCTGTGAAAATCGCCAGCTCTCAGACTGCTCCCAGCTGTTTGCGTGTGTAATCAATTAACTTGGCCAGCAGCAATTGATGCAACTATCTGACGTATGCCACTGCTCTACATCTTCCAAATGTTTCGTAATCGAAATTATTTCAGTTCCCCCCCACTAAGTTCAATGATCTCGCTTCGAACTGTCTGCGAGGGAAATCAATTGGTGAAATGATGAATCTGATTTCGGTCGATGGCAATGACTTCTGTATCAAATGTATCATTTGTAGACCTAAAAAAGAACCCCTCGAAAATTGGACAGTCGAAAAACAGAACCACCAAAAGCGGAAAATAAATTTCTGGTTTTGATTTATGTTCCGCTCTAAAAAGAAATAAAGCAAAAAAAACCAGAAAACCCTGCAAATGAAACCAGCACGAGGGCAAATCTCTTAAAAGTATAAAATCTAAGGAATTATTGAAACGAGAGGCTGTGGAGTGAAGTGGAGCAAGGGTTCCTCTATTTGTTTTTAATTTTTTTGCTCTTTTATTTTTTGCACAACATGTATGGATACATATAATGAAACATACGTCAGCCAAATTGGCCAAATGTCACGCACAATCATCGAGAGAAACCAAAACCAAAAACCAAATACCATAAATTATATTACCAGATTAAATTAGTTCTGAATGTTGGAGAATCTGTTTAACAAATAGTTCTTCAGGGTGGGGGGGGCATATTGAAAAGAGGTCCATAATATTTGCTTCGCGAGTTCATAAAAGCCAGCTAAGTAAACACGAAATGGCAGTCAAATTGGAATTTTAATTTTGCATTGAGAAAACACAAAACTAGAAAAAATGCCTCGGGGTTGGGGTTGCGAAAGGGGCTTTGGAGAATGCAAACAAAGGCGGCGCATTCAATTGATTAGGGGAGTGTCCAAGGAGGCGGAGAAGGAGGAGAAGATGGGATCGACTCAGATCATGACACACAGATCGCTAGAAAAGTGCAACCAATCCCATGGATGCGATATAAGGCAATTATTTGCACTTGAAAATGCATAGATGGGGGCAATATTAGATGCGTGTGTCAGAAGGCCTTCCGCACATGGCATATGTACTATATGGTTCTATATGTGTATCTTGGATAATTGGAAATTTCTCAAGCTAATTGCAGCTGTCAATGCTAAGGCGATGACGTCATGGGAGGCAGTACTTTTAGGCCCCCTCTTCTGCAACAGGTTGCCCAACATACTGACTGCATTTGGCCGCGATCTATCCGATGGATGGAAATTGTAAACACAGGAACCCCTAAATTTGTTTCAGTTTTTTCTTTTTTTTTTTTTGTTTTCTGGAAGCAATTTATTTATTGTTCTTTTGGTTCGTGTTTTGACTGGCAGAACATTTATTTGTTTTGGAAGCGTGTTCCAACAAATGCATTTCCCAAAATATAAGCAACATTAAACCGCAAAAGAAAACACTATACCCCGAAAATTTCCTATCCGAAGATAGTTAAACATATATTTGATCAATTTCGAGGGAAGGCACGATCATGGGGGAAGTCCTAAAAATAATTATTGGATTCTATCATTTCTTGGCCTTCTTGGGGTCCTCGGGTTTTGGAAATTTTGTATTGTAAAGCGGTATCCATCCGGCAATTATTTTCCAGTCGGTGTAATAAACGATAGTCAACAAAGCAGCCAGTCCAAAGAAGCCAGCCGATGGCATACTGTGGGAGATTTTATTATAATTAAGAATGTCCGTAATTTGGATTAATTTGATTCCAATAACACACTTACAAGGCAACAGCGGCTGTCTTTTGGGCCTCAGTGGGCTTATGTTTGCAGAGGAAAGACTTGCACTTGTCTTTGATACCCATTTTTAGATTTTATCGAACTAAAGACTTGTCTAATTGAGTTTTTGAAGCCCAGTGAATAGCCTACTTAATTGGAGTTTTACGTTAAAGGCAGACCTCTACGCAGATTGTCAAACCCTACGTTAATGAGCAATTGTAATGCCATTGAAAAGGGGTCGAAGCTCTTCCTCCTCCTCCTTCGAAGATGATTAATCAATGCTGCGGATGCGGGCCCTCTGTTACTAAATTGAGACATTACAAGCGTTTATGGCCAATCCAACTTGTTGTTGGCCTGACCTAAATGGACCTGGCTCGGACCTGCCTGGCGATGACTAAGGCCACGTGGAAAACTGCTGCAATTTGTCAGCGGGCAGCCCGAAAATCATTAGCCTAATTTTCAGGGCCAGGAGCTAAGGTGGCATTGTGGGTGCGTGTGTGCGGGCATTTCCTCTGAACTCTGACTGAATTTCCATTTGATTCGATTCTGTATGGTGTCCGGACTCTTGGGCCCCTCCTAGATTGTCTTCCCGACATTCTGGCATTCGGGCATTTAGGTATTCAGGCAGGCAGGCAGGTTCCTTTCCAGACGCCAGCGAAGCAATTTAAATGCCACACCTTTCCGCTGTCTGGTGGGTGGCTTTGAAGGCTTGAAGGTGTTCTCAGGTCCACATATGACACTCGCCGAGTTAGTCCATTAGGGCAGCCAGTCGACAGTCGCCAGTTGCCAGTTGGACAGGGCGACAGTTCAAGGATATGCACCTGGTCGAAAGCAAAGGATGGGCCACTTAAATGTTCCAGCAATCCTTTTCCGACGCCTCAAACTAAAATGTTTTTTTTTTTCTTCTTTTTTCCCTTAGAGATATGCGTTTCTTTTTCATGCTCCTGCTACCCCTGGTGGCCCTAGCCCAGGACGATGACTACTGCTTCAGCCAGGACACGTCGCGGCCCCAAACCCGTCAGTTCTCCTCGAAGACCGCCTACCAGATTGTCAAGGGCAGCGATATCGAACGCCAGTACCTGGTTCCCAAGTGTGAGCCCAAAAAGATGTGGATCTTTCACAGGCACGGCACCCGCCTGCCCAAGAAGAGCATGATCAAGAAGGCCCCCAGGTTAGCCGAGGTAAAAGAAAATTTATTTTTTATACATTTTAGTGCAATTTTAATCGAATAAAAAAGAAGGGGTCTAGAAGGTAGACTTTTTTGTTTTATCAAGTGCTTGATGCAGATCAATGAAGAATTAATCTTCAAATCAATATACACTCCGCTTGAGAATGGGGTGACTATTGGCAAATATATGGGTATCGCTGGAGGTCATATAGTTCTTTTTTGTATTTTTCAATTTAAAGATTTTTTTTAAATATGAGTATAATTCCTTAAAGTTACCTTAAACGGACGATAAAGTAAAAGTTTAAAACTAATATCTGGAATACCTTCAATAACCTAAATCAACCCCTTTAAAAAATATCAGTTTATACAAATGAAATCAAGGGCCATAAAATAAACCATTGAAAGTCAATTTACAGATTTATTGTAGTAGTAATCGAAACTTTTACAGTGATTACATATCGCATCAATCCATAAAATGATTATATTATTTATATTTTATGGCTTAACAAAGTGTCCTTGGAAATAAATAGTCTTCTCATCACGAATTAAGAAGGCAAAAGGATGATCGGCTATAAATGTCGATATACTATGCCTATGTCGATAAATGCCCACACAGCTGGAAAGTGTTACCTTCATACCAGCTTGCAAATACATAATAAATGAACATGAATAAATTATTGTCATTATACATACATATTTTGAAAAAAATTACCTGTTACTGCTGCTGCTTCGGCACCTTCCTCGTCCACTTCCAGATATGCTTTTTGTAGAACTTTACTGACTTTAGATAGCCCTGAAACCATGCCATGAAAGTCAGGGTTGTCAAATATCAATTTAATTCTCAACTAATAATAGAAACTTTGTCACAAAAATTGTTTATCGCATAAGAAGCTACTAACCTTTTTAAGAACCTCTTCGAGTTCTTTTTTAAACTCAATTTTAAATTTCGGAATTTTTACGTTGGCCACTGTTTGTTCACGGAGAGGTCGGTCGAAGCCTCCGATCTGGCTTTCCAATTTACTAAGACCATCAATACGATTTGGCAGGAATATTTGCATGGAGAGGCTAGAGTTTCGATATGGAAGTTCAATAACCTTGGCATCTAAGTCGGCGAACTTATTGGCCTTAATATATATATTATCCATAGACATCATGTCAACCTGAAGTTCTTGATTCGAAGAAGTTCGGAAAATGTTCTTCTTAGTATTAGCTTTGTTAAATTTATACTGCCAATCGCCTTTGAAGTAAATGGCATTTATAAGAACCATGACAAAATCAGGAGTCATATCTCGAGAAGTCACAATTTCAGTTATTTTGTTCCGCGTATGCCCAGAGACCCAAGAGTTAATAGTCGCTGCCGCAGATTCGGGATTACGTACGTTAATGGGCACTGCCTCGGCTTTGAAGGAGTCAGCCACAATCTTATTAAACTCTGGCTTTAAGCTCTTACGATCGTTGACATAAATGCGATTCGCCAGCTCAAGAATAGCAACCTTCTCACGACCATGGAGATTTGTGAAGAAATCCTTGTATTTCTTGGTCACAGCTTTCTTTTCCCCAGGCAGCTTCAAAGCCACTCGTAATTGCTTAGCCGTTTTCCCATCGGCTCCCATACACAGCATGGCCATAACAATTTCGAGGGAGAGAGGTGAGGAAATTATGTTTTTGTCCGCATCCTCCTTGGCCAGGATCTGGTAAACATCGTCGGTGAAACTGGCCGACACTGACGTGGCCAAAAATATAAAAACTGAGTAGAATAGTCAAACTGAAATGAATATCCAACGAAAGAGCACTCTAGTTTTCCACTTACCTAAGTATTTCATTTTTTTTTTGAAGAAAAGCTTAAAAATAGAAGAAATCATTCATTTTTATAGCAAAATAGCCTAAATAGAAATGTTTTGGTTAATTTGAAAATAATTTTCCGAGGAAATACAATCTTTTCCACTGAATATCTAATTATGTGTCGTTAGGATCAAACGATCAATCATTCGTTTTGCATTATTATACCAGGTACATTGTCCTCGAGTGAATGTATGTATGTTACATACATTAATAGCAGGGAGAAGGACTTAAGTCCAACCCAATTTGGTATATGTATTCTCGATCATCATCAATAGCCAAGTCGCTACAGCCATGTTCGGATGTTCGTAATGAGATTCGTGGATAATCGATCTCCTTATCGTTTAAGGTATTCCACTTGTGATTCTGATCAATATTGCCAAAGATATAGCCTTCGCAGGGAGCCATATGGGGATCCATCCGTTTTTGAGGATTTTCGAAGGGGACCTCCAGAAAATTTGACAAAAAAACTAATAAATATTATGTTTCTAGATTTTGATTCAGATTCATGGAAAATCGATCTACAAATCGTTTAAGGTATTCCCCTTGTGAATCTGATCAATATTGCCAAAGATATAGCCTTCGCAGAGAGCCATATAGGGATCCATCGGCTTTTGAGGATTTTCGAAGGGGACCTCCAGAAAATTTGACAAAAAACCTAAAAAATATTTTGTTTCTAGATTTTGATGCAGATTCATAGAGAATCGATCTACAAATCGTTTAAGGTATTTCGTTTAAGAATCGGATAATTATTGCCAAAGATATAGCCTTGGCCGGAAGCCAAATAGGGCTCCATCCGTTTCCACTCTTGAAACTGTTTTCCAGAGACATCTTTTTATCCTGAAGTTCTTGGTTAAAAGAAGTATGGAAATTGTTCGTTTAGTATAGATTTAATAACCTAAAACAAAAACGTTTAAAATTATCAGTTTATAACAATGCAATCAAGGACCATCTAATAAGCCATTGAAAATAAATTTTAAGATTTATCCTGTAATCGAAACTTTTACAGTGATTACATGTTGCATCATTCCATAAAATGATAATATTATTTATACTTTATGGCTTAACAAAATGTCCTTGGAAATAAATTGTCTTCTCATCACGAATTAAGAAGGCAAAAGGATGATCGGCTATAAATGTCGATATATCACAGCCCACACAGTTAGAAAGTTCTACCACAATAGCAGCTTGCAAATACATAATAAATTTTGAACATGATTAAATTATTATCAATTTACATTTTTTTTTTAAATAATTACCTGTTACTGCTGCTGCTTCAGCACCTTCCTCGTTCACTTCCAGAAATCCTTTTTGTAGAACTTTACTGACTTTTGTTTTCCCTGAAACCATGCCACGCAAGTCAGCAGCTTTGCCAAATACCGATTGAATTCCCAACTAATAATAAAAACTTTGTCACAAAAATTGTTTATCGCATAAGTAGCTACTAACCTTTTTAAGAACCTCTTCGAGTTTTTTTTCAAACTCAATTTTAAATTTCGGAATTTTTACGTTGTCCACATTTTGTCGACGGAGAGCTCGGTCGAAGCCTCCGATCTGGCTTTCCAATTTACTAAGACCATCAATACGGTTTGGCAGGAATATTTGCATGGAGAGGCTAGAGTTTCGATATGGAAGTTCAATAACCTTGGCATCTAAGTCGGCGAACTTATTGGCCTTAATATATATATTATCCATAGACATCATGTCAACCTGAAGTTCTTGATTCGAAGAAGTTCGGAAAATGTTCTTCTTAGTATTAGCTTTGTTAAATTTATACTGCCAATCGCCTTTGAAGTAAATGGCATTTATAAGAACCATGACTAAATCAGGAGTTATATCTCGATAAGTCACAATTTCAGTTATTTTGTTCCGCGTATGCCCAGAGACCCAAGAGTTAATAGTCGCTGCCGCAGATTTGGGATTACGTACGTTAATGGGCACTGCCTCGGCTTTGAAGGAGTCAGCCACAATCTTATTAAACTCTGGCACTAAACTCCACTGATCGTTGACATAAATGCGATTGGCCAGCTCAAGAATAGCAACCTTCTCACGACCATGGAGATTTGTGAAGAAATCCTTGTATTTCTTGGCCACATCTTTCTTTTCCCCAGGCAGCTTCAAAGCGGTTTGCAATTCCTCAGCCGTATTTCCATTGGCTCCCATATACACCATGGCCATTACAATTTCGAGGGAGAGAGGGGAAGAAATTATGTTTTTATCCGAATCCTCCTTGGCCAGGATCTGGTAAACATCGTCGGTGAAACTAGCCGACACTGACGTGGCCAGAAATAGAAAAACTGAGAAGAATGGTAAAACTATAAATTAATATATAACAAAAGAGCACTTTAGTTATCCACTTACCCAAGTATTTCATTTTTTTTTTTTTGAAAAAAAGCTTAAAAATAGAAGAAATCATTCATTTTTATAGCAATGTACCATAATTACAAATGTTTTGGTTAATTTGTAAATAATATTCCGAGCAATTACAATCTCTTCTAATCCGTATCTAATGTGTTTGAATCGGAACAAACTAACTAAGATTCGATTGTACATTTCGATGCAAATCGATGGCGAATCGATTTACAAATCATACAAGAAAACAGTAGATATTGGCGAAGATATGGCTATTGCTGTAGGTCACGTTAACGTTACTTGCGTTGTCCCGATTTTTGAAGAGGTCTCTCCACAAAATATGAGAAAAATTCTAAAATAAAATTCGATTGTACATTTTAATGAAGATCCATGGAGAATCGATCTACAAGTCATTAAACATATTCGCTTGAGAGTCTGGTGACTATTGGGCAAGATTATCTCTGGAATCATGTAGTCCTTTTGGTATGTTTCCCCAATTTTCAGGATTTCTTCAGAAAATATGAATAAAATTCTAACATTAAATATTAAAGGTTGTGAGGTAATTAATTGTAATTATAAGTAGCTCGGTTTTAGAATGTCATAAAGATTATAAGAATATTATTCCTTTTTTTCCGAAACTTCCACTTGTTAGTTTCCGAAGGCCAATGAGAAGGGACGTCAAATGGTAGATAAAGTAAAAGCTAAGACTAATAGCTGGGCCACCTTCAATAACCTAAAAAAAAACCTTTTAAAAATATCAGTTTATAACAATGAAATCGATAACCATATAATAAGCCATTGAAAATCCATTAACAGATTTATTGTAGTAATCGAAACTTTTACAGTGATACCATTTCGCATCATTCCATAAAATGATTATATTATTTATATTTTATGGCTTAACAAAGTGTCCTTGGAAATAAATAGTCTTCTCATCACGAATTAAGAAGGCAAACGGATGATCGGCTATAAATGTCGATATATAACAGCCCTCACAGTTAGATTGTGTTACCGCCATACCAGCTTGCAAATACATAATAAATGAACATGAATAAATTATTGTCATTATACATTTTTTTGAAAATAATTACCTGTTACTGCTGCTGCTTCGGCACCTTCCTCGTTCACTTCCAGATATGCTTTTTGTAGAACTTTACTGACTTTAGTTGGCCCTGAAACCATGCCACGCAAGTCAGGGTTGTCAAATATCAATTCAATTCCCAACTAATAATAGAAACTTTGTCACAAAAATTGTTTATCGCATAAGAAGCTACTAACCTTTTTAAGAACCTCTTCGAGTTCTTTTTTAAACTCAATTTTAAATTTCGGAATTTTTACGTTGTCCACTTTTTGTCGATAGAGGTATCCACCATGGAGGTCGAAGCCTCCGATCTGGCTTTCCAATTTACTAAGACCATCAATACGGTTTGGCAGGAATATTTGCATGGAGAGGCTAGAGTTTCGATATGGAAGTTCAATAACCTTGGCATCTAAGGCGTCTAACTTAAGGGCCTTAATATATATATTATCCATAGACATCATGTCAACCTGAAGTTCTTGATTCGAAGAAGTTCGGAAAATGTTCTTCTTAGTATTAGCTTTGTTAAATTTATACTGCCAATCGCCTTTGAAGTAAATGGCATTTATAAGAACCATGACTAAATCAGGAGTTATATCTCGATAAGTCACAATTTCAGTTATTTTGTTCCGCGTATGCCCAGAGACCCAAGAGTTAATAGTCGCTGCCGCAGATTTGGGATTACGTACGTTAATGGGCACTGCCTCGGCTTTGAAGGAGTCAGCCACAATCTTATTAAACTCTGGCACTAAACTCCACTGATCGTTGACATAAATGCGATTGGCCAGCTCAAGAATAGCAACCTTCTCACGACCATGGAGATTTGTGAAGAAGTCCTTGTATTTCTTGGCCACATCTTTCTTTTCCCCAGGCAGCTTCAAAGCGGTTTGCAATTCCTCAGCCGTATTTCCATTGGATCCCATATACAGCAAGGCCATTACAATTTCGAGGGAGAGAGGGGAAGAAATTATGTTTTTATCCGAATCCTCCTTGGCCAGGATCTGGTAAACATCGTCGGTGAAACTAGCCGACACTGACGTGGCCAGAAATAGAAAAACTGAGAAGAATGGTCAAACTATAAATGAATATCCAACAAAAGAGCACGTTAGTTTTCCACTTACCTAAGTATTTCATTTTTTTGAAAAAAAGCTTAAAAATAGAAAAAATCATTCATTTTTATAGCAAAATAGCCTAAATAGAAATGTTTTGGTTAATTTGTAAATAATATTCCGCGGAAATACAATCTTTTCCACTGAATATCTAATTATGTGTCGTTAGGATCAAACGATCAATCATTCGTTTTGCATTATTATACCAGGTACATTGTCCTCGAGTGAATGTATGTATGTTACATACATAAATAGCAGGGAGAAGGACTTGAGTCCAACCCAATTTGGTATATGTATTCTCGATCATCATCAATAGCCGAGTCGCTAAAGCCATGTTCGCATGTTCGTGATCAGATTCGTGGATAATCGATCTCCAAATCATTTAAGGTATTCCACTTGCGATTCTGATCAATATTGCCAAGGATATAGCCTTCGCAGGGAGCCACATAGGGATCCATCCGTTTTTGAGGATTTTCGAAGGGGACCTCCAGAAAATTGGACAAAAAACCTAAAAAATATTTTGTTTCTAGATTTTGATGCAGATTTATGGAGAATCGATCTACAAATCGTTTAAGGTATTCCGCTTGTGAATCGGATGAATATTGCCAAAGATATAGCCTTCGCAGGAAGCCATTTCGGTATCCATCCGTTTTTGAGGATTTTCGAAGGGGACCTCCAGAAAATTTGACAAAAAACCTAAAAAATATTTTGTTTCTAGATTTTGATGCAGATTTATGGAGAATCGAACTACAAATCGTTTAAGGTATTCCGCTTGTGAATCCGATCAATATTGCCAAAGATATAGCCTTCGCAGGAAGCCATATAGGGCTCCACCCATTTTTGAGGTTTTTTGAAGGGGACCTCCAGAAAATTTGACAAAAAAACTAAAAAATATTATGTTTCTAGATTTTGATGCAAATTCGCGGAGAATCGATCTACAAATCGTTTAAGGTATTCCGCTTGTGAATCCGATCAATATTGCCAAAGATATAGCCTTCGCAGGAAGCCATATAGGGCTCCACCCATTTTTGAGGTTTTTTGAAGGGAACCTCCAGAAAATTTGACAAAAAAACTAAAAAATATTTTGTTTCTAGATTTTGATGCAAATTCGCGGAGAATCGATCTACAAATCGTTTAAGGTATTCCGCTTGTGAATCTGATGAATATTTCCAAAGATATAGCCTTCGCAGGGAGCCATTTCGGTATCCATCCGTTTTTGAGGATTTTCGAAGGGGACCTCCAGAAAATTTGACAAAAAAACTAAAAAATATTATGTTTCTAGATTTTGATGCAAATTCGCGGAGAATCGATCTACAAATCGTTTAAGGTATTCCGCTTGTGAATCCGATCAATATTGCCAAAGATATAGCCTTCGCAGGAAGCCATATAGGGCTCCACCCATTTTTGAGGTTTTTTGAAGGGAACCTCCAGAAAATTTGACAAAAAAACTAAAAAATATTTTGTTTCTAGATTTTGATGCAAATTCGCGGAGAATCGATCTACAAATCGTTTAAGGTATTCCGCTTGTGAATCTGATGAATATTGCCAAAGATATAGCCTTCGCAGGGAGCCATATAGGGCTCCACCCATTTTTGAGGTTTTTCGAAGGGGACCTCCAGAAAATTTGACAAAAAAACTAAAAAATATTTTGTTTCTAGATTTTGATGCAAATTCGCGGAGAATCGATCTACAAATCGTTTAAGGTATTCCGCTTGTGAATCTGATGAATATTTCCAAAGATATAGCCTTCGCAGGGAGCCATTTCGGTATCCATCCGTTTTTGAGGATTTTCGAAGGGGACCTCCAGAAAATTTGACAAAAAAACTAAAAAATATTATGTTTCTAGATTTTGATGCAAATTCGCGGAGAATCGATCTACAAATCGTTTAAGGTATTCCGCTTGTGAATCCGATCAATATTGCCAAAGATATAGCCTTCGCAGGAAGCCATATAGGGCTCCACCCATTTTTGAGGTTTTTTGAAGGGGACCTCCAGAAAATTTGACAAAAAAACTAAAAAATATTATGTTTCTAGATTTTGATGCAAATTCGCGGAGAATCGATCTACAAATCGTTTAAGGTATTCCGCTTGTGAATCCGATCAATATTGCCAAAGATATAGCCTTCGCAGGAAGCCATATAGGGCTCCACCCATTTTTGAGGTTTTTTGAAGGGAACCTCCAGAAAATTTGACAAAAAAACTAAAAAATATTTTGTTTCTAGATTTTGATGCAAATTCGCGGAGAATCGATCTACAAATCGTTTAAGGTATTCCGCTTGTGAATCTGATGAATATTTCCAAAGATATAGCCTTCGCAGGGAGCCATTTCGGTATCCATCCGTTTTTGAGGATTTTCGAAGGGGACCTCCAGAAAATTTGACAAAAAAACTAAAAAATATTATGTTTCTAGATTTTGATGCAAATTCGCGGAGAATCGATCTACAAATCGTTTAAGGTATTCCGCTTGTGAATCCGATCAATATTGCCAAAGATATAGCCTTCGCAGGAAGCCATATAGGGCTCCACCCATTTTTGAGGTTTTTTGAAGGGAACCTCCAGAAAATTTGACAAAAAAACTAAAAAATATTTTGTTTCTAGATTTTGATGCAAATTCGCGGAGAATCGATCTACAAATCGTTTAAGGTATTCCGCTTGTGAATCTGATGAATATTGCCAAAGATATAGCCTTCGCAGGGAGCCATATAGGGCTCCACCCATTTTTGAGGTTTTTCGAAGGGGACCTCCAGAAAATTTGACAAAAAAACTAAAAAATATTTTGTTTCTAGATTTTGATGCAAATACGCGGAGAATCGATCTACAAATCGTTTAAGGTATTCCGCTTGTGAATCTGATGAATATTGCCAAAGATATAGCCTTCGCAGGGAGCCATATAGGGCTCCACCCATTTTTGAGGTTTTTCGAAGGGGACCTCCAGAAAATTTGACAAAAAAACTAAAAAATATTTTGTTTCTAGATTTTGATGCAAATTCGCGGAGAATCGATCTACAAATCGTTTAAGGTATTCCGCTTGTGAATCTGATGAATATTTCCAAAGATATAGCCTTCGCAGGGAGCCATTTCGGTATCCATCCGTTTTTGAGGATTTTCGAAGGGGACCTCCAGAAAATTTGACAAAAAACCAAACAAATATTTTGTTTTTAGATTTTGATGCAGATTCATGGAGAATCGATCTACAAATCGTTTAAGGTATTCCGCTTGTGAATCCGATCAATATTGCCAAAGATATAGCCTTCGCAGGGAGCCATATAGGTATCCATCCGTTTTTGAGGATTTTCGAAGGGGACCTCCAGAAAATTTGACAAAAAACCAAACAAATATTTTGTTTTTAGATTTTGATGCAGATTCATGGAGAATCGATCTACAAATCGTTTAAGGCATTTCGCTTAAGAATCGGATAATTATTGCCAAAGATATAGCCTTGGCCGGAAGCCAAATAGGGCTCCATCCGTTTCCGCTCTTGAAACTGTTTTCCAGAGACATCTTTTTATCCTGAAGTTCTTGGTTAAAAGAAGTATGGAAATTGTTCATTTAGTAAACATTAAATAACCTAAAACAAAAACGTTTAAAATGATCAGTTTATAACAATGCAATCAAGGACCATATAATAAGCCATTAAAAATAAATTTTCAGATTTATTCTGTAATCGAAACTTTTACAGTGATTACATGTTGCATCATTCCATAAAATGATAATATTATTTATACTTTATGGCTTAACAAAATGTCCTTGGAAATAAATTGTCTTCTCATCACGAATTAAGAAGGCAAAAGGATGATCGGCTGTAAATGTCATTGGATCACATTTTGCCAAACACTGAGAAAATCTCACCATAATAAAACCTTGAAATTACATAATAAATATTAAAAATGAATAAATTATTGTTATTATAAATTTTTTGAAAATAATTACCTGTTACTGCTGCTGCTTCGGCACCTTCCTCGTTCACTTCCAAAAATGCTTTTTGAAAAACTTGACTGACTTTTGTTTTCCCTGAAACCATGCCACGCAAGTCAGCAGCGTTGCCAAATACCGATTGAATTCCCAACTAATAATGGAAACTTTGTCACAAAAATTGTTAATCGCATAAGTAGCTACTAACCTTTTTGAGAACCTCTTCGAGTTTTTTTTCAAACTCAATTTTAAATTTTGGGATTTGTACAATCACGGTTTGTCGACGGAGGTCTCGGTCGAAGCGTCCGATCTGGCTTTCCAATTTACTAAGACCATCAATACGGTTTGGCAGGAATATTTGCATGGAGAGGCTAGAGTTTCGATATGGAAGTTCAATAACCTTGGCATCTAAGTCGGCGAACTCATTGGCCATAATATCTATCTTATTCGGACCCATCATGTCAACCTGAAGTTCTTGATTCGAAGAAGTTCGGAAAATGTGCTTCATAGTATAAGCTTTGTTAAATTTGTACTGCCATTCACCTTTAAAGTAAATGGCATTTATAAGAATCGTTGATAAACCATCATTTATATGTTCAGGGTCCACAATCTTGCTTATTTTGTTCCGCGTATGCCCAGAGACCCAAGAGTTAATAGTCGCTGCCGCAGATGTGGGATTACGCACACTAATGGGCACTGCCTCGGCTTTGAAGGAGTCAGCCACAATCTTATTAAACTCTGGCACTAAGCTTATCTGATCGTTTACGTAAATGCGATTCGCCAGCTCAAGAATAGCGATCTTCTCACGACCATGGAGATTTGTGAAGAAATCCTTGTATTTCTTGGCCACATCATTCCTATCCCCAGGCAGCTTTAGAGCCGTTTGTAATTCTTTAGCCGTGTTCCCCTTGGATCCCATATACAGCAAGGCCATAACAATTTCGAGGGAGAGAGGGGAGGAAATTATGTTTTTATCCGAATCCTCCTTGGCCAGGATCTGGTAAACATCGTCGGTGAAACTGGCCGACACTGACGTGGCCAGAAATAGAAAAACTGAGAAGAATGGTCAAACTATCAATGAATATCCAACAGAAGAGCACTTTAGTTTTCCACTTACCTAAGTATTTCATTTTTTTTTTTGAAAAAAAACTTAAAAATAGAAGAAATCATTCATTTTTATAGAAAAATACCCTAATTAGAAATGTTTTGGTTAATTTGTAGATAATATTCCAAGAAATTACAATCTTTTCAAATGCATATCTAGTTTTATTTTAAATCAAACAATCAAACTAAGATTCGTTTTGCATTTTTATACCAAGTGCTCCTAGAGTACAAGGGAGATATTAAAACACTTTTCAATTTTAGTTGGTATGGGTTCCGTTAAGGTAACTTGAATATAATACATAATTAACAAATGAACTTAAAAAAGAACCCTAAACCGGCGCTAAATAATATGAATGTGTTAGCAATTATTGAATTTGGAAATTATTAATGTACAATTTTTTATTTTACTAAAATTTTAATTTCAGCTTCGTGATCTTATCGTAAAGAACTATAGGGTTCTGAAGACCAAGCCGGACAGGGATCCCCTGTGCCAAACAGATCTGATTGCCCTTCAGATGTGGAAATGGAACAGTAGTATCACTGGCGACATGGAGGAGTACCTGACTGCCCAAGGATACGACGATCTTCGGGGAACAGCCAAGCTGTATCAGCGGTATTATCCCAATGTGCTGCCCAAAGAGTATAATGACACCTACTACCAGGTGAGTTATATAATGGTGCTTTGAGGATATAAACTTTTTAAATAGTGGACTCATTTTTCCAAATAGTTCCGCCATACAGACACCCAAAGAACTACTGAGAGCTTCAAGGCCTTTGCCGAAGGACTCTTTGGAACGGCGAATTCTGCCCATCCCGTGGACATTCCTAAGCAGGATCTGCTACTACGTCCCTACGACTACTGCCAGTCCTACAAGGATCTCAACTACAAGGGCGAGGGCTCGGAGTTCCAAAAGTATCACCAGTCCACCGTGTGGAAGAACAACTTGGTGGACATCTCCACGCGATTGGGGTGAGTTAATGGCCTGGGTATCTATATAACTCCTTAGTTAATAACTCGTTTGTCCTGTGTCATAGTTTCCAGTACACCCTCGATGAGGACGATATCAAGCTGATGTACGACATGTGCCGGTACGAACAGGCGTGGCAGGTTGACCGGAACAGCGTGTGGTGTGGCGCCTTCTTGCCGGAGCAGGTCACCGTCTTCGAGTACGCAGAAGACCTCAAGTACTACTACGGATCGGGCTACGGATTCGAGGAAATTGAGCGCTTAAACTGCCGCCTGGTGCAGGACCTGCTCACCCACCTGAACAACCCGGTGTCGCCCCATGTGGTCGCCCACTTCGGCCACTCAACGGGCCTGCTCACTCTCATCACGGCCCTGGGCCTGAAGAAGGATGGCGTCAAGCTGCGGGCGGACAACTACCTGGACCTGGCCAGCCGTCGCTGGAAGAGCAGTCTGATCGATCCTTTCGCCAGTAACTTTGTGGCCGTGAAGTACGATTGCCCGCAGGATCTGGATCGCGAGAAGGTCGTCTTCTTCCTCAACCAGGACGCTGTCCAGCTAGACTGGTGCAACGTGGGCCTGTGCAAGTGGTCGGATGTCCTGGCCAAGTACCAGACCATCGCGGATGCCGACTGTGGGGAATACTTCTGCCGGAGTGGCGGCGCTTCGTCCCTGGCATCCGGGATTTCCATGCTGGCCTCTTCGCTGGTCGCTCTTCTGGTCTACTTAATGCACTAAATATTAAGCTAGCTTTTAATTTGTAATGTACAAAGTTCGTACCAAAAGGCGGCTGCTACGCCTGCGGAATGTCAGTCAAGTATTTTTCGATATAGTTTCTCTAATTTTAATTCAGCACAACACCTCCCACAGTCGAAAAATCACACAGAATCGCACACTACAACCGAAAAACAACACACTTCCACACCCGACACAGAGATTTTTAAATTAACAATTTTTCTAATTGCCTTTTGAATGTTGACAGTGCTACCTACAGTCAGAAATAGCTTTATATTAACTAAATAAAACAGATATTTAAAGTTGATGGTTTTTTATTCGAGTTTTCGGTATGGGGCAGAGAAATAAATCAAACAAAAACCAACTGCAATGGGATTAAATGGGATTAAGAAATATATATAAACGGATAAATATTTAAACGCTTTGTAAAAGGAACAAGGTTATTTGAACCATATCAGAGATAAACATATCATTTTTAAGAAATTTAAACAATCACGAAAAACCATATTTGAATAATCACACTGCTTAACGAAGCAGTGTAAAGCAGTGTAAACGAAATACAGAGCGAATTCCTAGTTGTGTTCACAACCTCCTAGCTAGTTCCAGAGCGAATTCGTAATTGGGTTCACAACCTTCTGGTGCTTCAGTGCCAGGCTAAGATTTTGAGTTAAATAAAATTGTTTTTTTGTGTATATTTTATAGAAACTGCTTTTGAATTGAAACCCGTATAATAATAATTTAAAAAAAAAACAAGTAAAAATTGACATTCCAAATTTTTGGTAATTTGAGAAGTAGAAATGAAAAAATTATACAATTTTCCGCCCATTTCCCTATACATTCACGTGGTTAGTAATACATATAGCTTAAAATCCGATACAAATCTAATCTGATATTAAATGTCACCGTAGTGGAAAGCCGTTTATCCCCCCGCCTTGAATTCAAAATAAATTCAAAATTAATTACATTTCCGGGGCGCAATCGGGGCGGTATCTAAAACCGCCTGTGTTCCGCCTGAAGGGGATTCCCTTTGCACGGCAAGGTCCCTTTAAAAGCCGGCTCTGACAAATCCTTTTGGGTGTGAAAACTGTAGGCTGAGTTTAAAGTGCCTCCTCCTTCCACTTTCGACTTACCAACCGCCTACCGCTCTGTTTCAGGATCTGGCCACGTCAATGGAGGAGGTGGCTGCTATGCAGTGTCACGTGTTTCCTGTTAAATGCTCTAATGATGGGTATTAGGCCAGACTAAGTGCCACTCATAAGTGCCGCACACGCACCTGACTCTCCCGGGCTCTGGATTCTGGATTCTGGCTTCTTGCTACTTGGCCCTACCGAATCCAAATCCGACTTTGCGACCTGCCTTCGCCTTTGACATCGAAATTTACGCAATATGCGTTTTTTATTTCTCTCCCGTTGCGAACTTTTTGGGGCGTTGCCAGGGATGGCCATCTTACGGCATTTTACCCCATGCCAGGACAATAAACAGGACTTCTATCCCACAGTCTGCCGGGCTAGTTGAGTGTCCTTGTAGTTCACCTGCGTACGTGTTTTCAGGCCCTTTTGACTCCCACTCCAGAAAATATTCAACCGAAAAGACACTCGGATTTTGATGTGGATAAAAGCACCGAGTGTCGCCCGTTTTTCATTAGTTTAATACTCTCTTCAAAGCCTTAAAAATTACTTGTACGTCAATAAGTAATCAGATGCTTTTTAGTAATTTCTTGTGGGTGTACCTGGACAGTAATGCTTAGATATAATAGTAAGTATTTTCCCCAAATCATCTTCGAATTAAAAACTCATAATTGCAAAATACGATATTGATTTAAAATTGTAAAATATTTCTTCCCATACCCAGTACCAAATCAAGACTCATTTTCACACTCATTAAGTATTCATTTGCTTGGCATATGTTCATTATTGAATAATAATTAATGCCCCTGACAGGGATTAAATGGCGAAAACAATCTGGATTGCATCGAGTTCAGTGCATAAGCCTGCAGAAGTGTTTTCCAAACAAAAATATTTACTCAGGTATGTCGATTGTTTTTTTCCCTCTCGAAGGACATTTTTTTTTTTCTCTCATATGAAAGGCAAACACTTTGACTTAATTAAAATGGCCATAGTCAACATGAAAGGACTATACAATACTTTCATAGCTACGACACAAAATTGACTCTCTTGCATGGCTGCTGGAAGACCTGACGAAAATTACAAGGATTTTTGTGGTCAGGCTATTAATTTTCTAGTCAAAAAGTCAAGAGCCACGTTCACTTGTGTGCGATTTCTGTGTCCGTTTGTGGAAAATGAAAAGTTTCTGAGAAAAATGATTACCAGCAGGATAGGGCTTCCTTCTCGTTTTTAGTTTTGAGTCTCCAGGTGGGTGTCTCACCTGCATATGCAGTGCAATCCAGTTACGCAATTGCGATTGAGATTCAGATTTGAATGAAAGTTTCCTAATACTCTTAATTACTTTTGAAAAAATTAAGTTCCTTTATATCTAGTATTTTGTGAGGTATGCAATCGAATACTCTTACTTAAATACATTGTATTTTTAAGGCCTTTATAGTAAGAGTATTTAAAACATAAGGTATTCCCTGTAGAGCCCCTGTGGGTTCTGAAATTTGGTCTGTTTCAAGTGCACAGAGCCTAGAAGTCTCTAATTAGTGATGTAAAAATGTTGTGTCCATAACTGCCAGTCGACCAATTGTGTAATCCGAGGCGACGGCTGCCCATTAAATTTTATCCTTGCCGTATCCCCTCAGGCAGTCCTGAAAAAAGCAAAGGCAAAGGAAAAAGCCAGAGCCAGGATAGCAAACAAGGCCTAATAATTAACCAATTACCTGGCCGCACTTCAAAGCTCCTGGATCCTGGCTCCTGAATCCTGATTCTCGGGTATCCAACAGACACATTCACACACTCACGAGCGGCATCGAGACCCTTTCAGGACCTCCAGTTGTCTTCTGCCTGTTGCTGGTTGAAATCTGACCAGAGGCCACAAAACTTTCATCTAGAGAGCGATGGGCATCGGTGGGGCAGGAATTGCTTATTCATAGCTCACTGACACACAAATGAGCGGCCATTAACGAGTTTCTTGATGGAAGTCTGAATGCGGGGCCTTCGCTGGAAATGTGTTAGTTGGGGATCCTGCTCTGGACAGCAAGGATTAACCCGGATCAAATGTGGCCAGAATTGTACAAGATAAGCTTCAGTGGCTTTGCCGCTTCAACGGCTCTCCTTTAGATTTTAAAAGTATTTAGTTTTCTTTGATAATTTTTAAGAAATTAAAGTAATTAAATAACTCAATTCATACACATTTTTATTTAAAAACATTCTACAAAATGCAGACATTTCAGTTTTATTTTATTTTTTTATTTTATCAATTAGCTGTAGACATTGATTAAGGACGAGTGTGGTGCTTGAAGTCAGGCTACCCCCATACCGTTCATCATATCCTTTGGAAAAGGATGCCACCGCGTCGACCGTTAAACGCGCCACTTGACGGGCGACTGTCTGTGCGAAAGTATCTCGTATCCTTTGTTTTTATGCTCACCGCTTAAGAGACAAAGCGTGTATGAAACGCGCTCCAGAGGGAGTCACTGTAAGGACATCACAAAAAAGTATACGACACAAAAAAAAAATGGAATATTATGCATACGCAGCGTGGAATGAATTTTTTCCTGCCATTTACGAGCGCCACTCAAATGGCCTGCAGTGATTTCTGCCTTTTTGTCTGCCACACATACTCCGTGCTATCTGTCAGAGTGCGTTGTAATGCAGAAATTAAATTTATAAATATGCATAATAATTTTTAATAACATTTCACAGGGCGAGACTGTCAGTGGCAGGGCCAGGACGCAGTCCTGCCAGCTCTCTGCCAGTGAAATTGACACTCGGGGGCAATTTGATTTCGCCTCGGTTAAAGGTATGGAATTTCAGTTGATGTTGGTGATGTTTTTTACTGAAAAAAGGAGTATTGAAAGTAGTTTGAAAGCTTTCAGGATATCCTTGGTTAAACCCTTGGTACAGCAGCATAAGCCATCACTACGACATCACTCTAACCCTAAACGCCCACTTACTCCGGGCTGTCCTCACAAAAAATGCCCTTCCGGACGGGCACTCAAAACGATTGTAGCCGCTTGTTGCTTCTGAATCCTGATTCCCGATTTGTGCCCGTTGTCGTCACAATTTAATATGCAATAAGCGGGCTGTCACAGGCAGCTCTTTCGATTCCCCCGATTCCAGAATCCCCTGGGGCCTCAAAAACAAAATAAACATGCGGAAAATGTGGGTGCGGGCTTATCATATTTGGACAGATGTTGGAATGTAATTGAGATTGCCTCAACTTCGATTCGCCAGTGTCTGTCCCTGTGCCTGTGCAGCGAAAAGTGCAAAGATTTTAATTGAATTTCGCACAATTGATTTCATAATTAAAAAAAAAAAGAAGGAAGTGGAAGAAATGCAAAAAAAAACTGACCAGCGACGAGGCAACAAAAAAAGTGTGTAAAAATGACGAGAGCCGGTCATTATCTGTGTCCGCTCCTCCAGCTGTCGTCAGTCAAAGTAATTTAACTTGAGTGAGCACTTAATTCAGCCCCCTTAGCTCCTGCAACCCCCAACCCAGGACGAGAGCCCCCTATCCTTGCCAGATTCGCATTTCCCATTGAGTTGAGTTAACGCGCAAGTGCATTAATTAAGCTCCAAAGGCGCTCATGGCAACTGGGAAATGGGAACTGTGGGAAGATGTGGGCCGAACATGAATAAATGGCTGCAATGATGTTCATGTCGAAAGGCTTAAAGGTCGAAAGGGGCATAAATTCAGTTAATTGGGACTCGCATTTAAGAGCCGTTTTATCGCCACTAAAACGCGGTAAAGGCAACTACCTGTAGTGTAGGATGTGCGTAGGCTTCAATAGCCACTCGGGCGTATGCGTAATGCTTGCCAAGGAGGATAGTATGATTACCGATTTAAGGGATTTGAATAAAGATTCTCTATTTATTAGATGGTTGTGCAATTCTTTTTCTGAATACTTTTTAATCCTATTTAAAGATGTCGGTTTGCCGCCTCACTGCCTTCCTAATTTGCATAATTAATCAATCAAATGCCTGTTAGTTTCCCATGAAAATCAAACACTGTTTAAAATTCTCTTTAAAAATTCAATTTTATTTTGAAAAAATTAAAAACATCAACAACAATTGAATGGAAAACGTAAGCAAATCGAAGGCAAATTGAAGAATTTAAAATCTGTAACGCCTGACAGCACGGTACTGGTAACCATCGTTGGTCAACACGGCGCTCTCCCCTCCGGCGGGTCCCTCCACGATGACCTCCTTTCCGCCCACTGGGGGCAGATACTCCCTGGCAGCCTCACGCAGCGCTGCTGGCGCCTCGGCCGGCTGCTGGTAGTGGTATCCATCCTGCAGCAGCTGCCCGGAGACAGTGGGTACATCCACCACACGGACATCGGCTTGGGGCTCCTCCTCAGGGGCGGCCGCCTCGGTGGTCTCTTCTGCCGGGGGAGCGGCTTCGGTGGGTGGGAGATACTCCCGGTTGACCTTCGGCTCAGCGGCGGACACTACCTCCTCAGTATCGTCGGCAGGGGCTGGAGCTGGGGCGGCAGCTGGGGCCTGGGTGGGCGGCAAGTAAGCCTGGCCGGGGGGCAGGTACTGCCGAGCGGGCTGCAGGTGGGACACATCCCGACGGTTGCGGTGGCGCAGCTTAAGGCGGCGTACGGTTTGGTATTCGTAGCCTTCATCACCCAGAACAGTGCCAGATTCTTCCTCAACGGCAGGAGCCTCGGGATCGGCGGCACTCAGCAGAGCAGCTTCGGTGACCGAAGGCGGAAGGTATTCCGGAGCAGAGGCGTCCACCAATTCGGAGACATCGCGGCGGAAACGGGTTTCCAGTTGGGGAGCAGCCAAGGCGCTGGCCACGGCAGAGAGGGTAAGGACACCACCAAGCGAGAAGATTTTCTAAAATCCACAAAATTAGGGTTTCATTCCGATATTCAACTTATACCAGGACTCACCATTTTTCAAGTTAGCTTTTTGCGGGGTTTGCGGTTTGCGTCTTGCAATTGAAAGTTGCCGGAGCTGATTGATGATTTGCAGACCGCCAGTTGGTCAATTTATAGTCGAGTCCAGTCCAGTTTCAGACTCGATTCGAAAACCGTTTAAAACAAAAGCACAGAGGCAGAAACAATTGGAGCCACTCGAATGGAGTGCTCTTCTTGGGGGCTTTGCCTTGCCTTGCTTTTGGCTTTTCGGGCAATGTCAAGTGGTTCGGGCTTTGGACCTCGTCCGGCGGCTTGACCTTTCTTCAGCTGATATTCATTATTTCATTTATTTTTATACCTCCATACGAATACACATTATTGAGGTGTTAATTTGGCGTCGAGGCAGACGGAAGTGCTCTTGAAAAGCCCTCCAAAGAGTTCTACACTGTTTTGTTCTGCTATTTTTGGCCATTTTCACGGCTAATTTCAGGCGATCTGAATAATTAACATAATTTAAATGCGTTTTACATGAAAAATAAGCCCTCAGAGCCAAGAGCCAATGAAATTGTCATCAGAACTTGTTGCGGAAATTATTTATTGATTTTATTTTTCCGTTTGTTTGCCTTTTGTTGGCCAACACGACGAGGTCATTAAATAATCATAAACGTAATTGCGCATATTACATTTAACAAAATTCAATTCCAATTGTGGCTAGCGGGTAATGTTAAAAGTATGTCAACTTCATTTATTTTTACTTAAACAAGGCAGGCTCTGGTTTTGGGCTTCAAGTTATCAGACCTATAGATTTATTTTTAGTATTTCTCATATAGCTTATCAACCTTTTAACCTCTCGGAATATAAATTAACCCCATTTGGGGCTGCGTTTAATTTTTCTGGTGGCGTTTAATGAATTGTTAATGAACGAGCAAACCACATGCCCGGGCAAATAAAACAGGGGCCCAGAGATTCGCCTCCTGCCGGTCCAGGCGTTATCCCTAATATGCCCCATATAAATCATTCCCTGGTTGTCAGCCTAAAAGGCGGCAACAATTTCCGCTGGCTCTTTAAGTTTCCCGCCACGCAGTCTGGCAAAATGTTTCCTCTTCTAGAAGCCCCCAACTTGTTGCTTAGCCAAGTTTAAAGTGTCGTGGGAGGCAGTGCCAGTCCCAGCCCCACCTAGGCCGGAGCCAGCCTTCTTCTCGCCCAGCTTCTTTGCATAAAAGCCACTCATGTATAATATTTTATGTTTGCAAGGAGCTGGGGGGCTGGGAGTTGGGAACTTGGAGCTGTAAGGAAGCCTGTGTGTCTGTGAGGGGAATAATTTATAGCGAAAACCGGCAAAAAGAACAGGCAGATGGCATATAGGATACCTTAAGCCATAAATTGTGCCGGCCTCATTGATTCCAATGTGCGTCTCTATGCGGCTCTTGATTCCTGACTCCTGATTTCCTATTTCATTTTTATTTGAATGTAAAAGTTTTCCTCACCAAACCAAAATAAAAAACTTGTCTTAAAAGTTTGTTTATTTTTTCATGAAAGTGATAAGTTCTTAAAAGGTTTACCTACTTTTATGGGTTACTATTTCCTATAGTGGTTCTTTCCAGTCAATTTGAAAGTCGGGTCAATGAAACGAACCAGAAGAGGAGCTTAAAGTCCTAACAGACTCAATACAGCGACCATTAGCCGTTAAACCCGCTGCAAAGTCCTGTACCTGAAGGAAAATTCTTCCTCTCGAGGAGCTAAGCCAAAATGGTGAAAGAAACTGAAAGAGAACGAGTTGGAAAATTCGCCAGCGGCAAATCAGGACTCCACGGCAGTCCTGAAAGTCGAGAATGTTTGCCGAGGCTCCGGAAAAGGACAGCCCCAGTCGAAAATAGAGAACACTTGAGTGGCAGTGGCAGTGGCAGCCAAAGGAACCAAAGGAGCCGGAGCCAAGCTGCTCTTTAGTTTATGCAAATGTTGGGACTTCTAGGCGCCGTGAGCCACCACTCGCCTGGCATTTATTAAGTTAAAATATTTATAAAATTTAAATGGGAACATGACGCAAAAAAAAGCTACGAAAAGCTACAAAAAGGGAAAAAGGGTTCGGTCACCGTCAAGCCTATCGATTTACAAATTTAAATTACTTTCCTTTCATCGCGTTTCTTTTTGCAACGAAGACCGCCTCGCTTCCGAAAATCTCGACATGGAAATCCTTTTTGTTAACAAATTTGTTACCCGCATGCTGTTGCCTGACAACCAGCATCCCTTCCATCATCCTGAAGAGACAAGTATTCCAAATCATTTAATTTCACATTTGCGTTTAGGCTGCTAATATTAATTGGACTATAAATCCGAGTCACTCATCCTGTGGGTTTTGACAATTTAATTGAACTGTCCTGAACGAGCTCTTCCTGCGAGTGTCCCTCGTCATCGATTGGCCAAATATCCCTCGTCCTGGTCGAAATTTTGTTATTAATGACAATAGCTTGCGGCGGGTAATTAAGTCACAGTTCCACCGTACATGTTACATGTACTCCTGCTCTTCTGCGAAGTGACCGCTAGTAGGATGGATGATGAGGCCACAAGTCGCTTTCGGCTGTCACGGCTGGCATACTTTTTCATTTCCAAGAAAATTTTGTTTCAATGGCTGTGAAAAACAAAAATCTTTAATTTTATTTTTAAACATACAGCCTTAAATATATAATATAAAAAATGCAAATCTTAGTTTTTATATTTGATGCGATTAAAACACATAATTACTAATTAGGTATGGATTTAAAGAGCTTTTAATTGTTGTATAATTTTCATATTATCCACAAATTAGCCATAACATTTCCAATTATGGTATTTTTCTATACAAGTTGGTGATTTATTCAATTTATAAGTTCTTTTTCAAAGAAAAGAAATTAAATACTTAAGAAGACTATTTTCTTCAAAGGACATTTTGTTAAATCATAATATATAAATAATGTATGGTTATTAGTTTTAATAACGAATTAAAATGTAATGAATCTTAGAAATTCAATTTCACCAATAAGTCTAGTAGTGGGGTTTTGTTTTGGTTTGCTTCCTTTAATTTTTTCTCCTTTCTTTGGTAATAGATTTGATTTGTTTTTTTGGATTTTTTGGTATATATATTTTTGGTCTAAATGTGCAATGCAGTGAATGAGACATCTCAGACACAATAAAGTATATATACATATTCTTCATCAGGATCACCTACTGAGTTTGTCTGGCAGTTTCTACGGTAACTAATATCTCAGTTTTAAAGCTATCGCCCGGGATCGGCCGACTATTGAACTGGTTGATCAAAAATGCCAAAAGTTTTTTCCAAAAATAGTTTTATAGTGAAGTTCTCGTAAGGATCCGACTACTATCCGATATATAAGAGATAAAAGTTTAGATATAGATATCTGATCATAACTGCATATCTACTTTGGCTCCGCCCGACGTTAGCTTTACTTTCTTGTTTGTAAAAGATTGTATTTGCTCGGTATATTTTCTACAAATTACCATAACATTTCTAATTAGGGTATTTTGCTATAAAAATACAAGTTTGTTTCTCATTTTTAAGGTTTTTTTTTTAAAATAAGAAATGAAATTCTTGGGTAAGCGAAAAACTAGAGTGCTCTTTCGTTGGATATTGATAGTTTGACTATTCTTCTCAGTTTTTCTATTTTTGGCCACGTCAGTGTCGGCTAGTTTCACCGACGATGTTTACCAGATCCTGTCCAAGGAGGATGCGGACAAAAACATAATTTCCTCACCTCTCTCCCTCGAAATTGTTATGGCCATGCTGTATATGGGATCCAATGGAAACACGGCTAAGGAATTACAAGCGGCTCTGAAACTGCCTGGGGAAAAGAAAGATGTGGCCAAGAAATACAAGGATTTTTTCTCAAATCTCCATGGTCGTGAGAAGGTTGCTATTCTTGAGCTGGCCAATCGCATTTATGTCAACGATCAGTGGAGTTTAGTGCCAGAGTTTAATAAGATTGTGGCTGACTCCTTCAAAGCCGAGGCAGTGCCCATTAACGTACGTAATCCCAAATCTGCGGCAGCGACTATTAACTCTTGGGTCTCTGGGCATACGCGGAACAAAATAACTGAAATTGTGACTTATCGAGACATAACTCCTGATTTAGTCATGGTTCTTATAAATGCCATTTACTTCAAAGGCGATTGGCAGTATAAATTTAACAAAGCTAATACTAAGAAGAACATTTTCCGAACTTCTTCGAATCAAGAACTTCAGGTTGACATGATGTCTATGGATAATATATATATTAAGGCCAATAAGTTCGCCGACTTAGATGCCAAGGTTATTGAACTTCCATATCGAAACTCTAGCCTCTCCATGCAAATATTCCTGCCAAACCGTATTGATGGTCTTAGTAAATTGGAAAGCCAGATCGGAGGCTTCGACCGAGCTCTCCGTCAACAAAATGTGGACATCGTAAAAATTCCAAAATTTAAAATTGAGTTTGAAAAAAAACTCGTCAATGTTCTTAAAAAGGTTAGTAGCTACTTATGCGATAAACAATTTTTGTGACAAAGTTTCTATTATTAGTTGCGAATTCAATCGGTATTTGGCAACGATGCTGACTTGAGTGGCATGGTTTTAGGGCCAACTAAAGTCAGTAAAGTTCTACAAAAAGCATATCTGGAAGTCAACGAGGAAGGTGCTGAAGCAGCAGCAGTAACAGGTAATTATTTTTTAAAAATTTATAATCACAATAATTTATTCATGTTAATTTATTATATATTTGCAAGCTGGTATGATGGTAACACTTTCCAAATGTGTGGGCTGTAGTATATCGACATTTATAGCCGATCATCCTTTTGCCTTCTTAATTCGAGATGGGAAGACAATTTATTTCCAAGGACACTTTGTTAAGCCATAAAATATAAATAATGTTATCATTTTATGGAATGATGCGAAATGTAATCACAGCAAAAGTTTCGATTACTACAATAAATCAGTTAATGGATTTTCAATGGCTTATTATATGGTTATCGATTTCATTGTTATAAACTGATATTTTTAAAAAGGTTTTGTTTTAGGTTATTGAAGGTGGCCCAGCTATTAGTCTTAAGCTTTTACTTTATCTTCCATTTGACGTACCTTCTCATTGGCCTTCGGAAACTAACTTTATGACATTCTAAAACCGAGCTACTTATAATTACAATTAATAACCCTACAATCTTTAACATTTGTTTTTGGAATTTTATTCATATTTTCTGAAGAAATCCTGAAAATTGAGGAAACATACCAAAAGGACTTCATGTATCCCAGGGATAATCTTGCCCAATAGTCACCAGACTCTCAAGCGAATATATTTAATGACTTGTAGATCAATTCTCCATGGATCTTCATTAAAATGTACAATCGAATTTTATTTTAGAATTTTTCTCATATTTTGTGGAGAGATGGAGAGAAACGCAAGTAACGTTAACGTACGGCAATAGCCATATCTTGGCCAATAGCCACTGTTTTCTTTAATGGTTTGTAAATCGATTCGACATCGATCTGCATCAAAATTTACAATCGAATCTTAGTTTGTTTGTTCCGATTCAAAAACATTAGATAAGGATTAAAATAGATTGTAATTGCTCGAAATATTATTTACAAATTAACCATAACATTTCTAATCAGGGTATTTTGCTATAAAAATGAATGATTTCTTCTATTTTTAAGCTTTTTTGCAAAAATGAAATACTTGGGTAAGTGGAAAACTACAGTGCTCTTTCGTTGGATATTCATTTATAGTTTGACTATTCTAATCAGTTTTTCTATTTCTGGCCACGTCAGTGTCGGCCAGTTTCACCGACGATGTTTACCAGATCCTGGCCAAGGAGGATGCGGACAAAAACATAATTTCCTCACCTCTCTCCCTCGAAATTGTTATGGCCATGCTGTACATGGGAGCCGATGGAAACACGGCCAAGGAATTACAAGCCGCTCTGAAACTGCCTGGAGAAAAGAAAGATGTGGCCAAGAAATACAAGGATTTCTTCACAAATCTCCATGGTCGTGAGAAGGTTGCTATTCTTGAGCTGGCCAATCGCATTTATGTTAACGATCAGTGGAGTTTAGTGCCAGAGTTTAATAGGATTGTGGCTGACTCCTTCAAAGCCGAGGCAGTGCCCATTAACGTACGTAATCCCGAATCTGCGGCAGCGACTATTAACTCTTGGGTTTCTGGGCATACGCGGAAAAAAATAACTGAAATTGTGACTTCTCGAGATATGACTCCTGATTTAGTCATGGTTCTTATAAATGCCATTTACTTCAAGGGCGATTGGCAGTATAAATTTAACAAAGCTAATACTATGAAGAACATTTTCCGAACTTCTTCTAACCAAGACGTTCAGGTTGACATGATGTCTCTGAATTTGGTGTCTCTTAAGGCCAATATGTTCGACGACTTAGATGCCAAGGTTATTGAGCTTCCATATCGAAACTCTAGCCTCTCCATGCAAATATTCTTGCCAAACCGTATTGATGGTCTTAGTAAATTGGAAAGCCAGATCGGACGCTTCGACCGAGACCTCCGTCGACAAACAGTGATTGTACAAATCCCAAAATTTAAAATTGAGTTTGAAAAAGAACTCGTCAATGTACTTAAAAAGGTTAGTAGCTACTTACGTAGTTTAAAATTTGTGTGACAAAGTTTCTTTATCAGATGGGAATTCAATCTGTATTTAGTAACGCTGCTGATTTGAGTGGCATTGTTTCAGGGACAACTAAAGTCAGTAAAGTTCTACAAAAAGCATATCTGGAAGTGAACGAGGAAGGTGCTGAAGCAGCAGGTGTAACAGGTAAATATTTCTCAAACATGTTATACTGAATCTTATTTATTAAGTTAATTATTTTTTTATGGTGCTGTTTCAAGGTGCTGTGGCGACTTTCGTTTGTGTGGATTGTGGACCAATGAGATTTATAGCAGATCATCCTTTTGCCTTCTTAATTCGTGATGGGAAGACAATTTTATTCCAAGGACATTTTGTAAAGCCATAAAAATATAAATATTGTAATCACTTTATTGAATGTTATAGAGTGTTTCTCAAGAAAATACGATTTCTATAAATCTACTAATGTGTTTTCAATGGTTTGTTTCCCTTATGGATATGGATTTTAACTTTGCAAACTGATATTTTTAATACGCATCTTAGTTCACTGTAGGTAAGGCAGATTGTCTTCAATTTTTCTCTTCGGTTTCTCACAAAAACCTGTATACCCTTGCATTAAAATGTCAAAACCTATAAAGTATGTACATATATACATTCTTGATAATAAACACCTTGTGAGACGCTATAATAATTTTCGTTTACCCATCTGACTGTCAGAATCTACTCAAATTGGTCTTTCAGTTATATGACAAGCTTTAAACTTTGCACAAACCCTTCTTTTCTTTTCGCAGAGACGGTGCTGAGACCTGAAGATTACATCTTATAGTCTACCTTTTAACAGAGCTTTTTTCAGATAATTATTCCCAAAGACAACGAATTTTGGCATGACAAATTTATTTGGACAGGGTCTTCTATGATTCTATATTTTGTACACGTGTAATCGAAAAAAATCGTATAATTTGTTTCGACTGCTATTAAATGCCAATAAAAAAATTTTAAATGAAACAAATAGGCTAGCCTAAGCTTGTTTGTGGGATCTTTAATGAAAGGAATATTTCATAAAGGAGAATCAATTAAACATATTGGAAATGAGTTTAATGTCTGAAACTCTGCCTTATCAAATAACTAAATAATAATAATGACTCAGTTCATATGATAATAATGAATCAGTACAATAAAAAGTTGTATGATTTTAATTTAAAAAAAAAAACAAAATAATGATTATTATTGATTTTTTTTTTTTAACACAAATAACTAATATTTTCTGAGCGAAAAAATAAAAATGAAATATAATCATTATGCTTGATTTGTATTTATTTTTTCTGTATATTTATGTTTTCTGTATAAATGACTTCATATCTACTTAGGTCACAGGTTCTAATAAGTAGAATGATTTTATTTTACAAAAATTGAGTTGAATTAAAACAATAAATTTTTCTAAGGTCCTAACCTTCAAAATTACAACCGAAACGCTCTGTTTGCCAAAAAGTGAACCATAATAGAATATCCGTGATGTTTTAGGGGGTGGTGCCCATATATTTATATGGTATATTTTCTACAAATTACCATAACATTTCTAATTAGCGTATTTTGCTATAAAAATACAAGTTTGTTCGATTTTTAAGCTTTTTTTTTCAAAAAGAAGAAATGAAATACTTGGGTAAGTGAAAAACTAGAGTGCTCTTTCGTTGGATATTCATTTATAGTTTGACCATTCTTCTCAGTTTTTATATTTTTGGCCACGTCAGTGTCGGCTAGTTTCACCGACGATTTTTACCAGATCCTGGCCAAGGAGGATGCGGACAAAAACATAATTTCCTCACCTCTCTCCCTCGAAATTGTTATGGCCATGCTGTATATGGGATCCAATGGAAACACGGCTAAGGAATTACAAGCGGCTCTGAAACTGCCTGGGGAAAAGAAAGATGTGGCCAAGAAATACAAGGATTTTTTCTCAAATCTCCATGGTCGTGAGAAGGTCGCTATTCTTGAGCTGGCTAATCGCATTTATGTCAACGATCGTATGAGCTTAGTGCCAGAGTTTAATAAGATTTTGGCTGACTCCTTCAAAGCCGAGGCAGTGCCCATTAGTGTGCGTAATCCCACATCTGCGGCAGCGACTATTAACTCTTGGGTCTCTGGGCATACGCGGAACAAAATAACTGAAATTGTGACTTCTGGAGATATAAATGATGGTTTATCAACGATTCTTATAAATGCCATTTACTTTAAAGGCGAATGGAAGCATCAATTTAACAAAGCTAATACTAAGAAGAACATTTTCCGAACTTCTTCGAATCAAGAACTTCAGGTTGACATGATGTCTTTGGATACGATATATCTTAATGCCAAAGAGTTTGCCGACTTAGATGCCAAGGTTATTGAACTTCCATATCGAAACTCAAGCCTCTCCATGCAAATATTCTTGCCAAACCGTATTGATGGTCTTAGTAAATTGGAAAGCCAGATCGGAGGCTTTGACCGATCTCTCCGCCACCAAAAAGTGATTGTACAAATCCCAAAATTTAAAATTGAGTTTAAAAAAGAACTCGATAAGGTTCTTAAAAAGGTTAGTAGCTACTTATGCGATTAACAATTTTTGTGACAAAGTTTCAATTATTAGTTGGGAGTTCAATCGGTATTTGGCAACGATGCTGACTTGCGTGGCATGGTTTCAGGGAAAACAAAAGTCAGTCAAGTTTTTCAAAAAGCATTTCTGGAAGTGAACGAGGAAGGTGCCGAAGCAGCAGCAGTAACAGGTAATTATTTTTTAAAAATTTATAATCACAATAATTTATTAATTTTCTAAATTTATTATGTAATTGGAAGCTGTTATGGTATCGACACAATCTCAGTGTTTGGGCGGATGTGGACCAATGACATTTATAGCAGATCATCCTTTTGCCTTCTTAATTCGTGATGGGAAGACAATTTTTTTCCAAGGACACTTTGTTAAGCCATAAAATATAAATAATATAATCATTTTATGGAATGATGCGAAATGTAATCACTGTAAAAGTTTCGATTACTACAATAAATCTCTTAATGGATTTTCAATGGCTTATTATATGGTTATCGATTTCATTGTTATAAACTGATATTTTTAAAAAGGTTTTGTTTTAGGTTATTGAAGGTGGTCCAGCTATTAGTCTTAAGCTTTTACTTTATCTACCATTTGACGTCCCTTCTCATTGGCCTTCGGAAACTAACAAGTGGAAGTTTCGGAAAAAAAAGAATAATATTCTTATAATCTTTATAACATTCTTAAACCGAACTACTTATAATTACAATTAATTACCTCACAATCTTTAACATTTTTTTTTGGAATTTTATTAATATTTTCTGAAGAAATCCTCAAAATTGAGGAAACATACCAAAAGGACTGGGATCATGTATCCCAGGGATAATCTTGCCCAATAGTCACCAGACTCTCAAGCGAATATATTTAATGACTTGTAGATCGAGTCTCCATGGATCTTCATCAAAATGTACAATTGAATTTAATTTTAGAATTTTTCTCATATTTTGTGGAGCGACCTCTTCAAAAATCGGGAAAACGCAAGTAATGTTAACGTAACATACAGCAATAGCCAAATCTTGGCCAATAGCCACTGTTTTCTTTAATGATTTGTAAATCGATTCGCCATCGATCTGCATCGAAATGTACAATCGAATCTTAGTTTGTTTGTTCCGATTCAAACACATTAGATATGGATTAGAAGAGATTGTAATTTCTCGGAATATTATTTACAAATTAACCAAAACATTTTTAATTATGGTACTTTGCTATAAAAATGAATGATTTCTTCTATTTTTAAGCATTTTTTCAAAAAGAAAAAATGAAATACTTGGGTAAGTGGAAAACTAGAGTGCTCTTTCGTTGGATATTCATTGATAGTTTGACTATTCTACTCAGTTTTTATATTTTTGGCCACGTCAGTGTCGGCTAGTTTCACCGGCGATGTTTACCAGATCCTGGCCAAGGAGGATGCGGACAAAAACATAATTTCCTCACCTCTCTCCCTCGAAATTGTTATGGCCATGATGTATATGGGAGCCCAGGGGAATACGGCTACGGAAATAAAAACGGCTCTGCAGCTGCCTTTGAAAAGGAAAGATGTGGCCAAGAAATACAAGGCTTTCGTCACAAATCTCCATGCTCGTGAGCAGGTCGCATTTCTTGAGCTGGCGAATCGCATTTATGTCAACGATCAGTGGAGTTTAGTTCCAGAGTTTAATAAGATTTTGGCTGACTCTTTCGAAGCCGAGGCAGTGCCCATTAGTGTGCTTAATCCCACAGCAGCGGCAGCGACTATTAACTCTTGGGTTTATACTCATACGCGGAACAAAATATTTGAAGTTGTGAATTCGGATGATACAAATGCAGATTTTGCAACGGTTCTTATAAATGCCATTTATTTCAAAGGCGAATGGAAGTATAAATTTAACAAAGTTGAGAAGCACATTTTCCGAACTTCTTCGAATCAAATACTTCAAGTTGACATGATGTCTCTAAATAGGGTCCATCTTAAGACCCATAGGTTCGCCGACTTAGATGCCAAGGTTATTGAACTTCCATATCGAAACTCTAGCCTCTCCATGCAAATATTCTTGCCAAACCGTATTGATGGTCTTAGTGAATTGGAAAGCCAGATCGGACGCTTTGACCGAGTTCTCCGTGAAAAAAATGTGTTCGACGTAAAAATTCCAAAATTTAAAATTGAGTTTAAAAAAGAACTTAAAGAGGTACTCAGAAAGGTTGGTAGCTTCTTATGTGATTAATCATTTTTGTGACAAAGTTTCTATTATTAGTTTGGAATTGAATCTGTATTTAGTTACGCTGCTAGCTTGGGTGACATGGTTTCAGGGAAAACAAAAGTCACTAAAGTTTATCAAGAAGCATTTTTGGAAGTGGACGAGGAAGGTGCCGAAGCACCAGGAGTGAAAGGTAATTTTTTTAAATAATTTATAATGATAATAATTTATTCATTTTAAAAACGTATTATGTATTTGCACGCTGGTGTTGCGACGACAGTTGACTGTGTGGGCTGTAGTTTACCGACATTTATAGCCGATCATCCTTTTGCCTTCTTAATTCGTGATGAGAAGACTATTTATTTCCAAGGTCATTTTGTTAGGCCATAAAATATAAATAATGTTATCATTTCATGGAATGATGCAAAATGTAATCGCTGTAAAATTTGGATTACTACAATAAATCTGTAAATGGATTTTCAATGGTTAGTTTAAAAAGATATTTTTAAAAGATTTTGTTTCACGTTATTGAAGGTCGGCGTGATATCTTTTTTAGATCCTAGATCTATTTTAAAATTCCAAAAAAAAACAGATTTGGCAGAAGGGCGAATATATGTTTACTCCTGTCCTTTTGAATGTCAAAATTGTGGGATGAGTTTTACACCCAACCCCATCAATCATCAATTCCCCTCGTGCTCTTAGTGCATTTTGGGTTCGCATTAACTTATAGTTTCCCATCCTTAAAGCAGAATCCCAAGCAAAGCCCCGAAAATGCTACGCATAAATATTTATAAACCGAAGACTGGGAATGTGAAGCAAACGAGCCAAAAATCGATGGAAAAGCAAACGTTTTTATTAGGACCGACACACCCACACAACGACACAACTCTAACACACACACCTCCGCATAGGTGGGTGGAAAAATTGTCCGCCCCCTTTTTTTTGGAGGTGTTCCTTGGCCTGGCTTGTGAATTTTTAAAATTCAATTTAAATTTATGTAGCCAGAAATTGCGTGCTAAGAAAAATGTTTGGAGACCGAAAACGAGACCGAGAACGAGTCGTTGACAAAAAGAGCGAAAACGAAAATGAAAATCGAAGCTTTGGCAATTAGATAAAAGCGGCTAAGTGGCCCGGCACTAAGCAATTTTCCCCAGGTATTTATAGTAGGAAGCCGCCGAAGCGCAAGAAGACCCCAATCCCGCGAGGCTTCACTTTATTATTCCTCTGTCGGTGGTAAATAAATAAAAATGCCAAAAGTATCGTGAGAGCTGAAAAGGTTAAACTCCAATTAGCTGTGCACTGGCTCGTGATAATTAACTGAGCTGAGCAGGAGCGAAAAACCAAAAATAAAAAACAGAAAAAAAGGGCTAAGAGGCAAAATATATTGTTCTGGTGTTCAACGTGGCGTATGCGTAATACTGAACCAGAAAGGAATCTGGGCGCGAGTTCATTGGCTTGGCGCTTGACGGTTGACGTTTGGCGTGGCGGCTGCTTGCCCCGATTCATATTTCATTAAAAATCAACCAAGATCCTGCGGAGGATAAAGGCAAGGCATGGAGGAATGAGTCGGAGCAGGGCAGTGCACCTGCGGCTTTGTTAATTTCCCCAGACACCTTGCAACACCAAAAAGCGTCTCCTGGCTTGGTTTCCCCTCCCATCTTGCAATTTTTCGCCAAGAAATGAAAATGAAAACAAATAAGACTAAAGTCCTTTGGAAATGGGGCTGCCTCAGTAAGGGACGGGGACATAGGTCAACAAACAGCAACAATTTGATTTTGTTTGCCTTGCCCTCCGCAGGTTTGTTTGTCGATTTGTTTGTTTGTTTGTCTGCCCGAGTCCCGAGGAATGTTTTTATGGGGAAGTAAGCGAGTGTGCACCTGGAATTTTAACAAAAATTCATCCATCAAGAGAAATAATATATATACTCCAATATTTTAATGGTATATACTGTGGATAAGTAATATTTAAATTCTAGAATCTAGATTATGCTGTGTATATCAATAATAGAAAGGACGATGCTATCGGCATTGATCCATCTCGAAGAAAGAGAAAAGTATATATAGTAATTTTTATTCTCCCATAAAGATACAACTTTTTCCTCTGTGTACAAGTCCCTGAATCTCTGGGCCAGCTTTTCATTTTCACTTTTCAAATAAACAAATTAAGGAAAACTGCAGCTGCAGCAATCCTGCGAGTTCATTGAACAGGACACAGCACAAACAGACTGTCCGCCAGGATAATGACTTTGTTTCAATTAGAAAACTCTGGCAAAGGTATGGCTTTCGGCGAGTGGGAGAACCTCCAGAGCTTAGCGTCGGGACTTGTATATTTTTAATTAGGTTTTATTTTTTTATGGCCAAGGCACACACAAAGCCACACATTCGAAGTTCTCTGTTCGATTTTAATTTACTTTTAATTATTCGTCCATTTGTTTTTACTCCCACTTCCCAGTTTGGCGCTGTATTTTTAATTCGAAATAATTGTCTGGACTATGGGAAAAACAAGAAGAGAAAACACGGCAACAATTGGCGTGCCGTTTAAACGACTTTCGTGTTGGCAGTTGGCAGCTTGTAGTTCTTGGCCCGATTCAATTTGAGTGGCAAACAGAGGCGGACATCGATATGGCGGGATGTGGGTGGGATGGCCAGGCCAGGTCCTGCCACGCTCGGACTCCCCCGGTCGCCTTTGTTTGTGGAAACTGTTGAGCGGCAGATTCGTTTCAATTAAATTTGTTGCCATCAGTTGTCGACTTAATTAGTTGGCATAACGTTTGACTTTTGTTGCATGGTAGCAGCTTATGGACTGTCTGCCTTGCCAAGAGGGAAGCTCAAAGGAAAGTCGGGGCTGTCATGCGGAAAATAAGGTCACCTTAACAAGGTTGCCAGGTTTTATGAATTTTCATAAATGACTTTTATTCTTTCATAAAAAAATGATTTAAGGTTCTTAAAGGTTCTCAATTGGTTAACTTTAATAAATGGCCCTGAAAACATTCGGCAAGGTGAAAGGCCATAAAGATGATAGCAAACCAATTTAATTCCATTAGGTTGTAAATAAAAATACTAAGTGCTTTACCTATCACTCCCACCACATACATACATATATATCCCGCTGTGTCCTTGAGATTGGCTATTTATATAAAGGGCCTGCCCGGGCCACCTGATGGCCCTTCTCGATTATCCTGTTCCAGCAATTTGCCACATTCCAGGGTTTGTTGCTTTGTTGTCGCCTAGCTGAGCGCAGTAAATTGATCTTAATTGGAAATTACACACCAATTGCCCCTTGTACTGTCCTCGCATCGATGTCATTATAAAGAGCAGGATAGCATGAGGCATGATACAGGACACAGGACACAGAAGTGCATTCCACTTTCATATGCATTACATAAACTGATTCTGTTCGAGCATGGCCACTTTGGGCCTAGTTAATATAATTAGTTTTGGCGTAAAATTGCAAATGTCAACCGCGAAAGACGATGTCACACACATACACGGGAAAACCACACTCCCACACACACACACACACATACTAGAGCGCCCACGAAAGGACGACAAGGACATTATTGCGGCCTGCACAAAGGAGTGAAAATCCTGCGGCCAAGGGCTCGCACAACTGACAATCCCTGGGTATTAAAGTTTTCCACTTGCCACTCATTATACCACACACTCCACACCAGCAACAAACCCACCCACACTCATACTAGAGTCCGCCCCCCCCTGAACTCATCATGGGTGTGGAATTTTCAGTCATCCTTCCTACGCAACGTGTCAATAGAGGAGCCCCAAAGCCGCAGGATATTTCCGTTCAATATTTGTACAATTTCCTATGTTTGCGCAATAGAATTTGCTGTTGACATGCCACTTTTTGTGGCTCACGGGTGGTTTCAAAGTAAATACATACAACAAAAAAGGTACAAAACTTTGCATGTTTTTTCGGTTGCTCTCTATATATATTTAAGGACATTATGGGTGGGAGGGGATTTTTGATTAGATGTCATCTTTTTTTTCTTATTCGGCCCGGCGAATTTTCCAGCGGAAATGCTGCTCAGCTAAGTGTGAAATTATGAACATTTTCGGCAACGGGCCAACAGGTGTGTGTGTATGGAGTGTGCATAGTGTATATGGAGTGTTTGTTGTGCGTTTGTTGTTTTTTAATTACCTGGCAAAAGAAAATTACGTATACGCCACCGAGTGCGTCTAATGCGATGTTTGCTCTGGGGATCGCAATGTGTCATATATTCTGATATACTCCCTCCTTGTAAACCGGTTTCTAATTACAAAAACTTTGCTTGAAATGGGTTGTGTGTTTAGAGATTTTAAAGTGGCGGAGATCACAAAAATATTTTATTTTTAACTGGTTTCTGAGTTGCCATACAATTTCTAGAGCACATCCTGCGAGTGTCCAACAATGTAGCTTTCCTTCACTTAAGCTGTGTCCTTTTCCTCCTCAAGGCATTTTTCGTGGCACTGTAATGAAGGCACAAAAGTGCAGTCAACTGAGCGTAAAGGTGGCAGGAGTGACAATAACCAGGACACGGACCAAGACCGGAATGGAGGCAGCCGCGGAATGGAGGATTCCTTCGGGCCATCAAGCCGCCACAAAAAGGGTTGAGGAAACTTTTTGAAGTTGCCGCAAAATTGCGTTAACTTTTTAGTAAGTCACTTGATTATTTGGTCGTCGTCCTTTCTTCATTTTGTGGCCTTCCGAACTCGTAAAGACTCCCGAAAGGAGGTGAAAATTGCTTCAATGAAGTTGCCTTGTCGTCGACTTGTCACCCAACACCCCCGCACTTCAGAGGCAAGGGTTCAACCCAGTTGACCTTGTCTTGATTTGGGTCTGGAGATTCGGTGGAAGCTGTTCTGTGGAAGTTGGCGACATTTAGCGCATAATTGAGACAATTAAATTCGCTTTGACAATGCGGCCCAAAAAAAAAGTAAGAGAGAATCGTGGCAAATCAACAGCAAAACTGAAATGAAATGTAATAAATAAACCAAAAAGGATACGGGGTTGGAACAGGACTTGAAGCCGTCTGGCTCACAACACTTTGCCAAAAGGAATTCAAAATTAATTGAGTTTCAGCCGGGGTCAGTTGAATGCCAAAAGGTTGAGTCAGGCAAAAGATACATTTATCTTGACAATTCTAGGCCATTTGCTTTAATCTGTAGATTTTCTCTTGTTTGAATTTTAATTTAATTTTCATCCAGTCCATGAAAAATGAATGAAATTATAGCTGAAACTGACAATTTGTTTTGGCTTTGACTTAATAAATATATTTATTTTCAAGTTTGTGAACTAAAACTTAAAAATACTTCAAGATAAAGTCTGATTTCTTTCAGTTTATTTAAGAAAAGGGTCGACAGAGGTCAACCTGTAAATTGTAATTAAATTCCTTGGTCTGATCGTAAAAAAACGACCGGACCCTTTTTGTTTTTGGTTCCCCATCTGAAAAGGCAAAGACATTTGCCATGGGCAGGATTTAATGTCCTTCCTGCAGTGCCTGTTGCATAAGTGATGTCCTTTGGGTGTTGACTGTTTAGTATGCATTGCATTTTGCATTTTGCAAGAGGATTGGGTATCTTTTTTGCCCTTCTGCCAAACAGCAATGCTAAGGCGACAGGCAACGGGCTTTGACTGATTTTATTATGCGGAAAGTGATATTCGAGGAACACACACGCACACAGGACTCTTCCCTACAGAGTGGGGCATCCTTTCCCACACTCCCCTTTTCTGGAGGATGTCGCGTAATTGGAGCGTAATGTGTTAAGTTGACAGGCACGTGAATTGCTTCTAATTTGTTGCCTGTTTGTTCCTCAGACTTGTCTTCTAGTCCCCTTACTCTTGCTATCCTTTTACATCTTTTCACATCTGTTGCATATTTCATGGCGTGATTACATTCTGTTTCAGTTCTCTGTGCCCTGCAACCTCCAATGCATGTTGCGAAGTTCACGAGTTTTGCATGCAAATGACTCTGCGACGACCAGCAGAAGGCAAACATCAATCAAAGTTCAGGGAAGAGTCAAGGAAGTGAGGCAATTGACTTGCCAAAGAGTTGCACCCAAGCTCCAGTCTTCAGGGATAGAAAATCGCGACTTAAATTAAATCATATATAAACTAAAAGTGGCTTAAGTTTTCCATTCTATTTTTAAAGCCCTCCTGCAGGATTGGTCCATTAGCAAAATTTGAATAGTTTCCCCACCTCTGGGCCTGTTCAATATATAGTTTTTTTGGGGCTTTCGTCGTGTTTTTGGTTAGTTACAAGCAAACCCCCCGAGTGGCAGCCGCTTGAACAAATATTCACCGGCGACGGTTGCCCAAAAAAATCCCACTATAGCATTTTTCCACTGAGGAAACTTTTTGGGCCATTTTTGTAGCGAAATTTAATTGTAGTCGCCCCAAAACAAACGCTGGGAGGTAGTGAACCGCGTTGACGCAGCTCAGTTGAAATTCCTAACTAAATATTTAGCTGTTCTATTACGAAAACAGGGGCTGTGTGGCTGGAGGGGCGGGAAAAAACAGCATCACATTCCCTGGGCTGGGAAGTTTTTCAATTTCTAGTAATCCTCCCAATGCGTATCCAGCGCAAAAAAAACGAAAAAAATTAAATCGAATTGAACTGGGCAGATGGAGGGTAAAAAATGGAGTGGCGAGGTAGTTGATTCTGGACTGGTCGTCGTAATAGCAGATCAAAAAAAATTTCAAGCATTTCTACTCTAACATTTTTCTCTACATTTTTTCTGTTTGGTTTTTCAGTTTGTTTGCTCGTCGCATTGAGGGACAAAAAAGTGTTGGTTCTGGTCTCAGTTTTTTATTTTTTGGTCTGCCCCGGAACCACACCTAACCATAAAAAATATGTTTGCCAAGAGTGTACGTATCCGTTTGCATATTTGTTCTACTCTTTGTTTTATTTCTTAGGGTATAGGGAGACTCTTTAAAAAGTTAAAGGTAATTATTAATGATTACCATATATTTTTAGATAAATTTAAAAGTTGATTTATTTTTTGGCAAATTGCGAAATTGTGCTGATCATTTGTTTATCATGGAAGAAGTTCATTAGCACTAAGAAGCGAATAGCTAAAAATAGTCTCATAAAATAGCAAAGAGGTTTAATATCTATTATAAGCCCTCGAAATATTTACAGGGTATAGGCCTTCTAGTTCATTGCTTTATATCCTTTATTGTTCCTCTTTTTTTCTGGCTGCGGAAGATTGGTGGAGTAATACTTTTATTGGTAAAATGGATTTGTGACAGCTCCTGGTTTATGGAATTTGATTCAATATATTCCCTGCTTTCATTCTTTGCATAAAGCTCCCATTGATTCTTTGTGTGCTGAGTGTCCCCTGGGTTTCATTTTCATTTAGATTTCCATTTCGATGTCGGTGCGGAGGTGGTGCTGGAGTTTCATTTTCAATTTCATCCTAAGCTGGCTTAAACAGTTGAAGAGTCGTAGTCGGGGCTCTTCGCGGCCCACTTGTTAGACGACGGCACCGGTCAAGTGCGATAAGTCGGTTAATTGCTGTCCGATGATGCAGCAACAAATTACATCGATCCGATGCGTGACTTCTCCGACACAATTCTGATCGCAGTACTATTTTGGATGTGGTTTTCGCTCCGTCATCGCTGACCTGCAGCCGGTGTAATTGTTACAATGCCCCGAACACTTGACATTGGGCTCTTACATGGGGTGACATTGAAACCGAGCATTGAAGGCCCCTCCCCCCTAATAGGTTGTAGGAAAAAAGCATGACTCTGACACTGTTGGTGGAATGGCGGAAGGAATGAAACACTCGAGGTGGGATGGGGTGGGGTAATCTCTAACAAAAATATTGACAGAATCTTCGGCAATCAAACAGTGCAGAGTAAATAGGCAAACACACGAGCCGATCCATCTACATCTTCAATCCCCAATCCCCATCTTCAATCGCCGATCAATGACCATTGTCATGGCCCCATGGCCCCATCGAACCTCGAACATCCGGCCGACGCGCCGGCTTCGAACATGCCTGAAGATGCCGAAAGGTGTTAATGTGGTTCGATTGCCCATCGAACTTCTTGCATGGGCCTCGCTAATTTTTTGTATAAATAGTTATAACGATTTCAACAGCCCCAAGCAAACCCATCCGCAGCTCCAAGAGATTGAGCAGGTCAGAACCAGATTGCAGAGCCACCGAAACAGGTCACTCAAATTACAAGAAATATGGTGAGTCTGGAGGAGATTGCCAAATACCAAGACATTTCAACACTCCCGTTTCAGCAAGGATACCACGTGCTTTGTCTCTTGCTGGCCACTGCCAGCCTGGCCAGTTGCCGATCGGTGGTGCGACGCGATGTCAGCCACCTGCCCCTGGAGTATCTGCCGCCTGTGGAGCTGCCACCTGTGCCCAGCCGCGACTACCTGCCACCTGTGGAGCAGCAGGCGGCCACCCTGAACCACGTTCTGCAGCCGCCCCGCGACTATCTGCCCCCCAAGCTCAACAACGAGTACCTGCCACCTGTGGCTGCCGAGGAGCTGGTCGAGGAGGCCACCACTGAAGCCGAGGCCGTCGAGGAAACCACTACTCTGGAGCCCACCACCGAGGTGGTTGTCGTTGCCACCACTGAACCCGTTCCTGAACCAGAGGAGGAGATCGTGACCGAACAGCCGGAGGAAGTCAAGAGCCTAGAGCTGGTGGAGGAGGAGGAGCCCCAGAAGGAGGAGGAGGTCGAGTCCGCCATTCTCCTGGACGACGGCTATCACTACCGCACTCCGGCTGTGGTGCCCAACCTGCTGCCCGTTAAGGAGTACCTGCCGCCCCTGGACAACAACGCTGTTGTGGAGGAGGTTCCCAACAACGAGGAGGACTCCTCTGCCCTGCTGGAGGATGGCTACCACTATCGCTCCGTCAAGCGACTCCGCTTCTAGTCCTCGTTAAGGCGAGTCACTTCAGTTTATTTTACTACGAATTTCTGTTTCTGTTCTGAGCGACAATTGTTGTTTAATTTTACAAAATACATAGACAAATACTTTCCCAAAATTGATGGTTAAACACGCTATGGGAATTCCTAAGAAGTTGTAGGGTTGCGAGTTATAGATACCTCGTACTTGAATTCCTATTGATTACTACTTGATTACTGGTATAGGTAAAGATGTTGCTCGGAACCCTTCTTTCTCCTTAACAGCGAAGTGTCTTCGAGCTATAGATGCGTCGTATTTTAAAGACATTTCCTAAAACTTTTCCTTATGGTTAAATCTTTAAATACTTATTGGGTTCTACTCTTTCCAGGCTAACTAATACTACCCTCTAAGCTGGAAAACCCAGTAACAAGTCGATTGCCGCCGTTAACATTTCATTTATATTGATGACAGGAAATTAGAAAAAATGTTTTCACAAAGCGCACGAAACGGCGCTGAGAACTCTTCACTTGGAGATATTGTTGTAGTCCTGCGATGTCCTTACTGCGTGGAACCGCACTCAGACGCCTGCCACCCCACCCCCGACTCCCGATTCTAACTTCCGGCCACCCTCTCAATTGATTTGTTGCCGCTTGTGGCTGGGTTTTTATTGTTTTCTTTACGTGTTGGCGCTCGGCATACATTTTCATTAACCAATCTGCAGAAAGTTTTCCTGTAACCCGGGTCCCGAGCCCCCCCAATCCACTGGTAAGTTCAACCCAGTTCAATAATTCAACAATTTTCCAATTGGCCGTATAAATATTTGAAAAGTTTTAAATGTTATTTCTCCCATTGGTGGCGGTGGCGGGCGGAGTTTGTTTTGAGCCTAAATATAAATGGGATTTTTATGTTTCCTGCGGCATGCTCATCTCCTTGTTGTTGAATTACTTATGAATAATTCAGGAACAGAACGCCAAAAAATGGCTAGTCTACTTCGAGGCGCTGTCGGTAAAAAATGTCTACCACGAATCGACTGAAGCAACAAGTGGCAGCCGGAAATTCACTTGGGAGTGCATTCGCATTTCCCAATCATCCTGCCAGGCCACAATATTTGAAATGAAAATAAAACCCCAGCCGAAGAAGCTTTAAGTGCATTGCACTTTCGAAATTTTCTTCTTTTTTTTTTGGTATTTGCTTTTCGGGTGGTCGTAAACCTCAACAAATCTGGGCCAAAACAAACACCTGTAAACAGCGGCCGATTGAAAGCGAGCGTGTTTCGTCCAACATTGAAAAGCGAGAAAAGCGGGAAAGCTTGCCGAAAGCAAACGAAAAGCCTTCGAAAAGTTTCCACCGTTTCAATATTCGACGAAGGCCCGACGAGGAAAATCGTATAAAAGCCGACGGTTCGGGAAAATACAAACAAGTTGCGGGTGGACTATCGCCGAGTGCGAACCTAACGGAATTCGGAAAGGACTTAGCCGGGCTAAGGGCAGTGCGAGCGAGTGAGATACAGATACTCGGAAGAGCAACAGTGAGAAGAGTTGGGTTCGAAGGGCCTCAGATACAAGATAGTGCCCCATAGAGGAGTCGGGCTCCTCGTTACCAACCGATATGTGAAAATACCCAAATCCCAGAGTGAAGCCAAAGTGAAAGTGTGTTAAGGTGAGGGTACGATAACAAAGAAAAAAACCAAATAGTGATAATGGATAAATAGAACCTTGATGGATATTAAGGGAGATTGTTACAAAAAATGTGTCTAGTGGAACTAAATAGTGACCTTTGGGGTTTAAACTTTTAAGTCTTTCTGTACTTTTCTTTCGCGAATGATCGAAATATTAAATTTCGAGTTCTATTTATTTCCTTTCCCACAAAGACGCACAAAACCCATAAATTCCAAGAATGAATAAGTGCTTCGCTTTATCAAATAAACTGATTCACGTTTAAGGAATTTGCAAATATTCTCACGAAGAAATGAAAACAAATATTATGCAATATTAATGTGAATTTATAAACATTTAACTTTTTTCCCTCACGAATCTCGCGATAAACAAAAATTCCCTTCAGCCGCAAATCATTGGCGAAAATAAATCAAAAATTACCATAACCGACGACCCACTGCGAATGAAGATTAGCCCAGAGAGGGCTTCTTCGTGGAATAAATCAAAATTAAATGTGAATTAAAGACGCATTAAAATTGCAAAGTAAATTGAATAAACGGAAATAACCGGCTGGAAAGTAAAAACAAAATTTACACACTTTATTCAACCGGAATTCCATCGGCAACAGGCCTCCCGCCCATTAAAATGCAATTAATTCGACAACATTTTTGCTGTGTAACAAATTAAAGCTGTCTTCGTATTTGTCTTTTCATTTGTCTGACATTTTTGCAATTGTCATTCCATTAAATCCCATTCAATGACAGGCTAAAACAATTCGCGGGCTTAGTAGTTCCAATCTATGGACACATGTAGAACAAAATGCATTTTTACTTTCCCTTCCAAAGGACCCACTCACCCGCCGTGGGTGTTGTTGTTTGGTATTTGTTGCTGCTGTTGATTCTCCTCTGGCTTTGGCCGCCTCAGCCCAGAAAGTTTATTAATAAAACGTTTTGCCTAACAAAGCACAAAAATGATAAAATAAACGCGACGCCAACAGGGGTAGGGCAGGGGAGGTGGAGGGGTTGAATGGGGGCGGGGAGGAGGAAGTTGTGGGTGGTTGGGGGAATGTCATTGTTCACGGTCTGCATAGATTGGAGAGGTATGATGGGCTTAGTTCGTTGGTAATTCCATTATTGTGAGGCGACTTTGAAATGAAAAACCTGGTTTGGTAGTGATTTAAAATTAATTTTTAAAATTAAACCTTTTTTAGTCTTTTAATTTTATTTTATTTTAAATTAAAACACTTCATTTTATTCACTTTATATTTTATTAGAGCGAGGAACCCAAGAAGAGCTAAGAAACCTTTTTTAAAACCATCAAGAAACTTACAATGACTTTGTAAAAAATCCTTAATAAAGAGGAATTTCTTCATTCTCAATTCTTCCCAATATTTGCTACATTATAGCACTTTGATTTATCCAATCAACACTCTGAACTTGTCAGAAACCCCTGCCACGTGCCCCTGCCACAAACCACGGCCCACTGAGTATAGCCAGTGTCGATCAAGCAATCTCTATGTGTCAGCGTGCATCTTCCAGTGTGTGGTCGTGTGTTTGGCACGCTTTTTGTGTTTATTAATAACAAAGTAATCAGAAATTGTAATCTTCTCGCAAAGCGTATTACAGCAGTAATAACAATGGCAACATTGAACCAAACTCTCCACCCATCCAGCCACCCCATTACAGGCATCCCTCCACTGGCCCTCCCTCCGACATTTTCATTCATTTGGCGATTTCAATGCGGGTTTATCTTTGCCGCTTGGCTGTCTTCACGGGCTGGGCTGCATCCTTGAATCCATGAATCCTCCTCGGCGGATCCTTGATTCATTGTTGTTGCTGCCGCAGCAGAGCACGCTTCCGGCTCAAGTGGCAGGCGGCTGTATGTCCTGTTTTTGTTATTGTTATTCTCCAGCAGTGTATATATTTTCATATACTTATTTTCAATAGATTGCCGTATATTTTTGTTTTTATTATTTTCTAATTTGACGCTTCATTTGTCCAGGGATTATTATTTTTATTGTCAGATACTCTAACTTACAGGATAGTTGGAAATATTAGTAATTTTATGAAATTATTGCCGAGGCTGTCAATTAATTCTAGAGAGGATTTCCTTTTAAATAATGTGTATTCAAAATTGTGTATTCAATTTTTGTCTTGAGGTTTAAAATGTTAAAAGTATAGGACTGCAAAAAAAAGAGTATGTTTTCATTTTAACTGAAATCCCCACACTTTTTTTTCTTCCTGTTTTTCTAATTTGACTTTCACTGGGCGCTGATTTTTTCTTTGATTTTCGCTGACTGATTGGGATTTGGCTGATGGAAAGCCAAAGGACATGCCAGAGGCAGGACGGGGCAGCAGGACGATGAAGCCTATCTGGGCCTGTCCTATTGATGGTTCGATGGCGTGTCTTTATGGCTCTCAATCATTTTGTTTGGCTCGGATTTGTTATTTGTGCACTTGCCTTTTTATGTAATTTCACCTATGGCGGCTTGTTGTTTTATTTCAGCATTTTGGCATTAGACGACGGGCCAACAATTTCCAGTTCAGCCAATTTGCCTATTTTGTATGCAAATTGCCAGCCATTTGGTGTCAGTCTCAACACGCTTTTCATTGTCCTGCTCCTGCTCCTCCACCTCTATAGTTGCCTTCATTTCAGCCAGTGGGTCAAAGTAATAAAGCAAACAAATTAATTTGATTTGTTTTGTTTTGCTTTCAAGAATTGTACATAATTGCACTTTTGATTCATTTTTTTCAACGCGTATACGCAGTGTGGGTTTCAGTTTTATGAAATAATAATGAAGACTTAAAAGCAATATATTTCCTTGTGCTTCCGCTTTAATAAACATCTATATAACCTTCCCTAGAAAACAAGAATCCCTTTTCCTTTTCGGTTGTGACCTGTGGAATTCTTTTTGGCTTGTTTTCGTGTTTTGGCAACACGTTTTAAAGACCCTTTCGGCCACGGCAAGGGACATACAAACATAACATAAAAAACGTACTGTCAACCATAAAAATCTCGCACAAGCAATACAATATCGGCAACAAAAAAAACACAACCAACCGACTACAACAAATCGGTTTAATTTGAATTTCTTTTTCGTCCTTCCCCGGTCCTCGAGTGTGTTTGTAAAGAGAAAGTTTTTACACGCGTTTTTTTTTCGCCAAGAACCTTTTTCAACACCCACAGTAAACAAAAACAAGCGAGAAACGTGGAGGGGTTGCTGTCGAGGTTATAAAAATAAATTCACAATAATTATTTCAAATATTTTTCCTTTAAACGGGCATTTCATTTGGTATTCAGCCGCCTGAATAAAAATGAACAAAATGGCGAACGTTTTAAAGTTCAAAAGTTCACAACAAAACAAAGCAATGTGAAGACAAACAAAGTACCAGAAAGCTGAAATTCTTCAGATGTTGTTCTTTAATGCATACGAAAATCACAAATAAATTATCATCAGCCTAATCAACATCAACATTATTATCATCAACGGCAGTGGCGAACCTGCGTAGCGCCAGGACGGCAGGACGAAGTATCCCTGGAAAACTTTTTCCAGCCCGTAAGGTAGGTATGCAAAATTGCAGGAAATAAATTCCAATTTGTTCCTTTTCGTATGCTCCCCTCGTATAATCATAAAGTAGTCGTGGAGGCGGTAGGATTTATCTGTCTCCCCGATTTCTTGATTTTTTCCCGGCTCTTAGTTCATTCATAAGCTTCTGCCTGCCACTCACTCACTTTCGCTGCCACTGTCTCTCTAAGCACTTAATTATTTAATTATGTTAAACGTCACACACACACTGGCGCCCAGGCTCCATTGTCCAGGGAGACAGTTGGGGGGAACCACTGCCATACAAAACCACTGAACCAACTCGGCTTGGCTTCTGTTTACGTTAATTTTAGTACATTATCCCCCGACCACGCCCCATTGTCCTTTTGGCTCAGCCCCCGCTCAGGCAGACTGCGGTTCGCGCTGCCGAGTGAGCAGTGCAATGTCGGCTCTGGTTTATTTACAATTCTGTTCTACGGGGCGTATGCGTAATATGAATATTTTTGTAAATTATTAAGTATGCGTAATGAGATAGTAAATTTGCCAGCCCGCCGCAGCCAGGTCGTGCGGTTTAGTGTCAGAGATGAAAATTGCATGTGCTTTACAGGTGGGTGGGCATGTGAGCCAGCAATTAGTTAAACACAAAACTTTATGTGCTGTAATCTCGAACTGCGGAGAAGCTGCTTCCTAGAAACTAGATTTTCCTTCCTGTTCACCTCCGGTTTGACTTTTTATCTCGTAGGCTCGTCTTGGTCTTAGTGAGGGATTTGTGCGGCTCATCTGACTTAAGGAATGTACGCTGGAAGCTAGGTATTCCAACTTATGCTCAAACTTTAGGGAACTAACTGGTGTGGCTAAGATGGCCTCAAAACTTTGTCTCAGCTATCTTACCTTTTAGAAACACAGAGCCAACTTTATGGATTACAAAAAATTTATAATTGAACCGAGTGCGATGTGAGAGCGTTTAGCAAAAGTGAGGTCTCAATGCAAATTAAGATTCGATTTAGAGTCGGGACTCATAAAGTTTGGCAAAAGTTTCAGGCACTTTAAGCATTACTAGCTTTAATACTTTGTTTTCAGTTATTTTGGGCTATCTTTAGCAGTGAACTGCTGTCACCAGTCTGGCACTTAATTCCATATCGATATGTTCCATCTAATCTATGCCTAATTTGTGTGAACACGTTACTAATTAGCCTGAATGTCATTAGCCGAATGCTTTGAGCGCATTTACTCAGCTGTAATTTATTGGATTACCATTTCCAAGTAGCCTTCTACCCTGTACCTTAAGAATGTGTCGGAAAGCTACACTTTACAAATAAAATAAGCGTTATTATGGTAGTAATTCAATCATAATAAGGGTATTCAATCTACTGATACATATGTCTGGATAGTAGCCACAGAGCTCTCCCCACATTGTCCATCTTTAATTAGTAATTGAATATGCGGTTGGCATTGGCAATACATTCGTATATCTCTATCCTTTAAAAGCCGTATCCAATCAGCTGTTGAGCGTGTTAATTTATTCATGGAATTATTTTTCTTGCTCTCCATCACTGACCTACGACCCCTTCCTTTCAGTCTCCTTGGACTTTGGGTTCAGTCTGATTAGTACAATCGGCTTTTGTTTTGCAGTCCACGCACGCATTCTATGGAAACTTCCTCGACCAGTCCCCAGAAATCCAAGCAATCCCAGCCCCAGAGCTCTTGGTTCCAATATGTTTTTGTACGTTTTCGTTGCTGCTTTCATTTTTCTAATCCGAGAGAGTAGACAATTTCGGTTCGGCTTTAATTCCCCGGCCGTTCCCTTTGACAGATCAGATGGAAACGGTTCGAGTCCTTGAACTTGCCACATTTCGTTGCAGAAATACAAAAATTCAAGTTCATCTCAATGGCCTGACGTTAGTGCCTTCGTTTATGGTCCACTGAAGGTGTTTTTTTTTTGTTGTTAGCCTGGCCTGGTATACCCTTCCGGGTACAAATTGGCCACCTGAGTCTATAAAAATTGTTTCGCTGCGCTGTTTCCGGTTGCCAAATTAAACAAAAGCCCCCGAAACCCCCAACCCCATCCAAATTGAACACCATTTCGCGAACAATGAACTGAACACGATTTTCTGTTTACTCTGCAATTGTCCATGAAAATTCGCCATTCAACACAAACCCGAAATATACTTATATTTGGTTCAATAAATACACACAACTGCATACAGACACCCAAGCTTGTATACTTATGTCTGCCATATAAACAATCATAAACTTCGTGCTTTATGCACCATCCAAACGCATTGAAATGCAATTGAACGGAATTCCAATTGGAAAGATTTTTTCAGCTCTCCTCAGAATGCATTTAAAATGCTGGTGTGGGCCAGTTTAGTAGACCGGAAAAAAGAATTCGAATGGAACACATTTTAAAATTCATTGATAGTCTTAAGTATCAAAAAGTGGCACATTTTATAGATTTTTTAAAAAATTGACCATTTTTTAAAGTGTTTTTGAAATCAGAATCATCAAAGTGCATTTCGATAGTTCATCCCAGTTTCACACCTTTCCTGTTATCAAAACCGTTTCCCCTCCTAGAGTTGCCACGTTTATGTTTAAAACAAGATTTATAAGCAAAAGTCACACCAAACAATAACGAAATATCTGAAGGAACCCTTTTTTTTTTGCTTATTTGCCAACTTTGAAAGGACCTTTGCATCCCATAGTCTTGAATAGTTGAATATTATTGTGGCTACTGTGTTTATGTGCCTTCTGAGTAATCAATGCCTCAAGAGCTGCCTTCAACGATGACGTTGGCCAGGACATTGAAGGCGAAGGCTCCTTAGTCCTGTCGACTGGCTGGCTGCCAAATCGGCACTTGACATTGCCCCGTGACTTGGAGGCTCTCGGAGCATTCCATGGGCTATGGCCTGACTGGGTAAGAAGGGGCTTTGAAATCGAGGGCACCGGCGGCTGCATAACTTTAATGAAATTGCAAGGAAGGAGCTTGTGGTTACCGCAAACTAAATATGCAAAAGGGCATGGCACGGCAGTGCTACCAACTAAAGGCTTAGAGCAGAGGGCCAAAGTCACTGGATGACCTGGCCAGGAATTGGCCTGCCAGCCAGGACCTGGAGGCTTTGGGCCACATGAGCACATGGCTGGGAGCACAACGCATAAAGGATAACGGATAATGGACTTAAAATAAACAAAGCCAACGGCAAACGGAAGAGAAGAGAGCAAAACAGAGAAAAACAGGGGAAAAACCGGAGAATGGCAGGACGGATGGAAAATGGGCGGAAGGGCAGTGTTTTGTTTGGTTTTGTTTTGTTACCCATGTACCCAGTAATCGTAAAACTAGGAGAATGGTTTCAGAAATTGTGTCTTCAAAAAAGCCAGACTCTCCTTCTATAGTTGAAAGTATAGTTTACAAGAAGAATAATCCTATTATTATCTAATGAACAGCTCACAGGTCTTGTTTATTTTCAAAACCAGTAATAAACTGTCTCTATGTCATGAGTATCTGGAAGTTGATTCCTTCCATTTATTGATCTTATTCCTTACTCCTCAATGCACATCATCAACAATGAAAGGACTGAGGCCATAAACTGAGACAAAAAGCCCGGGAAGTGAATGGGCCGGACTGGGAGATAGCATCTAGGTAGGTCGAAAGGTAGGATGTCGCATTCATCCGCTTGGCTTGGCTAACTTGGATCATGTCGCAAATTAGTAAGTCATTTTGTCATCTTGTTTACCCATTTAGCAGCCTTAAAATAATTTTCTGCTCAGCTGCCGGTGATGGCGCTGGAAATGACCTTTCATCCTTCCACCGAAGGCTGTTTGTTTGAGTTTTGTTGCGATGCTCTTGACCGGTTTTATTGCCTCAATATTTCTGGCATATTCTGGCCACAATTCACTCAACAAATATGTATGTGGTGGGTTCTGTTTGGTATTTGGCTTTCGCTTCTCAAACAGTTTTTGCCATCGGTTTTGGGCTTTTTGGGGTTTGTTTTAACAAATTTATAAGCTAAACAAATTTATGCTCGTTGCTCGTGCTCCTTGCCAGCTGTGCTAATTATGGATGTTATTTCTGCCCTTCTAAACATATATTCATGTTTTTGGTTTATGAGGAAAGTACCCTTTTCCTAAGAATTGATAGGGTTTCCTTTATTAGGACTGTCTAGTTACCCAAACATGGCTATTAAGCTTTGCTTGGAAAATAAACATTTATTGTTTGTATACTGGATTTGGTAGATGAAATTCAAGACCATTTGCTATTCCTTTTAAATTATTTATTTTTCAAACTCAGAGTATCTCTCAGTCGTTTTATGTTTCTTATTTTTAGAAAAGTTGAATAACATTTTAAGTGTTTACCTTGGCTCTTGTTCACCATTTGAAAAGGCAAAAGATCCGAAGACAAAATATTTTTCAGATTTTTTGTCCATTTTTCCTGATAGGATCCCTTGAAAATGGTGTTTTCCCCTATGGGGTCCACTGTGATGGCTATATCTTTCCCAATTCTCATCCGATTCTCAAGCGGAGTACCTTAAACGATTTCTATGTCGATTCGCCATCATTCTGCATCAAAATCCTGAGATAAAATATTTTTTAAATTTTTTGTCCAATTTTCCTGATTGGATCCCTTGAAAAGGGGATTTTTCCCTATGGGGTCCACTGTGGCTGCTATACTGTGATGGCTATATCTTTCCCAATTCTCATCCGATTCTCAAGCGGAGTACCTTAAACGATTTCTATGTCGATTCGCCATCATTCTGCATCAAAATCCTGAGATAAAATATTTTTTAAATTTTTTGTCCAATTTTCCTGATTGGATCCCTTGAAAAGGGGATTTTTCCCTATGGGGTCCACTGTGATGGCTATATCTTTCCCAATTCTCATCCGATTCTCAAGCGGAGTACCTTAAACGATTTCTAGATCGATTCGCCATCATTCTGAATCAAAATCCTGAGATAAAATATTTTTTAAATTTTTTGTCCAATTTTCCTGATTGGATCCCTTGAAAAGGGGATTTTTCCCTATG